GAGCAGCCCTTAACTACTGAGCCGTCTCTCCAGCCCTCATCCGTCACCTTTAAGAAGCTTCTGAGGACCAGAGAGATGGCTCATCCTGTAAAAGTGCTTGCTGCCAACCCCAGGACCCACACAGGGGAAGAAATAAAGACTCCAGTGATCGTCCTCTGACCTTTACATGTGCACTCTGATGCACATGCATCTGCACGTGCCGTGCATCGACACACATGCATACACACATACAAACATACGTGCTAATTTTTTTTTAATTAAAGCTTCTGAACCTGGAAAAGGTCTTGGTTATTTTAATGTCACTGCTTGTTATTTTTCATCAGTGAAAAGTGTTTTGTTGTTGTTGTTGTTTGGTTTGGTTTGATTTTTTGAGACAGGGTTTCTCTGTGTAGCTTGGGAGCCTGTCCTGGAACTCGCTCTTGTAGACCAAGCTGGTCTTGAACTCACAGAGATCCGCCTGCCTCTGCCTCCCTAGTGCTGGGGTTAAAGGTGTGCACCACCTGGCACTAAGTGTTTTTTTAAGTGCAAAAAGCTGCATGCAGCCTTGGAAAGCCCTGGCTGAAGATTTGGGGAGAGAGTAGGTTAGGAACTCTGGGAGACATCTAGCCGAGTGCCTGGGACTAGTTTTACCAAAAAAAGCACAGCCAACCTCTAGGAGCCCAAGGTCACTGAGCAGGGCTTCTAAGGAGGGGTGATTGCCTGTCGCTGTATGATGTCACTGGAGTCTGTAAGGTGGGGCTCCCTCTAAACTTTGGGGTTGGGTGTGGGGGTCCCAGGCACGTGCCCGGATGGATGCACTGGGTTGTCACTCTCTGCAGAGAGTGTGTTTTGCCCTTGGCAGCCTCTCGTCAATCCCAGTCCTGCCCCCTTGCGCCCGTCCCGCCGTGTCCTCTGCCCTTCGCTTCCGTCCTGTCCCAAGAGCCAAGGAACCGCTGATCTCAGCTCTTCCCGAGGCCCTGGGCTCCAGCTCGCTACCTTTGTCCCCGCCTTTAAGTCTCTGTGCGGCTCAGCAGCGCTGCGGGGGTGGGGGCGGCCGCCCACATCACGCCAGCCACTCTCGTTTGTGAGCAGAGGAAGCCCGGCGACCTCAGCCCCGGTGCCAGATCCTGCCTCTGAAAAGCCTTGGCTGCGCAGCCCTGCCTGCCTGCCGTTTGCCAAATGGCGAATAGGCAGGCTCTGTTCTGGGAGATTCCGGGGAGGGGGCTTTGGAAGCGGGCGTCACCGTCTGCGGTGAGATTCACACTGTCCCTGTGCAGAAATGGCGCAGGCGCTTCAGGCTGAGAGCCTTCGTTGATAATAACAGGCAACTGGCCTGAGGCCACAGCATGCCAATTTAATTGTTTTAAATGTTGCATTTTTAGTATTCTAATCACACAGTAATGGGTTTTGATGCCTTTCTCATGCATCTGCCTCATGTATTTTGATCTTGGACCTACCCTTACACTTTAATGTTTTTCCTCCTGACTTCTGCGTTCTTTTCATTTTCTCTTCGTCTTTTTTTCTTTTAAGTGATTAGGGTTTCCTGGACCCAACTTAGCAAGAGGATCTCTAGTCCATTCTCTGCAAACAACAATTTCGCTCTTCGTCATGGCTGAATAGTATTTTCACTGTGTGTGTGTGTGTGTGTGTGTGTGTGTACATGTTCTTTGGCCGTTGATCTACTGATAAGCACCCAGGCTGATTGCATGAGTTGGCCGTTCTAGAAAGATCCGCAGTTAAACGTGGATGTGCAGGTGGGCGTGGTGCTTGCCCAGTTTTGATCCCTTCTGGAATATACCTAGGCGTGGTATTATCTGGATCACCAGACAGTCTGTCTTGATCCACTGAGACATGCCTCTTCTCATGTTCTGTGCTTGAGATGTGAATCCCACTTCCTAGTCCTGGCCTCGTTGGTGGCTCCCAGGGACCACACCGTTCATTCGGTTGAGAGAGCCTGGCAGCTGACCCCTGACCCCTGCTTCCTCGCCACTGGAAAGAATAACAGGTTTGAACGGTTGCCATCTGTACCTCCTCCCGCCGCTATAGAGAAACTTCTTCTATAGGTCACTGCCACTCTGTGAGGGCAATCCACAGAAGTGACGTCATCCAGGGCCGGACCAGTGGACGAGGCTGGCCGAGGGGAGGGCGATGCAGTTCTTAAAAAGCTAAAACCGAGAGATCTGTGTGATCCAAGCGCAGGCTGAGGCTTAGGCTCTGAGAGGGCAGAGGCAGGAAAAAGTCGCCTCTCTCCCCTCAGGCCTATTGGGCTGAGGGTTCAAAATCTCCACAAGGCGCCAGAGATGAGCTCGGCTGTCACGGGACAGGTGTCTCCTCCAGGGCTGGTGCTGCCAGGAGGGGGGAAGTTTCTAGCAAGGCAGGGGTGGAGTGTTTAGGGAGAGAGAGAGGAGAATGCCCGTGGTCTTAGCCTGGGTAGGCCAGACTTTGTGTGTTACTACCTGAGTGACTTAGCCAAGGTCTCTGCTCGTAAACCAGCAAGAGTGGCTGCTGGCGGGTACTACCCACACATGGACGGCATCTGTGAGATCTCCTTTCTTGCTTGCTCCCACAGCCGCCCATTATCCACAAGACTGACACACTCTCCCTCTACCCGATCGGTTGTTCTGAGAATTAGTGACTCACCCAGGGCCTGTCCTCTGTCTCCCATTTCCTCCCCCTGGGTCAACCGCCTCACAAATTGCATCCTGGTGTTTTGAATCGGCCAGGAAGAGGAATGCCTGTCTGATACAGAAGCCCTCACGCATAGCGGGATGTGTTTGTCTAAAAATAGAATCCCAGGGAGACCCACAACTCTTGGTACCTAAAGCCCAGGCTGACCCTAATGTACACTCCCAGACTGCTCTCCACTCTCGTTCCATCCCGGCCCCTTGGATGCTCGGGGGTGGGGGTGGCGGCCGCTGAAGACCTTGGGAGTTCTCTGATGGCAGGCGCTCCCCCTGTCTCCAGGGACGTTGATTCAATCTTCTCCAATCGCCGGCATTGCCATCTGCCTGCAGTAATTAAATGGTATTTGAACTGGATCCAGAAATCCCATCACAGGCGGCCGCGTGGTAGGGAGGGTATCTTCAGGAGCTCACCCTGGTCTACGCAGTTGGAGGGTCCTCCCAGGCTGCCCCATCAGTTCACCAAGGGGCGCCCACGTGCCCAGGGCAGAGCCAGAGCTCACTCTGTACAGCTGCCCACGCGTTCCCGGGGTGTCCGGGGTGTCCGGGGCTTCCCCCCAACTCTCCAAGCCCTACCACAGGGCCATGGAAGGGCTAGTGCCTTCAGCCTGCCCTCACAATCTGTGACTCTGAATGACGGCACCCTGGTTTCCAGTAATGACCCCCTGGGGTTGTTGTGAGGTCAAGAGTTAAGATGTTAAGTTCACAGGCATTGCCCGGCACGCTGTGAGCTGTGTGTGTGTGTGTGTGTGTGTGTGTGTGTGTGTGTGTGTGTGTGTGTGTGTGTGAGCTGCAGTAGCTCAGACAGAAGTAGACGTCCAGGAAGGAGCCTGTTGGCTCTGGGGTCTTGGGGTGGTTGGTGGGGGTGGGGGTAGCATGGCCGGGTTCTGGTCTGGAGGTCCAGAGTGAACGTATGAGAATCAATTTTTTTGCCCTTTCTGTAAGAAAACCAGTTCAAGTGAGCAGGTGAGAGGCTGGGGTTAGGCTTCCATCTTGGTATGGGTGGCTCTTAACAGTTATGTAAGGGTGGGGACTCCTTTGGGCTTCCATTTCTGAAGAGAGCCATTCACTGAAGTGACTGCTTATACCTCAAAGAAAACACTTCTGAAGGAAGCCAGACTCCCGCATATGGGTAGAGCCTTGCCTGAGTGACCCCACGCCACCGCGCCCCACCTGCCTGCCTGTCCTGCCACAGTCCACCCCCATCCACAGCAGAGGGCAGCAACGGGCTTGGTTGGGAGCGCCTCACCGGCTGATGGCTCTGAGTGGGTCTCTGGAGGTTGTGGCAACTGAGACAAGGACAAGATGGTGGCTTGGAGACGCTGGGGTCTGCAGCTTGGCGCCTCCGGGCCTCGAGTGGGTGCTGGCCCGGCCCCTCTTGTTTGTTTCTTCTCTTGGTAAATGTTGGCTTAGGAAGAGGGGTCTGACGGACGAGCCGCTCACTGTAAGAGCACAGTCAGTCCATGGGCCGCTTGTGAGCCCATGGCAAGCGAGGGTCTGTCCCGTCCCCCACCCCCTCCCCTCGCTTTAGGATATTTGAAGGGGACTTTCTGCAGTCCCTGCACACTCACGCTTCCGGACTCATGCTCGGTTGCCATGGGGACCTCTTCATAGCGAGGACAGAGACAGTTCTGCCCGCTGGGTACTGGTACCACCTCTCCCTCTGACAGGGATTCCTCCTCTGAGCCAGCATCTGGGATGTGGGCCCACCCCGCAGCTGGCTCAGCGTCCCTTCTCATTGATGGCCTTGACAGGGCGCTTTTCACTTGACCTAGGCTGCCCTGCTTGTGTTTGGTTTCCCCTCAGCTCCTGGAAAGAACCAGGCCTTGTATCTGAGATTGCCGCTAGGCCGTGGCACCTCGGGAGGTGGGGGGCTGAGATCCCCAGCAGCCTCTGCGGGTCTCAGCAGAGGGGCTGCCGAGGAATGTGGTCCAGAGCTCTGTGGGGTCACCTACCCTGTTCCTCTCCCCCCCGACCTTGTCCCTCAGCTTCATCTGTCCAGAGTGGGCTAGCTTTCATCATCCCCTTGCAAGAGGGATGGATACTGACCTCCAGGCCTCTGCGGGAGACGGGGGGAGGGGGGTGCCTTCACCCTTCACCGTTGCACAACCTTGGGCCAACCGTTCTCGGCCCCTGTGTCAGTGGCTGACCCAAGCTTGTACAAGGGACAGTCGGGCAAATAAATGGATCCCTTGCAGTGTGGTTTACAGTGTAGAACACATGAGTTCACGTTTATATAGAACACTCGGGGTCCCAAGGGGTAGCGGCCACTGCTTTGGGTGGTAAAGTGAGAGGGACAGGCTGTCACCCCCACCCAGCTATGCTTCCCACCCTGCACAGGATCAGGCCCCAGCTGTCAAAGGAGAAGATTGAAGGCTGTCATATCTGCACCTCCGTCACCCCTGGGGAGCCCCAGGTCCTGCTGGGGAAGGACAAGGCCTTCACCTATGACTTTGTCTTTGACCTGGACACCTGGCAGGAACAGATCTATTCGACCTGCGTGAGCAAGCTCATCGAAGGCTGCTTCGAGGGCTATAATGCCACAGTGCTGGCCTACGGACAGGTAAGCCACCCCTGCCCCAACCGGCGGCCCTTTCAACCTCAGTCTACCCTCACCCAGTGGAGGGGAATGGGCCCGCCAGAGAGCAGTCTGTCTAGGCCCCATTGTGCAGTTTTGCCTGGCATCAGAGTTATGGATGCATGGCTGGTTAGGCTTGCGTCAGGGGATTCTGTAGGGTCTGGCTCTACAGAAAAGGGACAACTCGGCTGGAGGTAATAGGTAAGAGGATTTGGCCCGAGCCAAGGCTTGCCGGTCTTCCACCTGCTTTCTGTCTCTGCCGATGCAGACAGGGGCTGGGAAGACGTACACCATGGGCACCGGATTCGACACGGTGACGTCGGAAGAGGAGCAGGGCATCATCCCAAGGGCCATCGCACACCTCTTCAGGGGCATCGACCAACGCAAGCGGCAGGCACAGGAGCAGGGCGTGACTGGGCCTGAGTTCAAAGTCAGCGCCCAATTCCTGGAGGTACTGTGGCCTTGGAGGGTGGTCGGGAAGGAGACGTGTTGGAACCTAAGGCCGTGGAAGCTGGAGCTTCCGACAGTGCAGAGAAATGGTCCCAGGGAGCCCTGGAGACATCGGCAGAGGCTGAGTTCCCTGCTGGGAGTATCTAAGCAAAGGCTAGAGAAAGTCTTGGGAGTAGCTGAATTGTTTCCTGCTTCAGGTGTGGCCCAAGATCTCCTCAGACCCTGGCTGATTCTGTCCCTGCCCTAGGCAGGCAGGTCATGAACTACTTCTACAGAGTGGGTTTGACCTCTTTCCATGGGGGTCAGTGAGTCTGGCATGGAAGCCCCTCCCTGGCACGTGGTAGGAGCCCTGCTTCTGACAATGCGTTCTGGGCCCGCCAAGCCCTTCCTCTGCCTCCAAAGCACCTACCTGTATCTTTTGGACTGAGACACATTCTGGCCTCTCGCTGCAGAAGAGTCTCTGGCAGGGGCTTTGGGCTTTGCTTCATTCTGGTCTCCCAGCTTTGGGAGGTATCAGCCTGGACTGTGCAGCCATGAGCTTTGCGGGGGGGGGGGGAACCCCAGGGGCTCTCTGGGCCCTTTCACGTTTGGCCTGTGCTGACAACCCATTTGAATAAGTGCTCTGTCCAGAAGATGCCCTTCTTGGGGGTAAATGTCCAGGAAGATGATCCACCTTGATATTTCTTACAGGAACCTGACCAGGCTCCTATGAAATGTGTGGTTGGGTGTTCTGATTCTCAACATCTAGTTTCCCCCACCAACGAGCCCTGCTCTGATGTGTTTAATGGGTTCAGAACCACCCTGGTCTCACACCTCCCAACCCTGAGGCTTTAACTGAACCTTTTTGCCCTCAGAGGGATGGTCAGGGCTGGGGTTTGTCCCTGTATACTGCCCCAGTGTCTCTTTTCTGTGCACCCAAGGTTACGTCTTTCTGCACAAGGGACCTGTCTGTATTTTAGCCCTTTGGCTTACATCTGTGTACATATGCACGTATGCGTATTCATGTGTGGTTGCGTGTTTGTGTGTACGCGGGCATGTACACGGGTGTTTGTGTGCTTGTGTGTATGCGTGTTTGTTTAGATGAGTGTCTGTTCGTCATTAAGCCCTTCTCTGCTTTCTTCCCCCTTCCCATTCTGTTGCAATGGAGAAACTCCAGAGAACACAGGAGTAAAATCCAGACCAAAGGGTGAACGCCAAGGGGTTAACTGATGCACTGTGTCTACCCTAATGCAAGACAGACAGACACCGTGGCAATCTGTCTCCACCATCTCTTCCTTCTGTTTCCTCTTCCCCTTCCTGCGGGATATTTTCGCCCTTTAAGGCCAACAAAGCATCAGATGTCCGAGGGCTGCAGTGCCCCTCTCTGGCTCCATCAGACTCTTCTGGACAACGCCCTCCCCCTGCCCCCCCCCCCCCCGCCTTTGACAACATAGCATTTCATTCCCCACAGCTCCAGTCACAGGAGATTCCCTCAGCAGACGTCTGAAGTGGGCTGGCCACTCCTGACCACATTCTTCCAGAAAGGCTGGCCCACAGTGCCCATTCTAGCTCCCTCTGCTCCTGAGCTGTGGCCGAGGCACACGGCTCTTCTTCCCCCATCCAGAGATGTCATGACTTCTACCTCAGGGACCACGGTGCTCAGAGCTTCAGTCTCCATGAACTCTTCGAGCTTCGTTTTCCTTCATGCCCTCTCTGCCAGACTGGCAGTATGATGAGACCCTCCCTCCCGACGCAGGCTCATGTCTGCCCCATCCATTGCCCCTGGGACCCGCATCCCTCCGCCCTCGTCCTCAGCCTCCCTCTGGAGCTGAGAGCTGCTGGACAGGAGTAGAGCAGCATGTGCAGCCTCAGGGTAGCATGTCTAGGAGGATCAGGGTTCAGCGGGTTACACTCCAGAGCTTGTTTCCGCGTTAGCACATTGAGATGGTATATAAATACGAGGCGAGGAAGCCCTGGAGGCTCCCGGCCATGTACCGTGTGAATGCAGCCATGGTTTCCTTCCCATCGCAGCTCTACAATGAAGAGATCCTTGACCTGTTCGACAGCACCCGTGACCCTGATGCCCGCCACCGCAGGTCCAACATCAAGATCCACGAGGATGCCAACGGTGGTATCTATACCACAGGCGTCACTTCCCGCCTCATCAGTTCCCAGGAGGAGGTGAGCACCTTCTCACACACACACACACACACACACACACACACGCATGCACACACGTGCACACACACACGCATGCACACACGTGCACACACACACGCATGCACACACGTGCACACACACACACACACACACATGCACACACACACGCATGCACACACGTGCACACACACACACACACACACACACGCATGCACACACGCACGCATGCACACACACACACGCATGCACACACATGCTCGCATGCACACACGCACGCGGGTGTACATAAAGGTCACAGCCCTGGAGCTCAGGGGTCCTGAGTCCCCCCTTTGCGTATGTTCCCAGCTGATCCAGTGTCTGAAGCAGGGTGCCCTGTCACGAACCACAGCCAGCACCCAGATGAACGTTCAGAGCTCCCGATCCCACGCCATCTTCACCATCCACCTGTGCCAGATGCGAGTGTGTGCCCAGCCTGACCTGGTGAGGTGCTCTTGGGGGCCCAGGAGCTACGCGCTCTGTCTAGGTGTATCCCAGGGACTGGATGAGCAAGCATGGGGACTAAGCTAGAACTCACAGAGGTGGGGCTTGCCTCTGCCCCTCGGTTTGTCTTCTTCAGCCCCTCTCCCTGTCATGCAATGGGGAGGGTTATTGATAGCGCATGCAAATACCGCGTTTGCGCCCAGGCGCTGCGCACGCGAGGGCTTGGTACTTACGGTGCAGCCTACCCTCGCTCTTGCCGATGGTGGTATTTACCGCGTGCACGGGGTGGAAGGCCAGCACAGGAAACGGGAGGGAGGGCTTGGGTGAGCCAGTTGTCGCATTCTGCTGCAGGTGAACGAGACTGTGACGGGGTTTCCTGACGGAGCAGCCCCCACGGGCACCGAGTATGAGACTCTCACTGCTAAATTTCACTTTGTGGACTTGGCCGGCTCCGAGCGGCTGAAGCGGACAGGGGCCACCGGTGAACGGGCCAAGGAGGGCATCTCCATCAACTGTGGTCTGGTAGGCATACGGAGGGTTACCAGCCCCAGCAGCCAGACGGCACAGGCCCAAGCAGGCTATGCTATCTGTGCTTCGATGACTGCCCAGTCCTCTTTGAGCTGCTAACTGAGGCACCCAGTCACTCCTGCTGGGTCTGCCTTCCTTCGCCCTCTGTCAGTCTATAAACCCACCCCGAGGCCTGAGTGCCGCTGCTGCCGGAGGGTACAGGTGTGTGGGATTGTGCTCACTGCCCTCCTGGTAGGACTCTTGAGCTCAAGCTCTTTCGCCCACAGCTGGCCTTAGGCAATGTGATCAGCGCCTTGGGGGACCAGAGCAAGAAGGTCGTGCACGTGCCCTACAGGGACTCCAAGCTCACTCGGCTGCTCCAGGACTCTCTGGGAGGCAACAGGTATCTGATGACCACTGTCCAGCAAGGGTACAGCAGTTCCTGGATGGAGAATACTGATGCGGGCTTAGGGCCTGACTCCCAGGACCTCGGGGGCCTTCTCAGCCTAGGCTGCAGACTCAGAGGCAGGAACCTTGAGGGGTTCAGTGACTTGTGGCTGGGTAGACTCGGTTTCATTACTTCACAGCAGCAAGAGACGATCCTAAAGAAAGCCACACAGCCCAGTGAGAGAGAGGCCATGCCATATGTACTTCACCGAGCAGAGGATTCCACAATGGTTAACTGCTCTCTTGCTGCGGAGGATCTTGGCCTGGTGGTCCAGGGTCCCGCAACTCCGGTTCAGGGTCCTTTAAGCATTAAATTGGGGAGGGGATCAGGGTGGAACAGAACCTCTGGCTCCGTCCTCTGTCCTCACCCAGCCTGGTTTCCCTCCTCCTAGCCAGACCATCATGATCGCCTGTGTGAGCCCCTCGGATCGGGACTTCATGGAGACGCTTAACACTCTCAAGTATGCCAATCGGGCTCGCAACATCAAAAACAAGGTGGTGGTGAACCAGGACAAGACCAGCCAGCAGATCAGTGCGCTGCGAGCTGAGATTGCGCGCCTGCAGATGGAGCTGATGGAGTACAAAGCGGTGAGCGCGTTCCCCTGGACTCCCCCAGGCTCCCCGGACTCCCACAGGCTTCCCTGAACTCCCCCAGACTCCCCTAGGCTCCCCAGGCTCCCTCAGGCTCCCCAGGCTCCCCCGGGCTTCCCCGGGCTCCCCGGGCTCTCCCGGAAGGAGCTGGTGCCCTGCTCCACACCCAGCCCTATAGTGTCCCACAACAGGTCCTGAGTGTGCCTCCCACCTTCCCATCACCCATCCATCATGCCCGCTAGACATCCCTGTGCATCAGACATGGTTCCGGGTACTGGGTTTCAGACTGAGCCATCCGGGCTTAGACTACAAAGCCTAAGAATGAGAGCACCTTGGTTTTGTGCCCTGGGTGTTTGGTTCGGGGAGGGCAGCTCCTAGGCGCTTTAATAGATGAGGCCACTCCACCGTGGTGGCATCGTTGACAGTGGAGGCACAGGGGTGTGCTACAGGGGCAGGAGAGTCGGCCTGCTTGCTCGGGTGGTCAGGGAAGGGTTTGTGGAAGGGGCCTTTCATTCTTGAGAAAAGAACGGAATGCCGGCAAAATGAATCCAGCCATATAAAACACAGGTGCTCCAAGGGGCATGTCTAATTCTACATACCCAAGGCTGCGTCACCCGCTGGTGACGCCCCTAGTCCGAATCTGGCACACAGATGGGTGGGTTTGGGTTTGGTTTCAGAAGGATGCAACTTGTCTGACAACTTTTCCGGAAGTCTCGACTTCTGCAGGAAAATTTGTCTCTACCAACAGCTGGCACTTAAGTTGTCTGGAGTGAGTAGCAATGTTTATTATATGAAGAAATTTCATGATACAAGCACAAACAAACTGTACAGTCGTATCCCGTCTGTAAGCTGTTGAGAGCCACTGACCTCCTTTGCAACTCAGGACACAGACGGTTAGACTCGGCAATGAGGTGATGGCAAATTCTGCACTGATAAAATTTTACCCTAGTAGTAGTCCTGTTCTTTGGCCGAATAAGGATTATAGTAACATTCCTGGGCAAAAACAGAGGGACTAAAAGTACGAAATTCATTAGTTTACAAGACTTAACTTTTTATTTATATAACAGACAGCAAGCCCAGTGTCTTGGTGATAGTATGCTAGTTGCGTTGATTTTAACTTTAAGGAGGACAGTTAATCACGAGAACCAAGATATCAAGACAGCGACTGCCTCTCTGTGAATTTTCTCCGCTCCAGTCAACACCTCTTGTCTTACACCAGACTGAGTCTCGGAGAGAACTGTGTTTTTGTTTTGGTTTTGGAGACAGGGTTTCTCTGTGTAACCCTGGCTGTCTTGGAACTCACTCTGTAGACCATGCTGACCTCTGACTCATAGGTCCGCCTGCTTCTGCCTCCTGAGTGCTGGGATTAAAGCTGGTACCACCACCACCACCACCAGGGTTTTGGTTTTGGTTTGTTTGTTTTTTTAAGAGGAGTCTCGTGTAGTCCAGGTTGGCCTGGGACTCATTTTGCCCAGGCTGGCTTTGAGAGCATGACCCTCGCACCTCAGACTCCCGGGCAGTGAGATTATAGAGGTGAGGCCCCATGTCCAGTGCCGTGTGAGCGAGCACCGGGAGGCAGGAGCTAGGTTAGCAAACGTGGAGGAGGAGAGAGACCAGAAGTGCCACCCTGCCCTGCCCTGGGCAAGGCTGAACACAGTGGAAGAGGATTGCCATTGTACCCTCCCAGGAGCCTTAGCACCTGACCTCTCCCTGCCTGTCTGCAACCCAGGGCAAGCGGGTAATCGGGGAGGACGGCGCAGAGGGCTACAGCGACCTGTTCCGGGAGAATGCCATGCTACAGAAGGAGAACGGGACTCTGCGGCTTCGCGTGAAGGCCATGCAGGAGGCCATCGACGCTATCAACAACCGAGTCACGCAACTCATGAGCCAGGAGGCCAACCTGCTTCTGGCCAAGGCTGGTAAGTTGGGGTACGGTGGACTGGCTTAGAGCAATAACATGCCTCCCTACCGTGGCAGCCAGCCAACACACAGATTAGTACATTTGTGCACTCGCCAACGATTTAGCATGGCACACGTAGCTTCCTTGTTAAACGTGTAAGAGGCACATGCATGGTGTGTTAAGCCAAGATGAAAGTCCCCGCAGCAGGCTCTGCGTCCACACCTCTGCTGTCAGGAGGATTCCTTCCTGGGCAGCTGTGTGTGTGCCTTCCCACACTCTCTCTCAGCCAGAACATTTGCTTTGAGTATAAATGCGTTCCGATATACCATTTGTACATGTGTGAACTATGTGCGCTGCATTTTCTGTAGATGATGTCACGCTTTCTATTTTACGACTTCCTTTTCTTTTTCATTTAGCATCATGTCTTATAAATCTCCATACTCGAAGCCACTTAATTTTTAAATGCATGATGCTCCTCCGTATGTGACGTTGAATAATTTATTGAACAGCCGCTGTTGATGGACGTTTAGATTGTTTCCAATTTCATGCCATTATCCAACAGTGCTTGGTTACAACTGTGGTCGTGTTCGAGTATTTCCCTCACGTGGATTCCCTCACGTGAGCTACCGTGCCGGAAGCCCATGCGAGGCCATCAGTCTTAGAGCCGTGGCCTCCGCGCTTGCTGTCATCACGTGGTTTTCGTTATCGTGCCTGTCTTTCTTCTCCGTCCAGGTGATGGCAACGAGGCCATTGGTGCTCTCATCCAGAGCTACATCCGGGAGATTGAGGAGCTTCGGTGAGTGAGGCCCACCCACCCACTGTGAGCAGGCTGGATGGCCTGGCCTGGGCCAGCTTCCTGTGGCTCACCCGCTGGCCCCACCCGCTCACAGAACGAAGCTGCTGGAGAGTGAGGCCATGAACGAATCCCTCCGCCGGAGCCTGTCACGGGCTTCCGCTCGCAATCCCTACTCCCTGGGAGCATCTCCGGCAGGCCCAGCGTTTGTGGGCAGCCCGGCCAGCTCCATGGAGGATGCTTCTGAAGTGATCCGAAGGGCCAAGCAAGATGTGGAGCGGCTGAGAAAGAAAGAGGTTAGGCAGCGGAGGAAGAGGTGAGCGGGCTGCCTCTGTCTACCTCCCCCGCAGCCGGAACACTGGAGAGTGGACCCCCCACACCGCCCAGGAGGACTGCTCCCCACCCCAAACACAGGGACAGGGAAGACCACCCCTACACAGCCTCACCCCACTCCTAGCGGCATCGCCAGTACAGTAACGCACTTACTCGATTTGGAGCTGAGATACCTCCCCAGCCTTCCCTTGCCTGGTGCTTTCTCACAGGGTTAATAATTCCAGGAGACCGATAGAGCAGGGTTGTGGGTGGGTACCGGAGAAGTGGTGGAGGGTCCTGGCTCGCTACAAAGCGGGAACTTGGTCCTGCGGCGTCAGTCTCTTATCTGGCTTCATTTTCATTCCATAAGCAGCCCGGAGAAAGAGGCCTTCAAAAAGAGAGCAAAACTCCATCAGGAAAACAGTGAAGAGACAGACGAGAACGAGGCTGAGGAGGTGAGGATCCCCCCCCCCCCCCCCCCGCCGCCGCCTTCTTCACCACGGGCTTACCACCACGTCCCTGTTAGGGTAAAGACTCCATCAGTGTTGCCCGGGGTGGGACAGAGAGCTGCCTTTAGCTCACGCTTGAGTTCTGCGGTAATGCTGACTTGTTGCCATGGCGAGCGCCATCCATCCCTCCCGTCTTTGCTTCGCTTCTTCCCAAACGGATGATGCTAGACTGAGCATCCTTCAGGGAGGCTGTGCTCAGGCTACTAGGAGTGGACGGTCTTCCCACAGGAGGTGGCTGGGTCCCACCCCTGCTGATAACCCAGAAGTCTTGCATGTGGCCCAGGCTCTGCCATGGGGCTCCCAGCTCATGAGGCGAGCGCAGCTCTAATGGTACATTGTGCCCAGGAGGAGGAGGAGGAACGAGACGAGGGTGGCTGTGAGGAGGAGGACGAAGACTCGGGCAGCGAAGAGAGCCTGGTAGACTCAGACTCGGACCCTGAAGAAAAGGGTGCGTAGGCTGGGGCTGGGGACATGAGTGGCTTGTGTCCAGTCCCCATGGATCGGGGTGGAGTCCCCTGCTAATGTTCTCGGAGACTGCACGTCTAGACAGGGCTTGCACTCCTGCGTGTGAAGCCAACAAAAGCGATAATAGTAACAAATGATGGGGAGCACTCAGTCTGCCCCTTCATGAATCCAGTGCTCATTGCTGCCTGAGTCACCAACTGAGCATGCTCAGAGAGGGTCCTGAGCCACCCTGGTGGATCCCGAAAGGCATCTGTCCTCCAACTCCGTCCTGTTATCTCTTACCTATATAGCCAGCCCTACAAGGTGCTCTGGCTCACCTGACCCTCCTCCACCCAAGCACGGTCCCATGGCGAGACAGGCTGGTGGGCTCCTGAGATCAGACGTGCATTTCTGAAGCTGCTCACCGAGAGTGTGGCGGTGCTCCGCCTACCTTCCTAGCCACTGATTGCTCACCGCTGATAGAGGGTGTCCTGTGACCCAGGGCTGTCACTTCTCCCCCTGGCCCCTGGCCCCTGGCACGGGGCTGAGTCTGGCTCTGTCCTGCAGAAGTCAACTTCCAGGCAGACCTGGCAGACCTGACGTGCGAGATTGAGATCAAGCAGAAGTTGATTGACGAGCTGGAGAACAGCCAGCGGCGGCTGCAGACGCTCAAGCACCAGTACGAGGAGAAGCTGATCCTACTGCAGAACAAGATCCGAGACACACAGCTGGAGCGCGACCGCGTGCTGCAAAACCTCAGTGAGGCCAGCACCATGCCATGCTTCTCTTTCCCGGCCCCCTGCTCTGTCAAAAGACACCCAGCATCCTTCTGATCACACCTGGCCTTCTGCACAAGGGACCTCTGACCAACGAACGCACTGCAGCCTTTGGCCCATAGTTAAAACGTTCTTGCATCTAAGCCAGTTTCTCTGCAACTTTTGTTTTTGCTTCCGAGTTACGTGTGTGTGTGTGTGTGTGTGAGTGAGAGAGAGAGAGAGAGTGTGTGTGTGTGTGAGAGAGAGAGAGAGAGGGAGAGAGGGAGAGAGAGTGGGGGGCTTACATATAGATATCAGAGGGCCACTTGCAGAAGCCAGCTCTCCCCTTCCACTCTCTGGGTCCCAGGGATGGACTTTGAACTTTGGTCATCATGCTTGGCAGCAAGCGCCATTATCTGCTGAGCCATTTTGACGGTCCCCTCTTTCTGAGACAGAGTCTTGCCATGTGGCCCAGGCTGGCCTCGAACATGTGACAGTCTTTCTGCCTCAGCCTCCCTGGTGGTAGAACCATTCACAGGTGTTACTATGCCTAGCTCTTTGGTTTTTTTTTTTTGTTTGTTTGTTTGTTTGTTTTTCATCTTAACTATTAGAAATCTGTAACCCTTTATCTCCCTAGCCATGTGACTAAGACACCTCCCAACCTCTCTCCTCCCCCCCCTGTATCCAGTTTATAAAACTTCTCAAATTGTGCCCCTTCTGCTGTTTTGCAACCTACTCATTCAGCGGTTCATCTCCTTGTCCACTTATTCAGCAAACGCTACTCGAATGTGCTTATAGTGCAGGCGCTGTTCTGGGGACTGTTACAGCGTGAAATCCTTCTTGTGGAGCGTACACAGCATAAACTGAGCAGAAATTGCTAGCAAGGCTGGCACAACTAACTTGGCTTTTTTTTTTTTTTTAATGTGGGAAGGAAAGGGGATGAGGAGCTTAGGGGTGGGCAGGCTGGGGCACGGGAGACTACATGGAGGAGGCGGGCGACCTTGGAATAAGGCTCAAAAGAGATGAGGCAGCAGACGAGCAGAACTAGAAATGGGAAGAACCGTCCAGACAGGGGGCAGGAGCTGTTAAGACCAGAGGCAGCCTTGTGCCTGGCATGTTGGTGGAATGGCAGTCTAGACTCGTCATGTCTGTCGTTACGTTTCTTTGACTCAGAGGGTAAGGGGTTTTTGAAGGAGAGTTGACACAGCCTTTAAAGGCATTTCCAAACCACCATGTTTGCTGTTGTGTAGGAGGAAAAAGCAGAAGCTAGACCACTTAGGGGGCAGATTGGACAGGTGGTAAGATGTAGTCAGATTCAAGGATTTCGAAGATTGAGCTCAAGACATGGCTGTGTGGACAGGAGGCATGGTGGATAAGGGAGCTGGGTCTCAGGATCCGAGCCTCGGGGCAGGAGGCCGTGAGGTTTTCTGAAATGTGGAGGCCAGGTTGCTCTTAGACCTGCAGTTGGCGATGTCTGTTCCCAGCCCTGGTGGGAGTGTCTGGGGAGAAGCCAGTGTATCCCTTCCCATCTCTCCCTGTAACCTATCCATCGGCTTCTGGCTGGCACCACCTTTCCAGGGACCAAAGGCTTGGTGTGAAACACTACCGAACAATAGGATGTCAGAGCAGGAGAGGGCCTAGGATGGCTGCCCAACCCACATCCTCACTGCTCAAAGGAAGAAGGAGGCTCGGGGGAAGGGCCACCCCCCGCCCCCGCACTGAGCCCACGTTTAGTGCGAGCCGTGGGGCCTGCCCCTCTGACCCTGCTTTCCACTGTCCTCAGGCACCATGGAATGCTACACGGAAGAGAAGGCCAACAAGATTAAGGCGGACTACGAGAAGAGGCTGCGGGAGATGAACCGGGACCTTCAGAAGCTCCAGGCCGCCCAAAAGGAGCATGCCAGGCTGCTCAAGAACCAGTCACGCTACGAAAGAGAGCTGAAGAAGCTACAAGCCGAGGTAGCTGAGATGAAGAAGGCCAAGGTAGGCAGAGGACATGAGGGGTGGGGTCTAGGGCCCTGTGTCGTGTCTTAGGGTCCCTATTCCACGTCGGAAGTCACCACTGCTGTCAAGCGTGCAGCTTTCACTGAGCACACAGCACCTGACTTATCGGGTCCTGCCCCAAGCATGCGCACGCCTTCCTGGCAGCTCATCCCAGAGCTGCGCTCATTGCATGCACCTTGATCAATGCTGCCACTGTGTTAGGAGGCTGGACTAGTAGCTATTAATATTAATATGTTAGTGTTTTGTGTGTGTGTGTTGGTATATTAGCACGATATACCACTATATAGTGGTATATACCACTATAGCTGTACTAACCGTTCCTGTCTGCACAGGGAAGCCTTAAAGCCTCCTGGGTTACGAGCCTCTAGGCGCAGCGACAGCTGGCACCACGGTCAGCTCTTGCTTAGGCGTCTTGCAGGCTAGTCACATTCCCCTCGTGAAAGGCTCAGGGAAGGTAATTCCTGCTACCAGGACGTAGTGCCAGGATGTCTGTCTGCCCTTGATGTTCCGAACTGGTGTGTGTTCTTGGTGGCTCTGGGCTCCCTTTCCTACTTGGCCACGGTCCGCAGGGTCTCTCTTTTGAGGTCATTGGCTCAGGTCTTGAACTTCTGGTATCTGGGTGGTTTTAGCTCCTGCCTGGAGCTTGCAGATCCTTGCTCTGTGTATATTGTCCGTCACACTCGGACCTTCCTGTCCCGGCCTAAGGTCTGGGACTAGACCCCTGACAAAGCTTGGCAAAGGTGCTAGGCCTGAGCCCCTTGGGGACCCGTGGGACAGGAGCCACCAGGAGCTGCGCCCTGACCGCCGGCCTGACTGATGCTGACCAGTGCACACGGGAAAGACAAAGTTAATCAACTTTAGAAGAGATGGATCTGTACCTGGGCAGGCTCTGTCGTCGGGGAGGTCCAGGCCCTCTACCCGCTGAGGAAGAAGTTCCTCCTCCCTGTCTTGCTGTGGTCGAGCCAGCATGGCCCCAAAGAGCTCCCACTGTCCCTGCTACCCCAGGTGGCCCTCATGAAGCAAATGCGTGAGGAGCAGCAGCGGCGACGATTGGTAGAGACCAAGAGGAACCGGGAGATTGCCCAGCTCAAGAAAGAACACCGGAGGCAGGAGGTAAGCTCCTTGGGGCTCTTGGCCTCCCTTCCCTTCCCCACCAAGACCCTCCACCCCCAGTTCCAAATGACAACAGCCATGCTTGGAGCACAGTGCACCTAGTAGAGGGGTAGAGCCATGCTGGCTTCCGTCCCAACCAGAGAAAGGCACGGATTTTCCAAGGTCACCACCAGCAAAGTCAGATGCATGGGGAGCTTCTGCAGGCCCAGAAGTAAAAGCCCAGGAAGACTGGCTAATTCAGATTCCTGCTCGTGGTGGGAGATAAGACCAAGACACTTGTCCTTGTGGGCAGGAATCCCGCACGGCCACCCCTGCTGGAAAGGCAGCTCTCTCGGAGTGTCATTTCGGCTACAGTTTGGCAGTGTGAGAATCACCCGCACAAGAAAATCTTGAGCTTTTGGCTGCCTACCCAGCCTGTCCCCAGCCGTGTCTGGACAGCAAGAGTGTGGTTGGTGGCTGAATGTGACCCAACCCTTCCCCTTCAGTTTCAGATACGGGCCCTGGAATCTCAGAAACGGCAGCAGGAAATAGTTCTGAGGAGGAAAGCCCAGGAGGTGAGTGCTCTCTCTCATCGGGCCAGCTGGCTCTGGTTTCCATGTTACCCGCCTCTGAAGCAGTGCAGGGGGTGGGGGGGGCAAGGCACGGGGAGGGGGGGGTGGACAGACGGACAGGGGATGGGGACGGACGCCCATGCTCCTTGTGGCCTGGATCTCCTTTCGTTCAGTGAGCACAGCCTTGCCAACTCGTAGTAGCCTGTGAAAAATGACTCCTCAACCAGTGAGCTGAGCCTAGAGGGTAGAGTATACACACCCCATCCCCAGGGCTGGTCATTTAAAAAAGACAGAAAAAGCCGGGTGGTGGTGGCACACACTTTAATCCCAGCACTCAGGAGGCAGAGAGACAGGCGGGCAGATCTCTGTGAGTTTGAGGCCAGCCTGGTACAAAGTGGGTTCCAGAACAGCCAGAGCTCTACACAGAGAAACCTGTCTCAAGAAACAAAACAAAAACAAAAGCAACAAGAGAACGGGGTGGGGGGTAGGAAGATGACCCTGTCAGTGAATGACTCACCACATAAGCTTGAGGACCTGGGTGTTACTCCCCAGCACCCTCATTAACATCTGGGCGTGGTGGAGACCGGTGGATCTCGGGGCTTGCTGGCGGCCAGTCCAGATAACTGGAGAGGTCTGGCTTCACTGAGAGACAATGAGTAACAGAGTAATAAAGCAAGACACTCGGCAGCGTCCACCTGTGGCTCCCACACGCTTGGAAACACGTGTGCGTGCACACCCAGATGTGCACATGCATACACACCCATAAAACACGCATCCTTCGAGAAGGTACCAGTGAGAACACAGAGAGTGAGGACAAGCGTCTCGTGTGTTTGTGTTACACTGAAGACGCCTTATCCCTTTGCAGCCCCAAACGCAGGCCTGCACACCGCCAGCCAGGCTTTCCTGAAGCCCCCACCCCCAGCCTTCCTTGCTCACTGGGTCCCCTCCCCTGTCCTCACTTCGCCCAGGTTTCTGCACTGAGGCGCTTGGCAAAGCCCATGTCTGAGCGGGTGGCTGGGCGTGTGGTGTCGAAGCCCCCCAGTTTGGATTCTGGGGCTGAGGTGTCTGCCAGCACAACCTCGTCTGAGGCCGAATCAGGAGCTCGCTCTGTCTCCACCATAGTGCGTCAGTGGAACAGAAAGATTAACCACTTCCTGGGGGACCACCCCTCGCCCACCGTCAACGGCACCCGCCCGGCCAGGTGAGGAGTGTGAGCAGGACCTGTGGGCAGGAAGTGCTCTGGCGCCAGGCTCTGCCTTAGGAGCTCGGTAGACCTCCAGAGGTTCGGAGCCGTCAGCCAAAACCCCTTTCTTTGCCTGCCTCTGTCTCCCAGGAAAAAGTTCCAGAAGAAGGGGGCCAGCCAAAGCTTCAGTAAGGCTGCCAGACTCAAATGGCAGTCCTTGGAACGGAGGATCATCGACATTGTCATGCAGAGGATGACCATTGTCAACCTGGAGGCTGACATGGAGCGGCTCATAAAGGTGGGAGCTCCGCACCTCCTCATTCCCCACGCCCTCCCTCCGCTTTCCACGTGGCTTTCCACGTGTCCAGTCGCTTCCCGCTGCTCCTCTGGTCCCTCACTCTCCCCGTCCCCAACCCTGTGCTCCTCAGGGATGATCCCGGGCAGGTGGGAGGCGCCTGTAGGTGCCGAGAGAGCAGGGCTTGCCTAGGCTGAGGTGCCTCCTCCATCAGTATATCTTCCCTCCCCTGCTCCCCACCCCCACACACAGAAAAGGGAGGAGCTATTCCTCCTACAGGAGGCCCTGCGGAGGAAGCGTGAGCGGCTGCAGGCTGAGAGCCCCGAGGAAGAGAAAGGGCTACAGGAGCTGGCTGAGGAGATCGAAGTGTTGGCAGCCAATATCGACTACATCAACGACAGCATTACCGACTGCCAGGCCACCATCGTGCAGCTGGAGGAAACCAAGGTGCCCACGGGACCCATCCCGGCCGGGTGGGGTGGTAGCAATGAGCGGGCATTGGCAGCCCGTTGTGACGACGACGACGGGGTTTCTGCTTTTTGCTCTCAAAAAGGAGGAGCTGGACTCAACAGATACCTCGGTGGTCATTAGCTCCTGCTCTCTAGCCGAAGCCCGCCTACTGCTAGACAACTTCCTCAAGGCCTCCATCGACAAGGTGAGCCGGCAGCTCCCCCGGAACTGGGCATGCCACCCTGGTGGTGAAGCCCACGGGGTTGGCTCCTTCTCGCCTGCGTCATCCACAGGCTGGGACAAGTGCTGAACCTGCAAGCCTCCAGTTCTGAGGCCATAAAACCAGAGCACTGACGACGCAGAGCGTGTAGCTAGCTGTACAGAATGCTCCCACGTAAGGGGCTTGGTACGCTACACGGCTTCAGTTAAAGGTGCCCAGGCCCATCCACAGCAGGACTGGGCTTGGGTCTGTTGGAGCAGAGGGAGAAATGTGTGTACATTAGGGATCGGGGAGCAGGAAACAAGAATCACATTCCACACACCCCCCGCCCCCTGTGTACTAGATTACCAGGAGTCATTGGGCTGGAGAATGTTTCTTCCTGCCCGTCCCAGGGTCTGAGTCTTGGGTACAGACACCAGCTAGCCATCCCGCCCAACTCTTAGCCAGACCCCAGTGGCTCCTCAGAGTTGCTTTGTGTTTTAGGGGACTATAATAGTGTACTAGGGTCGCCGTGACAAAGCATCACAGACTGGGGAGTCTAGCCGGCACACCAGGGATGCCCCAGGTCCAAGATCCCAGTATCAGCAGGGTGGTTTCTTCTGAAGCCTCTCTCCATGGCCATTGTTTCTTCTCACGTCCTTACGGGATCTTTCTTCTGAGTGGCTTATCGTGATCTTTGTTATAAGGACCCCGGGCATACTGTATTGGGGATCACCCCTATGACCTCATATTATCCTGTCTCCAAGTACAGTCACAGTCTGTGGTAATGGGGGTTGAGACATATGCATTGAATAAGGGGTTGTAAGTCTATCCATAATAGAGTAGTATACACTAGGGTAACCTTCACGTGTGTGTGTGTGTGTGTGTCTGTGTGTGTGTCTGTGTGTGAATATGTGTCTGTGTGTGTTTGTGTCTGTGTATGAATATGTGTCTGTGTGTGTGTGTGTCTGTCTGTGTGTGAATATGTGTCTGTGTGTGTGTGTGTGTCTGTGTGTCTGTTTGTGTCTGTGTCTGTGTGTCTGTCTGTGTCTGTGTAGGTGCCTGAGGGCTACAGCATCAACCACAGGCTACGAAGAGTAAGTCCAGGTCTTGCTCTTGGTACCCAGGGACTGCAGGTAGCACAGAAGGAAGCCCAGATCCGGCTGCTGGAAGGACGGCTAAGACAGACAGACATGACGGGCTCTTCCCAGAACCACCTGCTCCTAGACGCTTTGCGTGAGAAGGCGGAGGCGTACCCTGAGCTGCAGGCCCTCATCTACAATGTGCAGCAGGGTATGCTTTGGTGAGGGGGAGGCCTTCCAGCTCCCACAACACCCTGCCTGAGAATCCCTCCAGAGCCTTGGTCTGACCCTAGTGGAGCACAGCTGGAGAAAGGCTGTGTCCCTTTTCCACATTCTCCCACGGGGTCTCTCAACCACCTTCTTCCCTATCCCCCGTTCCCTCAGAGAATGGCTACGCGAGCACAGACGAGGAGGTCTCAGAGTTCTCTGAGGGAAGGTGAGTTTCCAAGCAGGGAGTCAGTGGCTGCCTCGTGCATGTACCTGGGGGTGGAGGAAGGGTCACCATAGGGCCCCGGGGTTAAGCTTGGATTTGCAGGCTCTCTGGGACCCATCTGGCTAAGCACTAGAGAGACTTAAGATAGTTACAGTTAAACTAGCATGGTCCTAATCTTCCTGGCCTTCTTCCTCAGCTTTTCCCAGTCATTCACCATGAAAGGCTCCACCAGCCACGACGACTTCAAGTTCAAGGTAAGCCCTGCTGGAGATGGGGTTTTGTAGGGCTCACCTCCCCCCTCTCAGCCCGATCCCTATGATCATATTTCCATGCCTCCGGCTCCTATTCAACTTTGTCTGCAGCCGGAATGGAGGCGCCAAGAAGGATGTGGCCTGGGACTAGGGGTGAAGGTGGTGGGGGACTGACCTAGAATTTGCTGTGTAGACCAGGCAGCCCATTCTTTTCACGGTGGGAGAAAGGGCTAGAACTGTTTCTACACCACGCTGTGACGTCACTGTACCCAGATACCTCCGCCTTACAGAACACTCCCTCCCAGCCCGAGCCCCTGGGTCAAAGATCCCTAGTTGTGTTTTCCCGCAGCTATTTGTTTGACCGCATGGAAGTCAACAGTAAGAAAGTTTTCTTGACGGCGAGGGATGCGTGATGGGAAGGAGCCAGTGGCCCGGGGCTTATTAAAGTCAGATGTAGGGAAACTGTAGACTGTGAGCAATGGGTTAGTCCTGGAGTGATCGGAGCAGATCACTCTGGATGGACACTCTGTGGTTTGCATAGTCTAAGTAAGGGCTTCCATCAGCAACTCTCCCTCAGGCCAGGCCGTATCATTTTCCTCAGAATTTACCCGCTTCTCATCATTTCTGGTTTTGTGTACACACACAAACACACACACACACACACACACCCGTATAGATCTTCTCTCTCTCTTGATTTTTCGAGACAGGGTTTCTCTGTATTGCTTTGGAGCTTGTCCTGGAACTCACAGAGATCCGCCTCCTGAGTGCTGGGATTAAAGGCGTGCACCACCAACGCCCAGCTTGAGCTAGATTTCTGCTCTCTGCTATTTATTTATTTATTTATTTATTATTTATTATTTATTTATTTATTTGAGTTAGACTCAGCCTCCCGTGTACCTGCGGTAGCAGGCCTGTGTCCTCAGGCCCGTTCTTATTCCCCCCCCCCATAGTCCATCAGATGGTTGAGGTAGTCTGTAATCTACTCATCCTTCCTTTCCTAGGGTGAGCCTAAGCTGTCTGCCCAAATGAAGGCTGTGTCTGCAGAATGCCTGGGACCCCCTTTGGACAGCTCCACCAAGAACATTACCAAGTCCCTGGCCTCCCTCGTTGAGATCAAAGAGAATGGAGTGGGCTTCTCTATCCGGGACCCCTATTACAGGGACAAGGTCTCACGCACGGTCAGCCTGCCCACCCGGGGCAGCACTTTGTAAGGAGGGGGATCCGGGTACATGGGTCACGGTGGGCAGAAAGTTAGGTCTTGGATTCACTGGACCCTTCTTTTCCAGCCCTCGACAGTCTCGAGGTGGTACGGACACCTCCCCTCTGACCCGGAGAAAGTCTTATGACCGGGGACAGCCCATCAGGTGAGAGAATATGTCCCAGTCCAGTCCTTAGGTGCATGAGTGGCTCTGAGATTCTTCTCCGTTAGCCACCATATATACCTGCTAACACGGCCCTTGATGGCCCCATGGTCATATACTTAAGAGGTTTGGTGGTCTCTGCAGCTAGATGATGAGGCGTCTGGGCTCAGAGTGATCATTGCAGCCTGTGAGAGCCAGGAAAAGATCGTGCTGTAGATCCCAGCCTTTACCAATGCAGATTCCCATAGCACTGGCTTGCAAGTGGCCTTGGTGGACAGGAGTTGTGGAAAGGACACCTGTATACTTGTAGCCTAACAGACTTCCTCTGTGAACTCAGAGAACACACGGAAGTTGCTGTCTGAGGATTATCAATGACAGCTTTCCAAAGAGGGATGAGCAGGCCATCAAGGCCATGACTCTTCCTTAAGGAACTGTCCGTTCTATGGTCCACAGTTCATCCCCTTGAGATGTCCTGAATGCCGAGTTGTTCTTAGTTCGGTTCCTGTGAGGAGCTGACCATGTCTCCTGTGGTGTCTGCATCACCTTGTTTAAACAGACACCATCGACCGACAGTATTGAGCTCAGCCACGACAGCGTAACTCGGGCCCCACTGAAGCTTCTCTAACCTTTTCCAGCTTTCCAGTGTTTAGCAATATCAGAGAGGACCTGTTTCAGAAATCAGAGTCACCGTATAATTGGGATTGGTAGCTGACACTTGTAATCTTAGCAGCCAGGAAGCAGAGGCAGGCGGCCAGTCAAAGCCTTGCCAAGCCAAGGCTACCCTGGTCTATATAGTGTGTTCCAGACCAGACACGCACACGTACATGCACACACATGCATACACCACACACACACGCACACGCACACGCGCGCACACTCACACTTGAGTCATTTAACACTTCCTCTGCTTGATATAAGTCTGCGAATCAGACAGGAAATCATCACCAGGAGCGCTACAAACAAACTTCGGAAGTAGGTAGAACTCCAAATACATCATGAGGGTGTGCTTTTAAGAACAGCATCCAGGCGCTGGAGAGACGATGGCTCCGTGGTTAAGAGCGCTGGCTCTTCTTCCAGGGGACCTGGGTCCAACTCCCAGCTCCCACAGGGCCTCACAACCAGCTGTAACTCCAGTTCTCGGGTGTTTGGTATCCTCTGCTGCCCTCCACAGGCATCGCACCCACATTGTGCACCGATTGTAAATGCAGGCAGAACACACCCACACGCATGAAATAAATGAGTATTTTGAAACACCATCTAGGATTTTGGCTGGGGTCTGTCTTCCTGGGGCTTTATGGTGGTACAGGAGCTGGAAACCCAGTCCTGGGTAGACTCAGTGGATAAGGGTGTGGTCACTGATGACGCTCTCTGTTCTCAATTACCAGATCCACAGACATGGGATTCACACCGCCATCATCACCGCCTACCCGGCCCCGCAATGACCGCAACGTCTTCTCTCGGCTCACCAGCAATCAGAGCCAGGGGTCAGCACTGGACAAGTAAGGGCAGGCCTGAGGAGAGCCAAGCAGGCCTTTAGAGCTGGGAGGGAGCCTGTGGGGGCCGGTCCTCTGAGCTATGAGGCCTTTGAAAGTTTCATCTTTTCTGCACTGACCGAGGGTCTCTCCTTTCCCCCGGAGCATGCTGGGATGCGGGGGAAGGAAAAGAGGAAGTTACCTTACTGGGGTTGGACAGTCAGGGGTGGTAGCTGTGGGCGCAAGCATACCAGAGGGCATCTTCGAGTGTCCCTTCCATCTGCTTCTGCTGTCTTTGCTGTTCTCCGAAGCCCCCTCTTAAACTCCCAGCTACTGTTCTGACTGCAACAGCTTTGCACAAGGCCCCCAGTGATCCCTGACATTGCCCGGTGGACAGAGACCCCTGGGTCATCTCTGTGTGGCAGGCTCACAGTTGCTTCTGGTGTGCTGTAGCTGCTGTGGGGTCATTCTGTTCTCAGCCATCCCTGTATTCAGAAGGCGTTCAGCCTTGCTTCTTCTCAGTCTGCCATTTGAACTGCCAATCAGCCCAAGAATTGTCTGTCTTCCCTGACTTGCATAAGAATGTGCTCCAGAGCCTCTGCCTAGAGAGCCGCCCAGCGTCTGAGCTGCTGACTCTAGCTAAGCCTGGCTGTGGACTTTGCCGTTGGGGAGGGCCTCATCATGCCTGGTTTCGTTTCTGCGAACATCTTCAGTTCTGTAGTTACCCAAAGGGCTCCTTTCTCCCCTCCCCTCCCCTCCCCACCCCACCCCTCAGCCGTGAGGAGCAACAACGATGCCGTGACCTTCAGGGGAGCCCCAGGGTCATAGACTGCTTGGCCTTTGTACCTGATACATGCTCTGCCCACGCTCTCTCAGGGACATCCCCTTCTGGCTCAAAACGATGCTCCCTAGATGCTAAACCCATGAAGGGCACACCCCTCGGGTCAGCACCCTGGATACTGTTCTTCCCCAAACTTACTTTGTCTCAGCTCCCGCTACAGATGCTGTGGACATGCCTGGCCCTCCCATCATAATACACCTTTCCCCAGGGCCAAGCAATTGACTTGACTGGCCACTCTGTTTACTATTTCTTTCTCTGCATGCCCTCCCACCCCCAAGCCCCTTCCCCCGACCAAGACAGAGTTTCTCTGTAGCTTTGGAGCCTGTCCTGGAACTGGCTTTGTAGACCAGGCTGGACTCGAACTCATAAAGATATGCCTGCCTCTGCCTCCCAAGTACCAGGGTTAAAGGCGAGCGCCGCCACCACCCGGCTGCTGTTTATTTCTTTATTTTGTTTTTGAAACTGGGTCTTGACTTGTATCTAGACAAGTCTCAAACCCTTACCCTTCTGCTTCACACTCTAAGTGCTAGGACTACAGGCATGTGCTGCTACATCCATCTTACACTTGTCCTCCGTGAACCCCCCATGGATAGGGGTAGGAGTCTGCCCATCCTAGCCTGGCTTACAGGCTTCCGTCCTATCCAGAGCTTTAGTCTTGGGACCTACGTGCAGCAGAGAGTTAACTTCCAGGCATGGTCTCGGGGAGAGAAAGAACAGCAGGGTGTTCTTGTGTCCTTGGACAGGCTTGAGCATCGCTGGGGTGGTACAGCTGGCCCCAGCTTACGCAGTGGGCCAACCAGAGAGCTTGGAACTAGCAAAGAGCCCTGGAGCCACCTCCCCAAGAGCGGGCTGGCCTCCCACAACTCCTATGGCCCTGCTAGCTGAGAGACCCCCCCCCTGGTCTGCTGCTGGGGGAGGGTGGCTCTCCCAGCTCCCAGGCCGGTCTGTTCCCACCCCAACCGCATCACTCTCCTCGAAGGCCCTCTTCCCCTGCCTCTCTCTGCCTTCCCTGAAGAGAATAACCATCCTCTGACCTCCCTCTGCTGCTGCTGCTGCTGCCGCCATTCCTGCGTGTGTTTTCCTCTCTCCCCTAATCCAGCTAATTTTCTGCCCTTCCCCAGGTCTGATGACAGCGACTCCTCTTTGTCGGAGGTCCTGAGGTACACGTACACACAGAATGTCTCTCGTGTTTGATGCTCTCCTTGCTCTCTCTTCTCTCCTCTTTACTCATGCTACACCAGCCCCTCCTGCCTGTACCCCTGCCCTCAGCATGCGGCCCGTCCCGCCTTTCCTAGCCCCTGCCCCTTCCACATCCATGCCCCCCCCCCATGGTTCCTTCCTCTCATGGTGACCACCATGGGCCTCAGACTATGCCATGCCTGGCTAGAGCTAAGGGCTTGTGGTGGGGAAGGGTGCAGTTGCTTGTGGCTGGCTCTGTTCTCGTCCCCCTCCTGCGGGGAGGGATGCGGAAGCCTGGGTTGGCCTGGAGCTAAAGCAGAGCTTCGCTGAGCAAGGGGTGCCATGAGGCACCTCGTCAGCCCGCTAGTGTTTATTGAGTGCCGTCGGCTATGGTAACGTAGCCTGCGTTGGTGGTGGGGTGAGACTTACAAACTTCAGCTCTGAAGGGCACCAAGAGAGACAGCGTATCTCTTAGCACACAGCTTGTGGGTGTGTCTATTCCCCTTCAGCCCACAGGACAACCAGAGGCTGGTCTCTCAGGCCTGCTGAGCACAGATCCCCCACAGCAAGGGGGAGCCTGGCAGCCGAAGGACAAGAGCTCCCTCTAGCTCTGCTCTCCGCTTCCCATGCTCTTCCAGACTGCAGTGAGGCCAATAGGCGTTCCCAGTGGTACGCCAGCCTCTTTCGACCCCATTTTCAAGGCAGTCTTGGCCTAACTCAGCCCAAACCAGAGTCACAAGCTGGGAGCAAAAGCAGAGAGCCATTTATGCATGTGCTTACCTGGCATGTGGGCATGTCTGGCTAGTGTCTTGGTGTCGCACCTGACCAAGGCAAGGATGCTACAAGCGTGGTGTCGGTCATCTCGGTAACGCCCCCAACCGCTGTGCTAAAGCCTTCTCTTGTGAAGAGCCGGGGTGTGGTTTTCGGTGTAGCCTAGCTGGGTCTCATCCCCAAAGACCTTCCTCAGAACCCCAAGAGGTATATTAAAGCTTTCACACTTACTTGACTCACCCTGCTCCCAGAACGTTTGTGCAGAACAAGCCGGTGTCATCCCCGGTCCAGGCAGGTCAGGCAGGCTAGCTCCAAAGAGGCCCCGCCCATGCACCCCCTGCTGGGCTGCAGTCCCCTGCAGTCCCTGATATACCCCCTTTGGAGTTTTTAGGGGATTTTTGTTTGTTCGTTGGCTGGTTTGTTTGACAGGTTTCCCTATATGTGCTAGGCTGGCCTTAAGCTCCTTACATAGATCAGTCTGGCCTCAATCCTCCTGCCTGAGCCTACCAAGTGTTGGAATAGCAGGTGTGTTCCCTTTGTAAATGACAGGCACAGGTCTGACCATGCTGGGGTCTGTATAGGTGTCTGTCTGCCTCACTGCTGGAAGGCGCCAGCCCTAGAACGCTGGCTGGCGAATGAAGTATGGGAGGGTGACAGCCTGGACACCCTTCCTCTCTCCGGCCCCCCCCCCACTTTTCATCACCGAAGGAAGAAGCGTGGAGGCTGATGGGAGCTCCAGAGGTCACTGCTAGCAGTTGGTCCTCAGCCCTGCCCCACCAAGGCTGGCTGCACGCCCGTCTCTGCCTTCCCATTCCTTCCAGTGTGTCTGGCATGGGCTTCTCCAGCGGGGCCGAGGACGGCAACCGCAGCTCTTTCTGGCTTCCAGACCGTGGTGGCGTTTTTTTGCTAGCAGCCCGGGAATTTCTCGCTATTCACTGCCCCCTCTCAGCCCAGACCCCTCTCACGCGAGCGTCAGTCCTCCTGGCCACGATCCCCTCGGCTGACTGGCGCTTCCTGTTTCCCTCTCTCCTGGGAAGGGGCATCATCACCCCCATTGGCGGAGCAAAGGGAGCAAGGACGGCCCCGTTGCAGTGTGTCTCCATGGCCGAGGGCCACACCAAGCCCATCCTCTGCCTCGATGCCACCGATGAGTTGCTTTTCACCGGGTCCAAAGGTGCGTGGGGACTTGAGGGGCCCACGGGGTTAGGTTCTCTCGCCCACGCCACATTCCTTTCCCAGCACGGGCTGTGAAGGCAAAAGCATACAGGGAACTCGCTTACCACCCTTACACACACACTCACACACACACTCACTCTCACACACCCACACAACACACTCACACACATACACATTCACACACACAACACACACTCACACATACACATTCACACACACAACACACTCACACTCACATACACACACTCACACAACACACTCACATACACATTCACTCACACACACAACACACACACTCGCACACATACACACACTCACACACTCACATACACACACTCACACACTCACACACACACTCACACACATACACCCACACACAAACATTCACACACACTCACACACACATTCACACACACAACACACACTCACACATACACATTCACACACACAACACACTCACACTCACACCCACACAACACACCCACACACACACTCACACACATACGCTCACACACTCACATACACACACTCACACACACACTCACTCACACACATACACCCACACACAAACATTCACACACTCACCACACACACCCCCCCCCCCCCCCCCCCCCCCCCCCCCCCCCCCCCCCCCCATACACATTCACACACACACAACACATACTCACACATACACATTCACACACACAACACACACACACTCACACACACAACACACTCACACTCACATACACACACACACTCACACTCACAGGCCCCCGGCACCCACACCATCTCTGCATCTGTCGGTCTCAGCTGCAGAAGTCCACAGTGCTACAACTGATCACAGCAAAAAAAAGTTAAAGACTTGACCAGAAGAAAGAATGAAAACCAATTTGTAGAATGCACGCGTTACAGGGGCCTGTATATACATCTATGAATATCCGTATGTGTATGTGTGACCCATACGCTTACACACACAGGGCAGGGGGTAGCTGTCAGCTGCGGTGTGGTTGATTGGTTCCAAGCCTTTCCATGTGCGCCTGCTACTTTGTCGTATACCGAGCGGTGGATGGGTAGGAATTTTCTTCCAGCGCAGGACACCTCGGCAATGACCAGAGAACTAACCGTTCCTTACGGTTCGCAGCCCCTCCTCTGCCTCCTGAGGTTTTTGTTTTTTTTTTTTTATGAGATTGCACAGACGTGCATGCTTCTTCCTCAGACATGGAGCTTGAAATGCCTCCCCCCCGCCAAAGGGCCCTCAAACTCTCCTTTCGGGCAGCTTCCTGGCTCCTGACATCACTACTCTGCCCTTCATGTCTCTCTCCTGTCTCTGGCAGACCGTAGCTGCAAGATGTGGAACCTGGTAACAGGACAGGAGATCGCGGCTCTCAAGGGCCACCCCAACAACGTGGTTTCTATCAAATACTGCAGCCAGTCTGGGCTGGTGTTCTCTGTGTCCAGCTCCTACGTCAAAGTGTGGGACATCCGAGACTCGGCCAAGTGCGTTCGGACCCTCACGTAAGTACTCCACCACCGGCCTGCTAACCAGGCCAGATCGGGAAGGCTGTTTCCCCATGAATGGCCCACTGGTCACAGCACAGCCTGAGTAGGTGGGCACAAAGGTCCTTACTGGTCCTTACGGGGACAAGGTGGTTAAGGGGACAGTTTCGGAACAACAGGTTGCTGAGCCTTTGACCTGTGCGGGCCCCTACCTTCGTCTCAAGCCTCCAACATCTGCCATTTGAGATGGATACACCCGTAGGAAGCCAAAACACCAGCAGGGGGCAGCAGCCTCCAAAGCCAGGCCGGCCAGCCGCCCCACAAATGAGCACCCCCCCCCCATCATGGTCCTGAGCAGGGGCACAAACTCTCCAGAAGTCAGGTTCTGTCTGTCCATCCTTATGTGCACATTATAAGCCACAACTTGTTTAGCTTGATACTTGAAAGGCAAACACAGGCTATTTGTGGCTGCAGGCTTATCCGGCGTGATGCAGTAGTCACCGATGATGTCTTACTGGACCTATAGAATGTAGAGCTCCTAGGAGGAGCCAGCCACACTGTATGCCATGAGCTTGGGTGATGGGTGATGTGTCCACCATAGGTTCACCTGTCGTAGCGAAGGCTGTGGTGGTGTGGGGTGTTGGCGATGGGGGAAGCTATGCATGTTGGGAAGGAAAGAGGTTTATGGGAAAATTGCCTTACTCCCTTTTGCTGTAAACCTGTTTTTTCTTTTTCTTTTTCAATGAAGTCTGGGGAAGGGGTAGTTCACCAAATGGCTATTATCACCTTTTTCAACTGGGGCTCAGAGAAGTGGAGTGATTTATTTCTACATGAACCAGGCTCACAGCCTGCCCCTAGGCTCTTCCAGTCTACACACACCGCTGGTGTGCACCAACAGGCTGTAGAGACATTGTGAGGTAGAGTGTAGCTCTCCCTTGGTCCTGCCTGTAGGAGAAGTTGTTCTGCCTGCACCGGGAAGGCATCCAGGAAGAAGTGGCTTTTCCGAGCTTGTCTGAGTGAAGTTTACTCGTTTTCCTGGCCTGTGTGGATAGATTCTTCTGACCTCAGGCTTTGCTTTTTTTCTCTCTCTCTCTCTGAATAGATCCTCGGGCCAGGTGATCTCAGGAGATGCTTGCATAACCACATCTACCCGCGCCATCACCAGTGCCCAGGGAGAGCATCAGATCAACCAGATGGCCCTCAGCCCCTCAGGCACCATGCTGTATGTTGCCTCTGGCAATGCCGTCCGCATCTGGGAGCTTAACAGGTCAGTGAGATTGTCAGGAGAATGGGTCCAGGAAAGGTCCAGTGGCCTCAGCATGGTGTGGACAGGGTGGACAGGACCTCAGTCCTCTGCCTCCAGCCCCCCACCCCCAGCCCCCTTTATGAGCTGGTCTCCTAGTCTTTGATCTGCTTTGCAGAGAGAAAGAGTAGACTGGCCTGTCTAACCCTCCAAACCCCTACTCTAACCAACTATCATCTGTTATGAGCAGGTTTTTCCTGCCGCCTGGTCCCACCACCTCACCAGCCCCAAATAACACACAGAGACACTGTATTAGATATAAAGCTGTTGGCCTGTTACTAGTGTTTCTTATCGGCTAGCTCTGTCTTAAATATTAGCACATTTCTATTAATCTAAGTGTTTCCACGTGGTCTCCACCGCAGAAAGGGTCCGGAATCTGTTCTCTTAACTTTCTCCATGTTGACTCCTCCCTAGTACTTCCTGGAAGCCTCCCTAGTCCCGCCTATCTTGCTTTCCTATTGGCCAACAGTGCTTTACTCATTAACCAATAAGAGAAACCTATTTACAGAGTGACATCCCCCATCAGTCATCCCCGGTTGGACCTCTCCCCGCTGCAGGTTCCAGCCCATCGGCAAGCTGACAGGCCACACCGGCCCAGTGATGTGCCTGACGGTCGCCCAGACTTCAAGCCAGCGTGACCTCGTAGTGACCGGCTCCAAGGACCACTATGTGAAGGTACCTGTAACTCCGGTGCCACCAGCTTGGGTCTGACTGGAGCCACCTCTGCTCTAAGGCCCAAATGATGCCGCCCTCATGTTTCCTCCTGTTCTACCTTTACCCCCTCCCCCCCCCCAGTTACCCGGGGGACACATACAAAACAAGGTGGGGGGGATTACGGCAATGGCCCCGCCCCAACGCGCGCGCATGCTCCTCTCTGGGCTCCGCCCCTCCTCCTCGGCAGATGTTCCAGCTGGGCGACTGTGTGATGGGCACCATTGGCCCCACCCACAACTTTGAGCCCCCTCACTATGATGGCATCGAATGCCTGGCGATCCAAGGAGACACACTGTTCAGTGGTTCCAGGGACAATGGCATCAAGAAGTGGGACCTGCGACAGCTGGAGCTCATTCAGGTCCGGGGAGGGGAGGGGCGGGGCGGGGCGGTTCAGGGCAAGGCCCCAGGCAGACCTTAGCAGAGCCCTTCCAAGACGGGCTGGGTTGCTGTCTACCTTCCAACCTGCTGTCTCCACCCTCCCCTCCCTGCACTGGGGACCCCTGCTCCCCACAAAGTCCTTGCTTCCAGTGCGAATGTGGAAGCCTCCGTCCAGGCTTCCGTGGAACCCTTGGCTTTAGCCTAGCTCTTCCGGAGGCGGAAGGCTTTTCCAGCAGTGCAGAAGATTGAGTGTGGGAACTGTGCACACTTCTGGGCTCTTGGGTCCCCTGACTGACGGCGTAGCTCAGCCTGGCTCCTGGGGACGCTGGGGCATCTCCATGATAGCTGTAGATGCCAGGAGCCGCCGGGTGGCAAGAGGGATGCATGTGTCCCCACCCGGGGGGGGGGCGGCTGGGACAGGCCCTCTCCTTCCTCTACACCTTATCAGCCCTGACCCTTCCCACCCCACAGCAAATCCCCAATGCTCACAAGGACTGGGTGTGCGCCCTGGCCTTTGTCCCCGGCCGGCCCATGCTGCTAAGCGCCTGCCGGGCAGGCTTCATCAAGGTCTGGAATGTGGACAACTTCACACCCATTGGTGAGATCAAGGGCCACGACAGCCCCATCAATGCGGTCTGCACCAACAGCAAATATGTCTTCACGGCGTCCAGGTGCGTGCAGGGCACAAGGCCCCGTTGCTCCCCGCCCCCCTCCTCCAGTCAGTCAGTGGTGTGACAGCTGGCTCAGGGCTGTGCAGCTGTTCCCCCCCCCCCCGCAAGATCGGATTCACTGAGCACTAAGCACCCAATGACCTGGGTACTGCGCGGGGCAGGGGACCAGGGAGCCACCGGACCTCAGGGCAGGCCAGGACTTGTCCTCCCAGCAAGCTCGCCCGGCCCGGCCCGTGCCCCGCCACGCCCAAGCCTCTGTCCCTCCAGCTGCAGCTCTGGCCCCCAGTGCAGGCAGTGCCAGGCCCTCCGTCCCAGGGGCACTACTCAGCCCGGATTCTTCTTTTCTCTCCTTGTTCCCACCATGCCCCTTCTCTCCCTCCGTCTCTTCCTGCCTCTCTACCTCTCCCCCCATAGTGACTGCCGGGTAAAGCTGTGGAATTACGTCCCTGGACTCACCCCCTGCCTTCCTCGACGGGTCCTGGCCATAAAGGGCCGCGCCACCACCCTGCCCTGACCCCTCCCCAGCCCTCCCCTTTCCTCTCTCGGTCTTCCCCTCTTGCCTTCGCCTGTCTTTCCCCCCACCTCGATCTGAGCTGCTTCCTCACGGTATGAGATTGTTTTACTCTTGACTTTCTTACTCTCCCTTCGGGCCCTGCCTGGCCCAACAGATTGCCCTGCCACCCTGCCTTGCAAGCATGGTCAGTGGGACCGAAGCCTAGGTAGCCAGAGCAGAGGGGGAGGCATTGAGGCCTGCAGGGTGTTGGAGACCGTGGCCCGGCCCCTTGCTGGTGCAGTCCCCACCGCTCCTGAGCAGTATTCGCCTTAGGCCAGCCGTGTGTGAGGGAGGCCGGGGATCTGCCAGCTGGTCTCACGTCCAGCATGCGAGCGCTGAGCATCCTCACTCTGTCCTCCGCAGTGACCTGACTGTGAAGCTCTGGAACATACGGCGGCTACCAGCAGCCCACCCTTGAAGTTAGGGCCGAGGGTGGCCAGACCCTCCGATGACGCACGGCCTGCACAGCGTGCAAGGGAAGCTGTGGCCTGACCTGACCAGACCAGCCAGGTGCACTGAGGACGCAGGGTGCTGCCCTTTCTCTTGCTCGGCTTCCTTTCTCGGTCCCCTCTGCCCCTCCCCTGCCTCCTGAGAAAGGAGAGGCCGGGGAGGGAGGACACTGTGAAGCCAAGGGCACGACCCCCCCCACACACACACCCCAGCTCCTCGCCCTCCCCACAGCTGGCCACACTGTCTCCTGCTGAGCCAGGTCTGCCCTTCCTCTGGGCTCTCAGCCCAGGGCGGCACTGTGAGCGAGAAGCATCCCTAACCCTTCCCCTTCCCCTATCCTCGGGGAGGCAGCCCGGTCCCCACCGTCTATCCTCGGGGAGGCAGCCCGGTCCCCACCGTCTATCCTCGGGGGAGGCAGCCCGGTCCCCACCGTCTATCCTCGGGGGAGGCAGCCCGGTCCCCACCGTCTATCCTCGGGGAGGCAGCCCGGTCCCCACCGTCTATCCTCGGGGAAGCAGCCCGGTCCCCACCGTCCCCATCATCTATCCTCGGATGAGTTAGCCCCGCCCCTACCGTCTATCCTCGGATGAGTTAGCCCCGCCCCTACCGTCTATCCTCGGATGAGTTAGCCCCGCCCCTACCGTCTATCCTCGGATGAGCTGGCCCCGCCCCCACCGTCTAGCCTCCGGATGAGCTGGCCCCGCCCCCACGGTCCATCCTCCCGTGAGCTAGCCTCTTCCGTGTCTCCTAGCCCCACCCTCTGGAGCCACCGCGCCTGCCTCTGAGCCCACCAAGGTAGTTCTCAGGTAACCATGGAAACCAGACGTAAGCCGCCGAGTCCTGCAGCTGACCCAATCTATGGTCGCCAACGCCCAACCCCAGTGGGGCGCAGTCATTCCTGGGGGTCCCCTCGTGCCGAGGCCTCAGCGGAGCTCCTTTGGGGAGAAGGTCAGCAATATGGCAGTTATCTAATTTATTGTTTTTATTATTTTTTTTTTAATTATTATTATGTCTTGCTGTTGCCTCCTGGAAACTGACTTGAAGTTTCTTCCCATCTTCTCCCCTCCGCCCTTGGCGGGGGGTGGGGGTGGGGAGATGGTCTTCTCTTTGGCGCTCCAGCCCGCTGCCCTCCACCCCACCCTCCTCCGCTTGGCGCGTGCGGAGGAGGGCAAGGCCTCTTGCATCCCGTGCAGCCTGGCCCTCACGTCCTTCTAGTCTAGCCCAGGTCTCTAGGCCGCCTGATGCCGCAGTGCCTTCCTCCATCCCGAGGCCTGGCATCATGCTGGGCAGCCTTCTGCCCGCAGCCCGCGTGTGTGTAATGCCTATGGGCCCCGTGCCCACAGACCCTGAAGGTCAGAGAGTCCACCAAGACGGTCGGCCCACGACCAGGGAGCCGGTGCTCGCCCGAGCCCTGTGTGGTCCAGCGCCATGCAGCTTGGGGGACTGTCCACTAGGGGGCGACTCGGGTAGTAAGGCCACCAACCCGACCCCCAAGCAAGGGGACAGGGAGCCAGCCGCCTCAGCCTCTTTCCCACTCCTTGTTCTAGAAACGGATTTTTCAAGCCTTAAAAACAGCCTGGGCCAAGGGCCCTCCCTCTTAGATTAGCACAGGGAGGCCCACACTCCTTTCTTACTTCTGCGGGGCTGTGGGCGCCGCTGCAGGGATGAGGCGGAATCGGTGTCTGGCGCCCCCTGTCGGAACAACTCTGAATTGCTAGGACTCGGGCTTGAGAGGGGTCAGCTCCATCCCTGGCTTCCCCTGCTCTTATGCTGGTCCATACATTCTCTGTTTCCTGGCCACGTTCTGGGAGCCGTGGGCCCCAGCTCATTCAGAGGACGTGGTGACGTGTGGACTTTGGACAGTTAGCATAGTGCATCTGCACTCGACCCTCCCCTCTGTGGCCAGGTACATTGGTGCCTGTCCGTGTGCGTGTGGCCCTAGGATGCCAGGGTCCATGCTGAGGACAGATGCTCTCTGGGCCATCCCAGAGCTGCGTCCGAGGCTGAAACTTATCGTGGCCTCTGCTGGACATGGTGTCAAGTCCGGGTATGTGGATGCTCAGGACGATGCCGATGCGCCTGGAACGCGGGCCAGCCGGAACATAGTCTGCCTGCAGTGACCAGAGATCCTCCTGCGTCCGCGCACTCCGCGCATCCTGGGAGTGCCGAGAAACTGCCTTGGCGCTCAGAAGTGATCGCGTCTTCTCCTTTACCCCTCACTCCCCGAATGGAAAGCCTGAACCTCACATCCTGTAAGAAAACCATCTGCATGACTGTTTACAAACTACAGAAACACATGAGACTTATCCTGACCCCATGGGCCGCACTGCCCAGCCTGGGGTGCCCTACTGTATAAGCTGCAAGGCCCGTTCTTGTACAAAGTGTGGTCTTACAGCCCCGCGAGAGGTGCTCACCGTCATTGCCCCTTCTGCCGTCTCTGATGGGCCACTACCTCATGGCGGGGCTGCTATGCTGTCCCAGCGAGTGTCATTGACTAAACTTGAAATACTTCAGAGCTCTGAGCGCATCGTCCCCAGAGCCATTCTGAGCTGTATTCTGGGAATGTTGGAGTCCCCTGCCCACTCTTTCAGGACTGTCCAAGGCACATAGTCGGAGCAGGCCTCTAGCTCTACCCATTGCACAAGAGTCCTACTTGTCGGAAGCACAAGCTGGCTGTGATTTGAGCACAATAGCAGGCCTCTGGGTAGACAGTATGGTCAAACTTGGGCCCAGGAGACTTTTCCCAGGTACGTACGCTCATTCTTAAGTTAGACTAGGGACGCCCCGATTCACCCATTTTCTTCTGGGACTTGTGGTATTCTTGTGCCCAGGCCACTTCTGTATGCTGTGGGGCCTTCCCTAGACCCCCATACCCCAGGCCTTTAAAAGCCCGCCTATAGCTGTACCCACCATCCTGAGCCTGAAGAGCCTGGACGAAGGCTCCCGTCTCCTGAGCCTTCTCCACATCCATGCTCCCGAAGCTGGTTGGCTTCCATGTGGGTAGAACTTGCCTACTGCCCCCACTCTTAGCCCTTCCCTGCACAATCCTGGGCCAGGACCCATCCCAGTATTAACCAGTCCAGTGTTTGCTCTTGTTGGAGAGACTTGACTCTACAGCGGCCAGATCCTGGAAGGCTGTGCCTGTAGCAGCCCTTAGAGACCGCCAAGGACGGGGAGAAGGCAAAGATCGAGGGGCTGACCCTGCCCAGCCCTGATGTGGTCAGAGTACCACCACCAGCCACTTGGAAAGAGACCGCTTCCGCTACGCATCTGGAAGTAGCCGCCCACCTTTGCCCCAGCTGCAGGCTTGGAACTGTCTGAGGCTGCGTGGCTTGGGCCAAGGGCAGTTTAAAGCACAAAACCATTCTTCTCCTGCTGTGGGGCTGTGGCGGTGGCAGGGACAGCACAGGCAGGAGGCTGTCAGGGTTTCATCCTCTGCCCCACCCTATCCCCATTCCTGGAGCCCTCCCCTGGAGTCTGCACCGGGTACAGCCACACGCCCTTGGCTGAGCCTGGTTTGTTTGTGTGGGCAAGGCCTGCCCTGCAGGAGCAGCGAATTCCTTCCCACCCTGTGACCCAAACCTTGGCATCTGGCCCTTTGTTCTTTCCAACAAGAAACTGCTTCCTTTGCTTAAAACAGTGGCTGATGGCCCCACTGAGCCCAGCTGTCCCCACCTGACTTCCCGGCCATTTCTGTTCTGTAAGAACAGAACCCACAGGGAGAGCTCGGGTTCTTTGACATCGTTGGTCTCTTTCCTGTGCCCACCCCTCTTCATCTCCCGCACCTAGATGGCCCTTGCTCCCCCCTGTCCACCTGCAACTGTGTGCTGAAAGTCATAAAAGACCACTGATGTCTTCCCGCCCCACCCCGCCGCCAGCTCTTACAACCATTGCCCCTGCCCAGGCTTCAGGGTCTCCTGGCTCATGCGCTCTCCTGAGACATGGTAGCACAAGGTGTGTATATGTTTTGTACCTCTGCTGATGACTGTACATAGTGTATGAAAGTTATTTAAGCCTCATGCTGTACATTTCTGTTATGGAATTGGATGTGTGTGCTCTGAGGATTTGTCATAAATAAAACCCGAATGGCCCTTGTCTGCCGGCGTGTGGCTAGTGGGCTGTCGACCTGTGGCTGGCGGCACTTTTTTAGGGGTGGGAAGTTGGTTAGGGGGCCGGTCTATGAGACGGGTCTTTGTGTTTGAGCCCCATGGGAGAACAGCGCTCTACGAGGAGTTTAGGGTTCCTTGGAGGATGTTACCTTCTCTCCACCTTCCATGTACCCTGCAGGGCCTGCGGTGGGTACAGTCGTTCAAGAGCAGGGCACTGGCACCAACTGAGCATACAGTACCGAGGTCCTGTTCAGGGCATTTGTTAGATCATCCCCGTTCCTGAATGAAAGGAGAACCGCCACAAATCAGGATCAGGACGGGGCTGGGATTCATTCCATCAGCCTTCGTCACCAAAGCAGCCCGCTTGCCTTCTCTAGGGCTCGGGACTGCCTGTGTGGGGTACATACTGGACATGTTTCGTTGTCAATATATTGAAAACCTCATATACAAAACCAGTTCCTCGATGGCTGTGACACCATTACTAGGTCAGCATTTTTCAGCCTTTGGAAAAGCTCTGCTTTCCACCAGCCTTTTCATTTTTTAGGGCTGGGAATGGAACCCAGAGCCTCAGGCATGCTAAGCACATGGCGTATTACTGACTTCCCCTTCCAGCCCCAAAACATTCTGTCTTGTCCTCCACCTATCTCTGCACACTCTCTGGTGTGTCTGGCCCTCTCCTTGATACGGTCTAAGATTAGAAGGTTCCACACCCTCTATGTAGCGGGAAGCGTCTTTTGTTACTTTGTTTCCAAAATGGAAAAGCCAAGTGGCTTCTGAGCCCACATAAGCCTGGAACGTTCCGTGCAGACTGGGGAGGATTCTGAAAGAGGCTTCTGCTCCTCCTGGGGAAGAGCAAGTGGGAGGGGACCCGTAGCTGCAAAGGGAGACCCAGTGGGCAGTCCTGCCCTACGTCCCAACCCCTTGGGCAGGCACAAAGCCTCCTGCCCTGGAGAATGGGATGGCTCCCTGAAGATCATTGATTTTGGCTGGCCCCCTGAGCCCCGCCCCATGCCAGTTTCCTGCCCCACCCTTGTTACCCAAAGCTCATGTTTTACTTAAGATCCGGTTCTATTCCATGGACAGATGCAGCCCATTGTGAACCGTGTGAAGTGACAACTGGGTATGGCCACCGGACTGGGTGTGTCTCAAAAAAAAATTTTAAGTGTGTATGTGTGTGTCCCAAATATCTTCCTCAACCACACTCCACCTTGTTTATTTTTTTTTTATAAAACTGTCATTTTCTTCTTTTACATGAACTCTAGTTTCATTTTCTTATTAAATTACAATTTAATATCAATTTTGACCTTTTATTTTTTTCTCTATTTTCCATTTTTTATTTATTTTATATAACCAAGTCCATTTAAATGAAAACAAACATTTATAGACAATATTTGGGAATTTGGGCGTCATTCTTTCCAAACTACTTCCTGCTGGGGGGATTCGAAGAAGATTCAGAAATCCTGGCTGTAGTCTGTCAGGCTGCTTTGTCCAGCTGTTTTGAATGTAGGATCACCTGGTACTCTGTTTCAGGTGGTCTGGCTTGATCAAACCACATTAGTCTGGAAGGAATCCACATCTTTTCATTTTCTGTGGAAACAAAAATAGAAATCCTTTTCCCCCCACCTTGCTTATTTATTTGTATTTTATTTGTTTCTGATTTCTTGAGACAGGGACTCACTATATAGACCTGGCTGACCTCGAACTCACTATGCAGAGAGCCGTGCCTGCCCCTCCCTCCCGAGTGTTATCAGGCCTGGGCTCTGCCTTACTTTAGATGGGTCTCACTGAATTGAGAGCTTTCTGGTTTGGTTGGCCATCCGGCCCCGGCGATCCTCCAGTCTCTGGCTCTGCAGAGCTTGGGTTACATGTGTGCACCCACACGCTCTGCTGCCTCCGGCGGGTTCCAGGAGGGTGATCTCAGACCACTGTGCTTGTAAAGCAGACACCAGCCACTAAGCCTCTCACTAGAACTGGATGCCTGCTGTTCATTGTCTAGGTCCTGTGGCACCTCAAAAGACGTATTTTTCCAAACCCCTCGTCTTACACACAAAGGGAATTGAGGCCTGGGAAGGCAAACCGAACGAGCTGCAGTGACAGAAGAGGCCCTCGAATCCAGCGCGGTGACTTGTGGGGACACCCAGTCTTGCAGGAGGTTTTATCCCAAAACCCAGTTACTGGTTGTCCTGTTTGATTTTATTTTTAAGATATGATACAGTATTTACCCCTGCACATTTGTCCTTCGGGGCAGAGAAGGAGCTATAAGGTATTAGTGAATCTTGCCTATTTCCATTTACTCCCATGAATAAAGTGTTTAGCCCAGAAGGCTTCCTGCCTAGCAGTCACGGATGGCAGCTGATGGAAATAAAAATAAGCCAGGGAAACAGGCCAAGGGGAAAGTGTGAGCAAAAACCTCCTGGCTGATGAAGAGATTAGCAAGACCTGGGGTTTGTTTGCAAGCAGGTGAGCTTAAAAGATAATGCCAGAAAGATGTGGGCCTAGGGAGGACCAGCAAGGAGAAGGCATCTCGGGTCCTAGTTTTTGTTTTTGTTTGTTTTGTTTTTTCGAGACAGGGTTTCTCTATGTAGCTTTGGAGCCTGTCCTAGAACTCACTCTGTAGACCAGGCTGGCCTGGAACTCACAGAGATCTGCCTGCCTCTGCCTCCTGGGTGTCGGGAACCTCAGGTTCTTGGAAGTTTGTGTGCAGGAGACAGCTGGGAACTTCAAGGCATGGGCCTGTGAAGCCATACCCTGCTTCACAGCGGACAGGGCTCCAGCCAAGTCCAAGCATGCTCACCCATTGAAGGAGCCTGCATTTCTTTTAAGGAATGATATGGTTTCCTATAAGCTTTCCCAGTGACTGAAGGTTGAGCTAGCAGGAGACAGGATGGTGAGGGAGAGGAGACCCTGTATAGACCCAGAACACCCCAAGGACTCACTGTCAGGCAGATCTCAGTAAGACTGATTCCAACAGTGGCATAAGAAACAGCAAGCACTGATCCAGTCCCTCCGTGTGTCAGGGGAAGGATACTTTGGGGCTGTGGTTTGGGCGGTGCCCAGCCATAATGCTTTTTATAGCATGGTTCTACCTACAGAGTTAACCACACTCTCAGTGAACACACACACACACACAAAGACCCAAGTCAATCGCTGGCCAGGGGACGGTGCTGTTTACCAACAAGAACACTGCCCAGCCTCTACGAGAGTTCAGAAGCAGCCTGGGCTATGTAGCAAGACAGTATCTCAAATAAAGGCTGGCTACAGTGGCACACATCCGTAATCCCAGCACTCAGGAAGCAGAGGCAGGAGAATATGAGTTTGGGTCCAGCCTGGGAACATGGCCAAGACCCTGTATATAGAAACAAAGCAAACAGCTGTTAGTCCAAATGAGTTCTAGATGCCGCATGTGTCTAACAAGTGCTCACTGTGGCCTTAGATCACATGAAAGCAGGCACGAAGCAGAAGGACCCAGAGAAGCCAACCTGACCCAGAGGGTTTCTACACAGAAGGCAACCTCATGACCACAAACTGACATCCAAAGCCACAAAAAAAAAAAAAAAGCATGCTTTCTCTTTTTATTAGCAAGGTTTTACAGGTACATATCAATTCTAGTGCAGGACTGGGGAGGTGGCCTGATGTCACAGTGCTGTTGGTAGGGTCTTGGACCCTACCATGTGGGCTCAGTAGTATATCCTCCTTCAGAACCTCCTCATGCAGAGGCAGAAGGAAAGGGTCTTAGCTGGCGTCTCTGTGTCCTTGACTTCTAGGATGTAGAAAGTCTGTACAGTGAGGCAGCTGACTATGGGGTCAGGGTCTTTCTGCATGTATGTGAAGGCTGTAACAGACAAGGAAGGGGATGGTAAGTGAACAGAAGGGGCCAGGTGGGGCCAGCAGGGCCCTGGTGCTGGTTAGAGGAAAACCAGCAGCGTTTACAATAGGAGCAGAGATGTCTTCTACAAGTCCACACTCCCGTCCAGACTCCCAAACAGCCTGCTCTTTCGGTCCTCCAGCTTGCCCCTCCCCAGCTCTGCCTCCCTCTTCTATTCCATGTGAAGTCCTCCGACCCCGCAGGAGAGCTGCAGCCCGGCACAGAGCCATACCTGGGGGTCTCTGTGTCATGAATGCAACGTGCAAGGAGAGAGAGAGATAGGGAGCAGGGGACATGTCTCAGGGACAGTGAGGACGCAAAGGTTCCCACTGTAACATGCGCAGTGATGAAGTCCCTGCGGGGGTGAGCTGGGGGACACCGTGGTACCCCAGGGAAGAAGGTAACTTTCCTACGGAGAGTGTAAGGGGCCAGTCTGGCAGACAAGCAGCCTCAGCAGCAGAGCGAATGAGCGTGAGGAGCAGAGGGGTTCTAACCAGAACCCCAGACCCATGTGACTTGGAGATGAGGCTTTTGTCCTTCACTCCCAAGCCATCCCTCCAATGCCACTACCCCTAAAAGACTCAAGGCAGCAGTAAGCAACGGGGTGGCCACTCACCTATATACTCCTCATCGATTTCCTCTTTCTCAGCCCTGTTGAGGTCCCGGATGATCTGGCCTACAGGGACACACAGTGGTCTGACAAGGGGCCAGTGGGGTACGTTCCCCAGTAAAACATCGCCCCGTCCTTCTGTCTGAGAACCCTAGAAACCAAACCGCTTTTCCAATTCTGCAAAGGACTCTGAGTAATTGGGCCAGATGAAGGTGTTGGTCGATAAACTCTGCCACGGAAGATGCTCGCCCTCCGGGTGGCAGGAGGTAGTTCCTACCTGTCACTGAACTTCTGCCACTAGGGACCACACACACAGGTCTGATGCTCCACCGTTTGGGAGCTGTACTGCTTTGGTTTCTTAAGAGCCGGCCTATTAGCCAGGCAGTGATGGCGCATTCCTTTAATCCCAGCACTCGGGAGGCAGAGACAGGCAGAGCTCTGTGAGTTTGAGGCCAGCCTGGTCTACAAAGCTACAAAGAGAAATCCTGTCTCAATCCCCCCCCCCAACAAAAAAGAGTTGGCCTGTTCTACTATAGACAGTTCATCCATGCCCAACCAGGGGCTCCCTGTGGTGGAAGGGAGCAGGTAGGGGTCATTGCCAAGGACTCTGTAATTACCGTGGGTCCTGTAATTAGAACCTCACATTGCCTAGCCTTGGATCCGAACAAGCTAACTTCAAGGAGACAGGGGCTCCAAGAAGACAGAGGGCCATCCTACCTGTGAACCAGACAGCCACCTGGCGGACGGGGCCCTGCGGACTCTTGAAAAGAGCCACACTCTGCTTCAGAAGCCAGAGCGCCTTGCTCCTTTCCTGTTGCAACTGAAAGAAGCAGCATTAGATACCACAACTATAGGGACACACTGTCAGTTTTCTAGCCTCTCACACAGTCTAAATAGGAGGGCCGAGGGGAAAGTGTCCCCACTGCAAAAGCAAAACACGACACAACACGCAACGACAAAACCTTCAGAACCTCCTACAAAATCTTGTGCCCCAGCTTCCGGAACCTGATTTCTTCCATGAAGCCTTCCTAGACTGACCAAGCCATGGGAATGACAATGTACACAAAGCCCTCGGCATGGTGAGGAGTCTTCAGTTCTGCTAGGACCTAGGTTTACTTGCCCCCCCCCATAGTCTCAGGCACTTGAATATTAGGGCCACAGCCAATGGCATTGCTGGGGAGGCTTGGGCACTGGGGGCAGGCTTTGAGAAGTTTAAAGACTCCGCCATTTTGAATTTGCTCTCTCTGCTTCAGGCTTGTGGTTCGAGACCTGCGCCCTTGGGTCCTTGCCCCTGCTGCCAAGCCTTCTCTCCACAATCACGGGCTCTCACCCTCGGCTGAAAGCTCAAACAAAACCCTCACAGCGGGCGGCGGTTAATGGAAGAGGAACGAATAGGTTGAGCATTATCCCTCTTCCATCCCTCCGGGCTGAACATGGCCCCTCTGCCAGACTCAAGCCTGTCTTCCAGCAGGGAGCTGGGCAGAGTGCCATTCCTTTCTCTCCCTTACCCTTTCCCAAAGACTCAGAAATTACCAATTCATGTACCTAGCTCTCCAGGGTGTGGGGGGGGGTTAGGAAGTGGGGGGAGGCGCGGGGGAGGGGATGAGGGTGGGGGATGAGTCAGCAGCTGGCTTACCAGGGCACTGAGGATGGTGAATGCATCCTTCTTGGCGAAGACCAATTTGAGTTTGGACCAGCCCAGGACGATAGCTACCTTGCAGAGACTGAGCCTGCAGGCCTGAGGAGACAGGAGGCTCAGCATGAGGGATCATGGGAATGAGGGTGGACAAAGATGCAGAGGGGTCCAGGAGGTAGACAGGTGGCAGCCCACTTGACCCTGCAGGGATCCAGGAGTAACGGAGAGCCTGTCCAGACATCAGGTTCTACTGACAACCTCCCCCCAGCGGTATGACTCTACAGCGCAGCCATTGGCACCATGTGGCCTTCCAACCCCAAAAGCTGTCCCTCTGAAAACAAATGTCAGGCTTTTGCTACATAACCCAGGCTAGCCTCGAGTTTGCACGTTAGACTCTTGAGTACTGGGTTCACGGAAGTGCATCGCCTCACCCAGGCACCCCACGAAGGTTGGCTTGGTCAGGAATGTGCTTTGTTCACCTGGAGGGACTCATCCCTTCCTGACAGCAGCATCCTTGGCTGTATCTAAGTGTTCTTCTGTTACAGATCATGCCAGCAGTTTCTGAGTGTCTACTGCGGTACAGGCTTCTGGTGTCCTGGGCTCAGGGCTTGGCCTGTCATAGTCCGGGCCTCTCTGCTCTTCCCAGCATAGCCCTACCTCCCATCATTGGCAAGGGCAGAAGTCCATCCGGGGAAAGTCCACGAGAGCCAAGGCCAGGCATCAGAGCCTGCGTGCTGGGGGAACAGCTACTGGGTCAAGCCGGCGCTGGAGGAGGGTCAGCCCAACGGCCACTCACAGAACCTCTCCAACTTCACAAGCCTAGTGGGCCCTCTCGGTGTTATGCAAGCCTGTCACAGCCCTGTCTGCCCAAGGGCTTGCCATGCTCTGCACTAGCTCCCAGTGAGGACGGAATGCCAGGCCGCAGGGGCTGGCTTCTTCTTACCTCTGCCACACTGGTGTTGACATCCTTCAGGTGGGACACAAGGAGGACCAGCAAGTTGAGAATCTGGTGCTTCAAGGGATACACAAGGGTCATCCTGGAGACCTTAGCTAGGATGCTCCTGTAGATCTCGAAGGCTATCAGGCGCAGCTGCTCTGAGTCCTGGAGAGGAAGAGGTCCCTTCAGGAAGACACAGACTCCCATGCGCCTGTACTGGTCACCCAGGTCAGAAGGATTCTGAGCTCCGCCTCCCACAAACCAAACTCCCATGAACGCCCCCCCCCCATCTACTCTATTCAACAACACAGCTGTCCTGTGATGCTCGCATCTGCCCCTTTTGACCATCGCAAAGCAAGGGTGCAGATCTGGTCCGTCTCCCAAGGCCTCTAAGGGAGCCAGGGAAATTGGGGGAGGGGGGTGGTCAAGGAAAGGGCTTTGTAAGGCAGATACACCCTCCTCCATTGTTCCACAGCCCCCTCGGTAAAGGGAGCGACTTCCTCCCCATCCCTCCCAGGCCTTCACCTCCTCAAAGAAGTGTGCTAAAGTGAAGGTCAGCTCGATGATGAAGGAGGAGGCGCGATGCCAACTAAGGTCCTTGAGGATGCGCTGCAGCATAAGGAAGGTCTCCATCACCAGCTCGCAGCTGAAGGAGTAGCAGCAGCTCAACACATAGGGCTGCAGGATGTGGAAGTAACTCATCTACAGAGTGATGACAGCCACTCAAAAGCAGAGTCAGGGGACTGTGCCCACCAGCCTGTCTCTCACATAGACCAGTGGCACAAGCCCTCTCTCTCTGTTTCCACTCTGGTCAAGCGGGGCTGTCGAAAGGGCGCCTGGCCACGGCCAGCGGCAAGAAGACAGAGACGGTCCGTCCACTGCACCGTAACCCTTCTACTGGTTGCTTCCCTCACTGCTGATGATGCCCATCTCCAGAGACCCGGACAGAACATCTGGGATCCTGGGATTGGCTGGGCCTGTTCTCTGCGGTGACTTACACGGCAACTTCCTCCTCCTAGGACCATTCCTGGATGGGAGGAAGCATCAGCGGCTCCAGCCCGCCTGGATTCCGTGCTTGGACAACTGGCCTCAAGAAGACCCATGCTCTAATTCTAAGAGTGTGTCACGCCCCGTCCGTAACTGGGCACACTGGGTCCACCTATGCCTTCCCTGGCCGCCGTGGCCTTGGCCCCCTTCCCAGTTTTCACCGTGTTTCTGTGTTTTGTGAAGATCTCTGTGATCTGCAGGAACAGGTGCTCTATGGCTGAGTCCTCACACTTGAACCAGTCTACCAGAACCTTGGTGGAGACTCCATCCACAACACCCGCCACATCTGGACAGCGCAGCAGCTGGCAAAAGGAAACCAAGAATGACAGGAAGGCAGGCAAGGGACAACCGGATCTAGCTTCTGACGTGTTAGCAAAATGATCCTCTTAGAGCCTTGGTCAGAGCTTAAAGGACAAGTTCACATCCTGCCCTTCATCCATGGCGCAAGTCTTCCTCGGGCATCTTTGAGGAGGGATGATGGGGGTGGGCAGTGAGAAGCACCTGCAGCTGTCACAGACCCTAGCACTGGCGAGCCTGGAAAGACGTGGCCATGAACTAACTGCCTGGAGAGCATTTCAAGGGAAGAGCCACGTGCCACAGGTTGAAAGCAGCTACAAAGCATCGTGGATGGGAGTCTATACAAAAGGCGGTAGACTTGATTGAGCCATACTTGAAGATAAAGAGAACTCGATGAAGCCCAAGTCTTTAGAAGACAAAACATTTGATTGGATAATGGGAGGGGATTCCCAGAGGACAGAGGAGTGTGTGTGTCTGTGCGCACATGTGTGCCTGTGTCTGTGCGCACGTGTGTGCCTGTGTCTGTGCGCACGTGTGTGCAGGTATGTGCCTGTGCATGCCTATGTCTGTGTGTGCACATGTGTGTCTGTGCATATGTGTGCATGTCTGTATGTGTGCATGTGTGTCCATGTCTCTGTGTCTGTGTGTCCCTGTCCTTAAGGCAAATGTGTCTTCCTGTTCTGGTCAGGCCACTAAGTCAGATCTACCATTTGCTTACTAGCTGAGCAAATTTCTTAAATTCTATGAGCCTGAGTTCTGTCCTCTACCAAGTGAGGATTAAAGTACCTGGGCTCAGTTTCTGGCTTAAGTTGCACGGCCCTGTCTGTTTTAAATGCTTCTGTCTGTGACTGCCTGTGAGTGGAGGTAACAGTGAACAAGGAGGTTACGTTTTATTTTATGTGCATTGGTGTTTTGCCTGCATGTCTGTGTGAAGGCGTCAGGGTTGTCTGGAACTGGAGTTACAGACAGGTGTGAGCCACCATGTGGGTGCTGGGAACTGAGTCCAGGTCCTCTGGAAGAGCAGCCAGTGCCCTTAACCTCTGAGTCATCTGTCCAGCCCTGAACAAGGAGTTTTAAGTGACTGCAAAATGTTCCCAGTGCTCATAGCCAGGGTCTCTCGCCTACGGCTCTGAACCTGCTTTCTTAGCTCCCACCTAAACCCCATTGGTCCCCCACTGTGAGAGCTCCCCCTGCAGTTGCTGAAAATGGCTCCTCCATCTCTCTCCCTGGATGATCATGCTGGGAAACTCCCGTAAGGACAAGGACGGCAGCTGAGCAACTGCGTGTATGGGTGTCTGCTCTCTCCAGCTGGGCATCACCCTCCACCTGCTGGAAGGATGGAACCGACCCATACAGCGCTGTTCTGTGTGCGCAAGGGGGTCTCTGTGAGTTTGAAGCCAGCCTGGTCTACATAGAAAGTTCCAGGTCAGCCAGGGCTACCTAGTGAGAGTCTGTCTCAAAAAGGGGGTGGGGAGGGAGAGCAGGGAGGCAGTGGAGGGGCGAGAAAGAGCAGAGTCACAACGTTGTTTCTGTACGAAAATGTCACAGCGCAACTCATGTCCTTTATACCGACTAAACAGTGATAAAAAACAAACAAAAATGCAATGAAAAGAACAGGACATAGAATATCAGAATAATTTAACCTTCTACACACACACACACACATATTCACACACATTCACATTGTCCTACACAGACTCACACACACACTCATCCCCACACACACACTCATCCACACACACACTCTCTCACACACTTACACACTCTCACACTCACAGACACACACTCATCTCTTTCACACACACTCACACACACATTCACATACTCACTGTCCTACACAGACTCACACTTTCACACACACTCTCACACTCACTCACACACACTCACACACTCTCACACACACTCTTACACACTCACACACCCCACACACACCCCTTCCTACAAGCAAAGGCATCAAAGTGGCTGTCCTACGGCGCTGTGGAGATGAATGGTTTTATACAATGTATATACATTCATTAATTTTCTGCACATTTCCCCTGTGTGATCACTGGATTGTAGAGTGAATCGGGGTGGCTAGTCAAACCAGAGTGTCACGGGGTCAGGCCAGAGTGAAAACCTTGAGATTTGAGAAGGATAAAGGCCTAGGACTTAATGACACTTGCCCACATTCCCCAGTCCGGCGGCAAGCATGGGCAAACCTGCTCTTCTTCCCCAAGAGCCCCTGGGTCACTTCTTCCCAGGAAGCTGTCCCCACCTCCCCTGCCCACTCTCCCCCAATCACCTCCGTCAGGAACACCAGGGCTGTTAAGTAGTGGGCACATTTTGGGTTCTCCAGGGTCCGGATGAGGAAGCGGAAGACAGGCCGATTGTGCCAGCAATTCTTGACAACCAGGGACCTGAGATGACGTGACGACAGGGTGCTCAGAATAAGACCCTGTCCTGAGCCACAGAAGACAGGCCAGACGGACGGGGCGCAGCCTACCTGGCCAGCAGAGTGACTCCATCATAGTGCGTTTCAGGGCTGACGAGCAGCTCCCAGCCGCCAAGCCTCTGAATGTAAGACATGTGGTCTGTGTACCCCGAGCTCCGCAGTAAGATCTTCAAGGCCTCCACGGAATTGCTGAGGACAGAACGGGGGAGGCGGGGAGTCAGTGCCAGCCACGCCCTTGACCTCCTAACAGGTATGGGACTCCTGTGAATTGTGGAGTGTTTGCAGACCACAGGCATTTCACAGGGCAAGCGCACAGGGGCTGTTGTGGGAGTCCCGGGCGGGCGGTGCTGGAAGCCTGCGGAATGGATGCTAGCTAGGTCTGTGGCACAGCAGGTCTTGCTTTGATTTTATCCTAGCACAGAAACCACATCCACCTGGGCAGCCTTTTTAAGGAGTCTTTTCAAGGGAGTGTAGGAAGGTTTGTGGAGTGGAGATGTGAGTAAAAAGCAAGCCTGGAGGAAGCGAACGGGCCGGGCCGAGTCAGCGAGGTGCCCAGACGCTGGCTGGGGTGTGGGTCGTAGTCTGCAGCACCACTCGCCCAGGGCCCCAGGCACCTCACGGGGTCCACACATTCCATTTCGTGCAGCTCCTCCTGGGTGGCCGTGGTCCCGCTAGTCACCAGGAAAGAGATCTGGAAGAGCAGTGCCACGAACATAGAGGCGAAGAAGGTTTGCAACTCCGAGCGCTGGCTGGGTATCAGCAGCAGCTCATAGATGGCCCTGATGACCTGGAGCGAGGAGAGCGGGGCGTCCCTATCACCCGACAGGCCCGCCTGGTGCAGTCACCCATGTCAGTGAAGACTGGGCATAATTACGCCAGGCTGCTCCCCTCCCGGGATGCCTTTGTGTGCTCTCCTAACTATGGGTCTTGTGCTAGCCTCTCAGAGTCCTTGAGCATTCAGGCAGGCCTGGGGTGTTTGTCTCATCTCACAGCACCCCCCCACCCTCCACCCCACCACCCCTGTTCTCAAAATTAGAATCTGGTCCTTCTGTTCTAGGCAAAGTCAACTGCCTAGGAAAATCACTCTGCCACTAGAACGCCCAACTAAACTTGGGCCCCTAACCGATACTAGTTCACAGAGCCCACCTAGCCCAGCAGGAATCCCTCCCAGCTCCCAGCTCCTCCATACAATGGGTGTTGAGAGCTCTGTTTCATGGCAGGTCTCCTGGTCCTTGGGTGTCTGGGGTGAAATCAGCCTCTGCAGCAGATACTCCATGATCACTTGGTAGCCTCTCGGAAAGGAAGCCAGGATTTCCCAGGATTTGTGTGTCCCTCTGTGGGGTCAGAAGCCACCGACAGTTACAGGCGACCCATTTCCCTGCTTCCTCAAAGCTTCCCCGAAGGGCTCTCAGCTCCTTAGCCCAGGCCTGGCTCCCTGCGTTCACCCCACCCTGTCAACTCCCCCTTTTATTCTTCTCGCTGTCTTATCACCTCCAGACTTCCCTGGTCTATGTCACCCTGCATATAGGCAAATAGGAAACCGTTCACTCAGCCCGCGGGCCTGAAAACATCCAGGACCAAAGCTTGTCCAGTGCCCCCGAGAGCATCGGATCGAGCCCTTTCCTGCCGCCATATCTAAGTTCTGCCTACTCTCACAGACCCTGCATCTGGGGCTGGGGACACAGCCCACACTGGCTTCTGTAGAAGCACATTTTCACAGATGTCTTTGTTTTTTTATACATCTAGATCTGAAAAACCACATATGCAACAAACTTAAATCTCTGAAAAAAAATGTTTTCTAAAATAATAAAGTGGGGGTTTTTTGTTTTGTTTTTTTGTTGGTGGTGGTTTTGTTGTTTTGTTTTGGTTGGTTGGTTAGTTGGTTTTGTTTCGTTTTCTTTTCTGTTTTTCTGAGACAGGATTTCTGTTTTGAGTATCCTGGAGCTCACTATGTAGACCAGGCTTGCCTTAATCCCAGCACTTAGGAGGCAGATCAGGTGGATCTCTGTGAGTTCTGGGACAGTCGGAGTAGACCCTGTTTCAGAAAGAAAGAAAGGGGGGGAGGGAGGGAGGGAGGGAAAGGAAAGAAAAGAAAAAGAGACCAGAAGAGAGTAACAAGGAAAAACAGGAACGATGATAAGAGAAAAATAAAGAATTTCAGGCTGGCTGACGGGATGGCTCAGCTGGTAAAAGTGTTTGGCACCAAACCTGACAAGCTGGTTTCTATCCCTAAGACCCACAGTGTGAAAGGCGAACACCAACTCAGGCAATCCTGCAAGTTATCCTCTGGCCTCCACACACCACGTAAGACACACAAACATGCACACCACACACACATACACATGCTCACACACAATCACACACACCACACACACACCACACACACGCTCACACACTAAATAAAAATATTTTTCAAACAGAGGAGAAGTTCACTGCTGGCAACATGTGCTCTAGGGACAAAGGCAAAGTAAAGAATGTCATTCACGGAGGACGGCAGTTAGACTGAGCGCTACTTCCTAAGGGCACCACTGGAGAGCAGGAGACGAGGAGTCAGGCCTTCCAAGGTTAGATGGCAACAAACATCAATGTACAAGCTTCACAGAGAGTCTCTTGTTTGAGGAAAGCTTCCTGAATGAACAAATGGACGGGCTGTGGGGCAGACTCTTACTAGATGGCAAACTAAGGGGCAGACTGAGGGGGAAGGAAAGGCAGCCCCCCCCCAAACCAATAAATCTCAGCATGGTGTTAGCATAAGGGTGTTACAAGGGCACCGTAATAACAGCAAAAACACCGATTGATGGCACATGGCTGTCAGCAAAACGAAAGGTAAGACAAAGTATGGGACACTCGAAAAATGAAATATTATAAACAATCTAAGGGGCTGATACCTAGCTCTCACAAGCTGGGTGGAACCTAGCAAAACAATATCAAGAATTTAGCAGATTAAATAAATATAAATACATTCACATGTAGAAGATTTACTAACACATTGTAACCAGCCCTGTACAATAATTTTGCGTGTAGTAGAAAACACATTTTATTGCAAATATCTGTTCATCATACAACAGAATTGACACCCATATCTTACTAGTCCAGGTGTCATTAAAAATCCAAATCTAAGCAGAAAGTTTTAAGATCATGTCCCCCCAATAATTATTTAGAAAGAAGAAGTTGATCAAAACAGCTAACGCTTGGACACTAAGTTGTTAAAGGTCCGTACTGGCATGCCATTGGCTATTTCGTGACATTTAAAGTTGATTTTTGTTTCTTGTGTAATTAGCAATCTAAAACAGAAATTTCCTCACCACGGTAAGAACATTTACTAGAAATTAATAATAAGCAATTTTAGTTTCTACTGTCCAGGAACAAGCCTAGCCTAGCTCTCCCACCGATCAGAACTGCACACGCTTGAGAACACAGAAGACTTCCGTCACCCCCTTCTCAGTGATTGGCAAACACGCAGAGATCATTGAAGACACAGAAGCCTTGAATAATACCATCAACTATTTTAATCTAATTTACAGAACTTGAGCTGGGTTAGGTCCCGAAAGACTAATAAAAACAGGCAGTTTGGAGGCGGAAGCCAAAATGCAGAGAACTGACCTGTTGAGTGAGGAGCCCAGATTTTGTTCTTGCTCTTTTATCTCCCAACTTTGACTTACACATGACCCCAGAGCAAAACTGTACGCCAGACACAGGCAACAGAACTTCTGGGTGAGACCCTGTATCCCCGGAGCGGTGGGGAAATGGGACCCTGTGAGTCAGACAGCCTGAGTAGGTCTCTGTGCCTTTGCCCCTTCCAAACCCTGTCTGGGCTCTCGCAGAGCTGCAGAGAGCCGAAGCGACTTGGTGTGTGGGGCAAGGGAGGCATCTGTACTGCTGTTGGGAACTTGTTTTCTTGTTGTAACTTGTGTCTCTGGGGCTGGGGACTAGCCGCCAGGGCCTGTGTGGCCGCCCGCTCTGTACCACAGCTGAGTGCCTCTCTGGTTTGCCTTTCTTGTTCTCTGGCCCCGTTTATTACATTATCCCCCCTATGTATCAACAAAGACAGCTTAAAAGACCTGGGAAGGGATCCTTCAGAGGCAGCAAGTGAAGGATTCCCCCAGCTCCGTGTGCAAGCCAAGAGAAACACCAGCACCAGCACCAGTACAATTCACTATATTAACAGGATGGGGGAAAAAAAATCACACAATCACTTTAATAGATACAATACAATTTTTAACTAAATTTAATTTCCATTTATGATAAACACTCTCAACAAACTACAAATACAAAGAAACTTTCATTTTTACTTTTAAAATATTTATAATTATAAGAGATGGCTTGGCGGTTTAGGGCACATAGTGCTCTAGAAAAAGAGGGACCCAAGCTCAGTTCCCAGCCCTCATGTCAGACAAGCACCTACAATCCAGTTTCAGGTATCTGATGCCCTCTTCTGGATCCTATGGCCATTAAACTCATGTACACAAACTCACATACAGACATGCATATATAACTAAAACTAAAAATAAAGTGTGTGTGTGAGAGAGAGGGACAGAGAGAGAGGGGGGGTTAAAATATAATTTATTATGCTAAAGAGGTTACTGGGCTCTTCCAGAATACCTGGGTTCTGTCCCAGCACCCACATGATAGCTCACAACCACCTGAACTCCAGTTCCAGGGAACCCAACACCTTCTTCTGGCCTTTGTTGGTACCAGGAATGCTCATGGTGCCCAGAAACGCATGTAGTTAAAAAATACCCATACACAAAAAAATTAAATAAAAAAGACAACTCGTGGGAATCTATTTTTCCTTATACCGTGTGGGTCCCAGGGTTTGAACTTAGATCACAAGATTTGGCGGCAGTCGGTACCTTTACCTGCTAAGCCATCCACATACTAAATGGTTGTAGACACGGGACCCCCTAGAAAGATGATGGAGATAGAAGACAGACCAGTGGCTGCCAGCAACTAAGGGTACAGAAAGGGCGGGCCCTAGAAAGATAGCACGGGGAATTGGGGAGGGGTGGTCAAGGACATGCCATTATGGTTGTGGTGATGGTTATTGTGAATATTCTTTCAGAAAATTCATATGTTAAAAAGGTGAATTTGCTACACATTTATCAACTTATTGTTTGTTTTCGAAACAGGGTTTCTTTGTGTAGCTCTCGGCTGTCCTGGAATTTGCTCTATAGACCAGGCTGGCCTCGAACTCACAGAGATCCACCTGCCTCTGCCTCCTGAGTGCTGGGATTAAAGGCATGTGCCACCAACTTTAACTTTTTATTTAAAAAAGAAAATTATAATATAGAATAGCCTTACAATATAAGGTCAAGAAGCCATTAAAATTTTAGTTATTAAAGGGTTGTAACTTAGGAAATTCTGTAATGAAAAAAACACACAGATTTGTAAATGTAGTATGGACTTAACTACACATATATAAAGAATGCATGTATTCAATTAGCACATATGATATACAACATATAACATATGCACATTATATATAATGTTTCTAAAAACTGCTTTCAGAAGGCAGACAAGACGTATAGTACCCAAATGATAAATACATACATACATACATACATACATACATACATACATACATATATGTATCATAACACATATATAGCATATAGCATACACACTACATATGACTTGGGGGGAGTGTTGTTTTGTTTTCCAAAACAGAGCTTCTCTATGTAACAGACTGGCTGTCCTGTAGACCAGGCCGACCTCCAATTCACAGAGATCCACCTGCCTCTGCCTCCCAAGTGCTGGGATTAAAGGCAATCACCACCAATGCCTGGCTATAATGATTTTTTTTTTAAACACTGCTTTCAGAAGGTGAATTATATCTGAATGATAACAGAGGTGCTACTGGCTGAAATTTAACTTTTTTTTTTTTTTTTTTTTTTTTGGCTTTGCCTTTTCTGCATTTTACATGCTTCCAAGATTTTCTGCGGTAAGGCAGATAGAATCACTCTGCTCCGAACCAATAATTTCTTATTGGTTCACTTTTGAATACATCTTAAGGACAAGGTAGGGGCTGGGGAGATGCATTTGGAGCCCCAGCATCCACATAAAGTGCCATGTGTCACTGGGGAGACAGGCAGAGAGTCCAGTCCCTGGGGCTGACCTGGTGGGTCCCAAGGTCAATGAGAAATCTCTGTCACCAAAAGGTGAAATGTGGCTAAGGAAAGTGCCTGGCATCACCTGTAGTCTCCACACATGGGTACAAATCTGCACACGCATGCAGACACTCTTGAACATGTACACACACACACACACACAGAGAGAGAGATGCTATTAAAAGGGCAACCAGAGGCCTGTAACCCTGTAGCTGTTGGGACGGTAACCTTTGGGACTGGTCCTGTATCTTGAGCAGCGTCAGGATAACCTCGTCTGTGTAAGTCTGGACCAGCAGCTGGAAAATCTTCTTTATGGTACTCAGAACAGCTTTGTTGGTGATTCTGTCTATTTGGTAGTAAATTGCCTGGATGATTTCTGGCACCTAAAAGAGCAGAGAGGGAGCGTTAGCTGTTTTGATTTGTTTTGGACAGCAACACCGGCTGAGCGGGAGTCACGGTTTAAAGTGTGGGCTGCAAACAATGTAGTACTCAGCATCAGGGCCAAGCACAGCTCTGTCCTGCTGTACTCTGCCCTGGCCAGTCAATCCCAGAGGAATGCGGGCCTGTGGCCTCCAGACCTTCAGAGGGGCAGAGAGAAAACAGCCATGGAGGGCCATACCACGTCTGGAACACATGGCATGAGGAAGGTAGGAAGCCCTGTGGCAAAAGGTAGATGAAGAAAATCAGGTAAAGTTATAAGAGCTAGCGAGACGAGCCTAAGCTAAGGCCCAGCGTTCGTAACGGATAAGGAGTCTCCGTGTCATGATTCGGGAGCTGGCTGGTGGCCCAAAAGGAAAAGCCTGGTACACATATTCCTTGAAAACAATACTTTGAAGTTCTAGCTTCTCTGGGGACAGTGACATGTGGGCCAACGTTCATGTGGGGCGGTGGCAGAGAGGTGCAACTTTGTTAGTCACCAGACGGCAAGAGGACACTGCCGGGCACTACAGTGTGCCGCTAAGCCATGCTGTTTGGTGGGCTAGGTGTGTTCTCAGCTTCCAGCATTTCCGTATACCTCACACCCAGTCAAGGCATACCTGAGTATATCTACGCGGTGAATGCACGAGTCAGGAATGCCCCCACAGGCTCACGCTTTGAACACTCATTCCTTCGCTGGCAGCGCTGTTTTGGGAGGCTGTGGATGGGGGGGACCCTAGCCAGTGAAAATCTGTCACTACGGGAAGCCTCTGAAGGCAACAGCCTGGCGCCGGGTTCCAGCACCCTGCCCTGCTTCCTAGCCTACTGCCATGGGGACAGCCTCCTCCTGCTGCCCTGTAAAGAGATTCTCTGTCTTGCTTGTCATGGCAGATGGTGAGCCAGAGCAAACCTCCCCTTCCTAAAGTTGTTTCTGCCAGGCATTTGGTTGGTCACTAATATCTACACCTCTGCCTTCCTCTGTTCTTTACATTCTTCCACCTACCTGAAGGACCAGCTACACACACACACAATACACACAGTGTCGTCTGCAAATGAGATGGATGGCCAAGGTCCTGGGAGCCCGTGGTACCTGTCCACTCTATCTTTGACCCAGTCCTCGCCTTCCTCATAGAGATGGGAGCCTGGTCGTCGGTCAGGCCACTACTCCATTCTTTCCCACGGAAGCAGCTTCTGCACGGATGCGGAAGCAACTCACCATACGGGCTTTCCTCTCCAGAGCTAAGAAGAGGACGAGACACCCCCCCCCCCGAAACAGAACGGAGAGATACCGAAGCCGTGGATCCTCCAACGCCTACCTTGGCAACTTCCGTAAGAGGGCACTTCAGAATCACCTTTAACATCTTGGAGGCTGCAAAGACATTGCTTGCGTCGCCACTGGTCATGGCCTCCATGGCCACCATGATCACATCGGCTCTCTCTACGGGGGTCAGGTATTTCCTGAAGAACTGAAAGAAGTGTGGGAGGGGGTGGGCAGCAGGAAGAGGGGGCTGAGAAGGACAAGGCAGGGGGGCAGGTAAGGCAAGAACCATCCCCTCAAGGCTCTGGTAGACCAACTGAGGAGGTTCAGACTGCGGGGGAAGACAGCCGAGAGTCCGCAGGACGTCTGAAGGGGTGGTAGGAGGTTTGTATTTTAGAAGGTGAAGCAGAAGGATGGCTGGACCGCAGCACTGGGGAAGAGGATGCTGTTTTGACCAGGCAAGAGGTGATGGGGGACTCGGGAGGTGTGGCCTTGGATGTGGCGTGGGAGGGAGAGGTAGGAGCAAAGGCCGAATCCCGGTCACGCGGCTGAGGTGATCTGGGTTAGCTTGAAGACAGAGGCACTTTTTTTCTAAAGCCGCCTCGGTGACCTCCAACTTCACAGAGCCCAAGTGTCACTAGGAGAATTAGCCGCCTGCCCCTGAGAGCGTGGACTTTGTAAACACTCCTGTTTGTTGGAATTATTACTCCTATAATCTACTGGCAAGCCTCCTCTCTCCTCCACTAACCCTCCCGCTCTGGGCATCTCCTGCGCAGTGGGCATCCCGCTTACCACTATGAGATTCTGCATGTTGGCCAGCCAGTTTCCTCGGAAATGCTTCTGTAAATCCTTCAGGATGCTCTCCGTCTTTGGTCTGATACCTCCGATCCAAAAACAGCAAGTAAGGGGCTAGGCCTTATCCGAGGAAAAGGAACCCACGCCCCTACCTCTCTCCCCCTGGCCTCTGAGAGCAGTAGAGACAAGTGGATTAAACAGCATTGGCCCCAAAGAAGAAAGGGAAACTGTGCGCTGGGACTCAAGCCTGCCCCTGTCCCTGTACAGTGACAAAATGTGGGCCTGAACCATTCCTGTGTCCTTAGCGGATTGTACCTCACTGAACCACAAGAATCCAAGGTCTCTGAAACTGCCTTTGCCGGGGGTGGGGGTGGTTTCCAAATACCCTCGGTACCTCTGTGACCATGACTGTTTGAAACAGAAGGGCTTGGTCAAAAATCCCCACATCTGTTCCCCCCCAAGAAAATACGCTTACTTCCCTAGTGTAGTGAATATAGTTGTGTTGGGACATCTAAGAAATGTTGACGATCCAAGTGGACCCCTTCAAATGGCTACATGCTTAGCTGCCCCTCACAAGAACGCCGTTAAAAAGGAATACTATCAGAGATGGGGCTGGCATTTTTCCAAGTAAAGTTTGTAGATGTGATCAGTTGGTCTCCCTGCATCACGCCCCCTCCCAGATGCCCCTGCTAGAAGGACCAACTTTTGCGGGTGTGTGTGAAACGATGCAGGCATACGCCAGCTCAGTGGGCCCAGCTACGCTACGAGTGGCCTCCCAGGCGCAGGCCACTTACTTCTCTGAAGTACAAGAATAGTGAACAAGTAGTACAAGGTCTCCAGCGCTCCTGAGCTGACCTCCTGGCTGGGATTCAGGCAGAAGATGCTGCAGGTTCCAATCAGCCTCCCCATTATGGAGAATGATACCATGTGCTGATGGGAAGCAGGAACCGTTACCTCTCCTCATCGCCGCCCCCTCCCCACCCTCGCTAAGGTTCCCCACCCCAAACTTCTCCTTTCTTCCACATTGTTTCCTCATCCATCCCTTCCTACCCCCACCCTGTCCTGGCCAAGGACAGCAACCCTAGCAGAGAGAGGGACAGTTCAAGCCTGGGACACATAACGCAGTGGGCACTGGGTCTCCATTGGCTGTCCAGGCCAAGGACCCCAACCGGGCTCATTGGAGTTTATTTGGTCCAGAACAGACCAAAGAACAAATCAAGCCTCTTGGTCCTCAGGGACAGAAATAAACACTGATGCAAGAAACTAGGATGTACTACCTGCCCTCCAGCTGCCCCTGCAGAACCCAGGCTCATCCAGCATCCCTGCACAGAGAAGCAAGGCCCGCCAGGTCTGCCTTGCAGCAGGCGCAAATACTCACCAACAGTTCCGAGAAATTGCAAATAAACCTCAGCAAGCGGGAAATAGTGCCCAAGGCTCGGGTCTGCTCATGCACTTTGTCTGACAGCATTAACCAAGGTAAGATGATCTGCAGACAGGACAGAGGGTCTCATCAACAAGGCCGTGGAACACAGCTCCCTTCTTGGCTTGTCCTGAGTCTACAGCTGATAGCCAGAAAAGGCCAGCAGGAGGAAGTTATTGGCGGTCACTAGAGGGACCCTGCGACCGTGAATAGGTTCCATCTGAGTCCCTTCACATGGGGGATGGTTCCAGGGAGAGCAAGGCACAGTTAGGAGTGAAGTGTCTCTGAAGGGTGAACTCAGAGCCAATGTCTGCTAAGGCTTGCGGTAAGGGTTCTGTGGACACGACTCACGTCATCCTTCTGCAGTACTGTGAGAAGGTATTTTCATTGCTATTTAGGTTGAGGTCCCACCAGTGGGGACCTGCTTGATGTTCATGTTTGGAAAGTGGGTCTGGGGTTAGAGCTGAGGACCAGGAACCTTTCCCCCTATGGTGCACATTCATGTTTTGGTGGTACACGCCTTTTAATCCCACCACACATTTCCCGGGTGTAATCAGGAGGCAGGGGTGGGTGGGCCTCTTGAGTTGGAGGCCAGCCTGGCCTACAGAGTGAATTTAGGACAGCCAAGGCTACACAGAGAAACCCTGTCAAAAACATAAATAAGTTATGTGATTAAATTAAAAAATAAAGGTTGACAAGCAGGGGTGTAAGAAAAGAAACAAGAAAAGCTGAGTTGGGCTGGGACTGTGGCTCAGTGATACAGCATTTGCCTGAGGAGCCAGGTTCAATCCCTAGCGTTAGGGAAAATAGGAGGGAGAGGGAGAGGGAGAGGGAGAGAACCACCTATGCCTGGTATCCTGTACAAAGTCAGACTTTTCATAGATGTATACTGAAAAATCTACCATTAAGCTGGGCTGGGTAGCTCACGTGCGTGGCCCTCGCATTCAGCTGTCAGTGTAAGACAAGCCTGGGCTATGAAATCCAGCCAATAGGATGGAAGCCCTCAGATCAATGCCAGCTTTGTTTCTTCATGTCCAGTGACTCGAGTATCAAGTGTTTTCAACAACAGGATCTCACCATCAAGTCCGGTTGGGTAATCAAAGGCAACCAAAGTAGCCTGTATTGTCTGAGGGGTCTACGGAAGTACCGTTGGTCAGCATCTTAAAGAAGGTGCCTCACACTTGGCGCTAGGCTTTTTGTTCGACAGCCTATGGTGTCTGGTAAAGGCATTATCCCTCTGTGTATCCCTCCATTTAAACATTTTTTAAATTTATTTATTATGTATACAGTGCTCTACCTATATGTCTGCCTGCATGTCAGCAGAGGGCACCAGATCTCACTATAGATGGTTGTGAGCCGCCATGTGGTTGCTGAGAATCGAACTCAGGACCTCTAGAAGAGCAACCAGTCCTCTTAACCTCTGAGCTATCTATCTCTCTAGCCTCCCATTTAAACTCTTTACATATGGTTTTTATGTAGCTTCCCCCCAAACATCTTTAGTGTTATGCAAAATCAAATTAAAATAAATCATGACACATTATGTTACCATAATTTTATACAAATTGTTTTTCTAAATGAAGTGACAAGTATAATCAAAATTTTGTTTCATATAAAATAAACTCACTTTCAGGCCGTCCTAACAAAAGTAATCTACAGACGACTCAATGCAATCCTTATCAAAATTCCAACACAATCCTTTACAGACTTTGAAAAGCCAATTCTCAGCTTCATATAGAAAAAGCAAAAATCCAGGCTAAAACAATCCTGAACAATAAAGAAACTGCTGGGAAGTATTCATTCCTAAATTCAAGGTGTACTACAGAGCTATAGTCATAAAAACTGCATGGTGCTGGCATAAAAACAGACATGTAATCCGGGCACCTGTGGACACCTGACATTTGATAGGGAACCCAGAAGTACACACTGGAAAAAAAGAAAAAAAAAAAAGCATCTTCAAGAAATGTTACAGGTCAAACTTGATGTCTGCATGTAGAAAAAAATGCAAATAGACCCATATTTATCACCCTGCACAAAACTCAAGTCCAGGCGGCTCAAAGACCTCACCACAAAACCAGACACACTGAACCCGGTAGAAGAGATGATGAGGACTCGCCTTGCTGCATTGACAAGGAGGCGACTTCCTAAATAGAACAACAGTAGCAGAGACGCTAAGATCAACAATTAATCAATGGGAAGCTTCGCAAGGCAAAGGATGCCATGAATAGGACAAAACAGCAGCTTGCAGAATGGGAAGAGATGTTTATCAACTGCACATCTAACAAAGGACTAATATCCCAAATATCTAAGGAACTCGGGAAACAGGATATTAAAAAACAAACAAACAAACAAAAAAAAAAACCCTGAAATAATCCAATTAAAAATGGATATATATATTGAGACAAACCTCAGTATGTAGCCTGGGTTGGCCTCAAACTCACAGCAATCCTCCTGCTTCTGCATTTCAATGCTATATTTAGACATACATACTACGCCTGGCGCCATTTTCCTCTGGAGAACAAGAGGCCTTGTACTGAGTGATGAGGACTTCACGATGATGAGGACCAGAGCTCAGAGCCTCCCTTCCCCCATGAACTCCAAGAACAACAGGGGCTTGTTAGTGCACTCACAATGAGGTGTCTATAAAGCAGAGAAATGCCTCTCAACAGACACACCAGCAGCGGAACATTCCAAAGCACTATGTCACTATCCCAAATACAAATAAGGGCCTCGTCTAGATGCAGCCCTCATCAGGACCATCTTATGAGATACCCAGACACTTTTTTTTATCTCTATTTGCAATCATAAAGAATCTTAGGCAAAATATCTTCGCCCAGTCAATAGCCATTTTGCTTGTGGACATTATTTTCAATGGGCTCTTGACTCTTTTCCTAAATCAAACTAGTTCTCAGGTAGTGAAGATTTGCCAGAACTAAGAATATTTCAGCACAAAATACAAGAAGCAGGGCCGGGTTCTGGTCCTACAACCACCTACCTCCACGAAGTTTTGCAGAATAAGCATGTTGGGGATCCTGTCTTCCAACACAAGAGCTTGTAGCATGTCATCCAAGGCCTGGATTGTCTGTCAATCAAGGAGACATGGGGCGTACAGTAGGGTAACCGTCATATGGCTTGCTGGGCTTCCCGAGAACACTCCCTCCATCTCTTCCACGGGATAAAGGAACAGGGAGCCAGCATGGTTCTGTTGTCCTCACATCTGCTCACACAACCACTACACTGTGGCTTCCCCTGGTGTTGAACTAAAGCTGGGGCCAGGCACATCTCAAATAGCGAAACACAGGCTCTAGACGCTTCTTGCCAACTAAGACAGCAGGCTGGGATTCTCAGCGTTAGAGAGTAATTCTACCAAGTTTATGGAGAGATGTCTGGTTTCTACTTTTGCAGTTCTGGGAACTGAACCCAAGACCTAAGTGCTAAGCAAAAGCTTTACCATTTATCATTGGGAAAACAATTTGCCAATTATTCTTACATAATCTATGGATTTTATTGCTAAGACTAAGGCTGGCATGTGAACTTCAGAGAGAAGAGATATGGGCAATGACCATTCCTTGGGAAGCCCGGAATGGCAAGCAGAATGGAAGGCATGGTCTCCTGGGGGGGAGGGGTCAGCGCAGGAGAAAGGCTAGGAAGCCAAGCAAACAGGAGGTGGTCCCCATGACAAAGTCATCCCCACGGAGATCTCCTATCTCCGGCAAGAGACAACAGTGATTACCTGGAGGTAGAGGCTAGCACTGTCCTTTCGGTCTAGACTAGGCATGATGAGGGGCAGGGTGAATATGCTGGTGATGCTAACGTTAACCAGGTCCAGCTTCTGGCATAAGTGGAAAGGTGGCTTCACCTGGCTTGGGGGAGAAGTGGTAAATGACGAGGGACTTAGGGGGTCCTGTGCGAGGCTGAGACGCATCTCCAGAACCCTCCGGGGGAAAGTGCTCTGCTATTCCCTGAGGTACAGAGAGCTGTGGACACACTTTACACTGACTCCTTGTTGATTAGGGAGGCCTCCTATACTAGGTGTCTTAATAGGGTTTCCCAAAGGTGCCCCTGCTCCCAGGGTGCAGGCACAAGAAATGGCAACCATAGATTTTGCCAGTTTGTAGCCTCCCGTCAAGTCCCCGAACTTGGCCTGTCTTCCCAACCCACATGTTCTTAGGACCAGAATCCCTGGGGTCTGGGAGGGGGTCCGTGGGGGGAATCAACCTCAGGGCCACAATGCAGAGCATGGCTTGCTGACGCACACTGCTGTCCAAGAGGTCGGTGGGCTCTTCCAGGATGAATGTCTACAAGGAGCAGGAAAAGTGAGAATTTACCTCAGAGAGGGTCACCAGCCCTTTGAGAGCCGTCACCTTCAATGCGGAGCGGAGCGACCAGCTAAGAGTCGCGTCCTTCCTCACCTCAATTTTCTTGGCCAGAAGGGTTTTAGGATAGTAGTTATTCATGTTGCCATTTGCCTGGTCACGCACAACACTGCTCAAAATTAACACAGCATTCAGGAAGTGCAGCTTGTCTGTCTGGGACTAAGGCAGAAAAGGAAACCAGGCTGACGGCAGAACCTGAGACCTGCACCCCACACTGCGCCCAGCCCCAACTGGACCGGACTGTAGATTATGCCTCAGTGCTAGACAGCACAGGGAGGAGTAGGGCCGAGTCTAAAGGAAGGTCTTTCAGAGAGGAAGGGTACTGCCACCCTGTGTAGTGGCCTGGCCTCCAAGATTTCCCCAGACCGAGAGCCCTGAATGAGCTGGTGGCTTTGGGGCTAGAGCTAGAGCCCATCTTCAGATTCCCCACCTTGCTCCTCAGTCCCCAAAGAGTCCCGGAGACTCTCCCTACCATCTGGCCGGGTTCCATGAAGTCCAGAATCAGCTGGTAGGCTTCCTTTTCTGATTGGCACAATCCTGAAAGGGATGCCGTCGGAGGAGCTTAGCTGCCTTTATCAGGTGGGCTGGGAGGGGACGGCCACTCTTGCCATCCCCTCCACTGAGAAGACGAGAAAATCACCACGGAGCAGCATGGGCGTGCATAGCGCCTGTCTCGCGAACTTCAGAGGTCAACATGAAAAGCTTTCAGGTGTGGCCACCGAAGCAAGAATGACTGGGAAGTGGGAAGGCTTTCGGTCCCTTTCTGCAACCCACAGGTATCTAGGACTGCCCCACACTGCCTTCGAAATGCCTGATTCTAGTCAGCCTTGGGAGTCTTCCTTGTCAACTAAGGGGAGGTGTGCATAGCCTTAAGTGAGAGGCGGAGACAGAGTTTAGGAGCAAGGCTAAGAAGAGCCCAGAAGAGCTAAGGCAAAGAAGGAAGGCTCTGCTGGTGAGCAGCCTGCCTCTGCCTCCTGAGTGCTGGGATTAAAGGCCTTGACGCTTGACTGGAACGCACACACACAGACATCCTTCAGACCATCAGTTGAGAGACTGAAACAGTAACCCAGAGAGACAAATTGTCAGATCTAGAGTCTATTTTGGTGATCAGTAGACAAAGATGATGGACAAGATGTGAGTATGAAAGCTAGAAAGCGGTCAAAGGTTGTTAAGGGTGTAGCATGGCTCGGTTGTAGAGCTCAGTGACGTGCGGAGGCCCTGGGTTTGATTCCCAGGTACAACTACTAAACAAAAACTAATTAGGCATAGCATTACACACCTGTAATCCAAGCACTTGGAGGATCTTGGATTTGAGAGAACCCTGGGCTGCCTAAGTTGAGTTCTGAGCCCGCCTGGGCTTCAGAGTAAAATCATGTCTCAAAAAGTGAAAACAGATTAAAAGAAAAAAAAAAAAGTAAACAAAACCAAAACAGGTAGTGTGGTGGCGCACACATGATTCTGGTACTTAAGAGGCTGGGGAAAAGAATCAGTGTGAACGTGATGCCAGCTTGATCTTCAAAATGAACTCCAAGCTAGCCAGTGCCACAGTACACCATACAGCAATACCCTGCCTGCAGGAAAAAAAAAAAAAAAGCAATAAACAACAAACAAGCAAAACAAGAGATTAAACTTTTGGCCACCCAAGAGACTAGAAGGATTGGGTTGCCATTTGTTGACCTGAGATCTGAAGGTGGTAGTCAAGGTAGGGTTCGGTTGGAGGGTGGGACACGCTGACTTTGAGATGTCTACGGGTCATCAGTGTTCGGGTGTGAATAGGCTTTAGGACAGGGCATGGTGACACACCCCTGAACTCCTCGCTGATCAGGAGGTTGAGGCAGGCAAATCACAAGCTTGAGTAATGTAGCAAGACTGTCCAGAAGAAGAAAGGGAGGAAGAGAAAGGGGGCGGAGGGGGACAAAGAGGACGAGGGAAAGGAAAAAAAGAAAGACAAAGTGAGTAACAGCAGTTGGTGCTAGCCACCAGGGCTGACAGCCTGAATTCGATCTTCTGGACCCGCACGATGGAGAGAGCCTCAGACCTCCACACATGTGCCATAGCATGCATGCACATTGCACATACACACACACACACACACACACACACACACACACACACACACACACACACACACTAAAGAAATAAAGGTCAATTAAATTTAAAAATGACTGGCCGGGCAATGGTGGCCCACACCTTTAATCACAGCACTTGGGAGGCAGAGGCAGGTGGATCTCTGTGAGTTCAAAGCCAGCCTGGTCTACAGAGTGAGTTCCAGGACTGACTCCATAGCTACTGAGACATTCTGTCTCGACAAACAAAAACAAAATAAAAAAAAAATCAAAACAAAAATTAACAAGACTTGGGGTATAAGAGCTTAGGGTTTGGACACTGCTGGTCTGAAGCACGTGTCTGTTAGGTGATAAGGAAAGATCATCTCTGGTTCCCCCTGAACATCTAGTTGTCTCTAGGTGAGCTATAGCCAAGATCTTAGAAACTAAACTGTCAGTGCCCAGCTGAGCTCAGGCCTCTCAGGGAGGCAAGCTTTGCAAAAGGGACAGGCCTGTAGAGACTAGAGCTATGGAAGGGGTTTCCAGAAGTAAGCAGATGTGCTCTTCGAGCAGCATCTCCAGCGAGGGCCGGGCAATTCTCACTTCCAAGTGGCTGTTTGATGAGAGATACCCCTGCCTGGGGAGAACCACTCACCTGACAAGCTTGGCTTCAAGAAGAGATCATAAGTTGATCTACGAAATGTTACTCTGCTCTGGCTTCTGTCGAGGTATGGATTCATCTGCACACCCAGGGTAGGACCCAACAGCTTGTGACGAGACTAGCAGTCAGGCTTGGTGAGAGTTGGGTCTTCCTAGGGATTCAGGGTTAGGATGGGGGGGGGTGGGGAGGCTGCAGGAGACAGCCTGACCCTTTAACAAGGAAAGCATGGGGTTGCAAATGTGGCTCTCAATAGCAGAGCACTGCCCTTACTCTTTGCTTGTACTGAGGCTCTAAATTTATCCACAGCCCGGGGCCAGAGTGCAGAAAACCACAGAACAGCTAGCCACAGGAAAAGAACTGACCCATCAGCGCTGCCCATGATGAGTCCCCTTTGTCACCTTCCCATTTTATCTGCTCCCTCAGTGGAAGGTGCTCGGCCCGACCCCAAAGGACCCCGATTCCTTATGGCTTGTGCAGGCATCTTCCGTCCAGGGATCTCCCCTGTGCAGATCTCAGAATCAAGCTGGTTCCCAGGGAAATTTCCATCCATGGCTGCTCTGAGCAGAGAGGCTTCCTTCCGGTTCCCTGGGATCCATCATCTCACTTCTGCCTCGGGTAGGGGAGCTAAGCCGGCCACATGCCTGCCCTCCTAGACGGGGCCCAGCAGAACTAGCCTGAGAACTGGAAGGAGCTGTTGCTGCCCAAGCAGGTCCTCACACTGGCACATTCCCCGGCTGGCAGCTTAGAGGAACGCCGCTGTTCCCTCTTGCTTTCTTACCCCTCCCCCTTCAACCCGCCTCGCCTCCCAGATTATCACAGATTATTAAGACCTGATATTGCATCGGGTTTTTCCTGGAGTCGGGGATGGGGAACTGGAGAGATGGCTCAACAGTTCAAGAGTGCTGACTGCCCATAGGGGAAACCTAGATTCCATTACCAACACCCTCATGGTAGCTGACAGCAACTCCCACTCCAGGGACTCTGATGCCCTCTTCGAGCTGAAGTCGGTACTGCATCCACAGTGCGTGCACAGACAAAAAAAACGCCCATACACATTAAAAAAGGAAGTCCAAAACTATATCCCCTTGGCCTAACGAGTGACTAAAATACAAAATCAAACACTTTCCTACCATGTGTGAAACTCTGGGTTCCATCCCCAACACAGTGAAATAAAGTTCAAACTCACCACAAGATAAGTTAAATCCAAAGTCAAGTCCCCACTGCCCACAGCTACCAGTTAAACTGATGTTCAGGTCTGAGGTAAGGATGCCCACGTCTCTCTAGAGTCCCTGGAACAACCTCCAACGTGAAGGGATGCCCCCAGGCCTAACGAAGCCAGGCCTTTCAAGGTCAGATTCCCACAGTCCCTAGGGCTGGGCTGGAGTCATCCTTGCATAGCCATGTCCCTGACCCTTTGTGACCTACCTCTCCCTTGACTGTGGAGAGGGACAGGTAAAACAGAGGCCCCTTTACCTGACACATGCTACCTCAGACTCAGGCCACAAGCCTCTCTAGGGGCTGCAGTCATAGGGGGCGGTCTGCTGCCAGGTCCTGAGCAACCCCTACAGGGCATCAGTGAAAGCTAGGCTCCCCGACCCCACACCCCATGGTGGAGGGACTCTTTGCAGAAGGGGTTATGGACCACCCTTCCTCACACGAGGAAAGCCTGTTTCTCCAGCCACATGGAACAGTATCTCAAAAGCCTCCAGCACCCCTTGGCTGGGGTCATTTGAAACCAGATGTAGGGGCTGTCACAAATTCTGATCTCTCCGCAAGAGGTGACTTCCAAAGCAGAGTTCTCAGGCCCTGGAGTTCGCAAGGAACTGTGCGGATTCCCTTTGGTCAGAGAAGCAGCTTGGGCCTCCCACGCCACCTCACCTGGCTTCTACAGACATGGCCAGACCAGTTGGAATGGTGAGGCAGACACCTGAGGGAGTCGGGTAGGGCCTCTGTTCAGAAAACCACACACAAACACACACCCGTCATCCTCAGCTGGGCCAATCAGATTTTATTGAAGTATTTGGCACCGTGTTGTACATTTTCAGCCCTGCCTCTTCCGGCACAGAAAATGGCTGTTAGGTAAGACCAATAAGTTACTGTGAAGGGTGCTCGGGTGGAGGAAGGGACTGGCGCTCAAATGTCTCCCTGCTCTGTGACTTGGGACCTAAGGCACTTAGGGATCCAGAGAACACACTGAGGGTGGGCATCTATACTAGAGGAGAGGCTCAGAAGCCGGACAAACCGCAGCAGGGCGTCCAAACTCAATGTGCAGGGCGGAGCTGTGGGATACGGTGATAGTGCATCCCTCAAGCTCCTCTTAGCCACCTGCTTTCTCTCCAGCGGGAGAAAGAGGCCTTAGAGTCAGGCATCCGTGTCTGTCCAGCCCAGGAGAGACCTGGAGAAGTACTCCAGTGAGGAAGGCCAGGCAAAATCACAACTGTCACCTTCCCAGCTGCTCCTAGGCAAGACGCCTACCTGGGCATCTTGCCCGGCCGCAAAGGAGGCCCAAGGGTCAAAATCTACCACTGGTCTAAGCACAGGCAGCTTCCTGGCTTGCCTGGTCTCAGGAGCTGGGACAATTCGCGTCGTCTTAGACAACCCCAACAAGAGTCATTAATGAGCTTCTCCAGGTGTGAACAAACAAGGTTTTTTTTTTTTTTTTTTTTCCCCCAGGACAGAAGCTGGCTGGGCAGAAAATGGAAGGGCGGTAACTACCTCTTCACACTTCAAACACACCACAGAAGTAGCACTTAACAAAATTATATATATATATATATATATATATATATATATATATATATATTTCCCAAGTTGCTGGTTTCTAGGACTATGAAGATTTTAGAGGGCATAGTCGGCAGCCAGCCTAGCCTTGCAATGCCCAGCAGCGGCTGTGGAGGATGAGGTGTTCTCCACCAACTAACCAGCCCCCTAGCCCCGGCCCCTGACTAGATAAATAGTGTAATGTAGCTCAAACTGCAGGTTCAGGTTCAGTGGCCTGAGAGCTGGAGGTATGGAGACAGAACAGCGAGTCAGGACAATAGGAAAACCAGACATAAAGGCCTCTCCTGCCATAGCGTGTGCGTCACAGAGCACATAAAGGGAGAAGAGTCCTGCCCAGCCTGTGGTACCCAGAGATCTGAAACGGGAGGGGTCCTTGTCCTGTACCACATTCCACCTCCCGCACTGAGAACCAGCAGCTACCGCAGAAAGAAGGCACAGAGCATCAGGGACTCCCAAGGGTCCTCATGCCACTTGTCCCGCATAAGGAGACAAACGCTGTCAATTAGCCTAGCAAGACCTTAAGTCCAGAAGGCCAGGCTGGGGGGGGGGGGAGATAAAGTATAATCATATTATAGGAACTCTTGAAGACAAATCACAGACACAAATCCTCAGGTCAGGACTTCCGGAAAACACTCATGTAAAAAAAAAACAGGTTTCGGCTCTGAGTCATCGGCCGGCGATGAGGGTAGGAGAGCAGAAAGAAGCCCCTTAGGGGTGAGGGGTCTCAGCCCCAGCTCCAATAGAAAAGTCTTTTTCCAGCCACGGCCAAGGCTTTCAGAGTCGTTACACCTGGCTGATAATCTCTCCATTCTCGGGCAGAAAGACTTGCACGGGAACCCCGTCTGGTGACCTCCGGAGTACACACACTGGGGGCACCTGCCACAGGGGGACAGAGGCACAGATGAGCAAACCCGGTAGAAAAGTCAGCACTGAGAGCCACCCACACCATTCTTTCTGCTCAAAGGCATGGATCATCAATACTGAAGCGGGGTGGTCTGTTCCCGCCTGCCCCAGGAATGACGTTCCCAGGTTCCACCCCCCTCGAGGGCCTGTTTACCACTCCAGGTTCTTTGGGGTGTGACGGGCACCCTGACCTTCTTCCCCACCTTCCCTGGATTCATGTCTCATCATCGTCCCTGTCTGACAGGTTGGGATGGGCCAAGCCTAGACCAAAGACAGGTCCAAGCTCGCAGGAAGGGTAAGCATGTCAGCCTGGGACTGGGCCAGGGTGCTGCGCAGCAGCCAGCGATGGCAGCTGCGACAGCCCAGAGAACCTGGGGGCGGGGAGGATGGTGCAGCTGGGATCTCAAAGAAGCAGCCTGTTGGTGACTTCTAGAGCATGTCCCCTGCCTAGCCTTCTGAATCAGGAAGGGAGAATAAAGAAAGGATTCATGCCTGGAATCCTCTCTCTCAGAATGAAGAAATACAGCCCCAAGTCAGGGTGTTCTTAATCCTACATACTACCGATACAACCTAGGCCCTGGCGACAATATTATTACCTACCCAGCACTCTTGGGCATTGCTCTAATCACTTTAGCCTCATATCCACACGATGACAGTGCTCACTTACTACCACCATCTTTTAGATGGGGGAAAACAGAAGCCCGCAAGTTAAGCAACCCACAGGAGCATTGTAACCTGTAAGAGCCGGGGCTGGGGTTAGAACTTGGTACTCTAGCTGTTAACTATGAGACCTTCGCCCATTTTCCAGATTCTCCCTTTGCCCTGGGCCCTCGAGTCAGGAAATTCCAGGGGTTAATTTGGGTTGCACATTTGGTTATGAGGAAGTTTATCTGTTGTGTGGATCATCTGTGAAAGCCAGTGCGTATGTGTGTGTGTGTGGGGGGGGAATCTCCCCAGCTGTCTGTGTGTTTGATCTCTACTGGGGCACATTGGTATGTGCTCTCGCACTAGACACAACAGGTACAAGTAAGAGGCACCTCAGGGGGTTCGGAAGCCAAGAGGAAATTCATTCTCATTCTCTCTCTCTCTCTCTCTCTCTCTCTCTCTCTCTCTCTCTCTCTCTCTCTCTCCCTCTGTGTGTGTGTGTGTGTGTGTGTGTGTGTCTGGGCCTAATATTCCTAGGTGAGCATTTCTAGGCCAGTAGCCTGCTGATCTAATGCCTCCACCCCCCCACCCCCCCCACCCCCGGGAAGCTATACCTGTGTCCTGGGTCCCGGGACCCGGCCGAAGCTCTCCCTCCCGGGAGGCAGGCTCCTAACACGGAAAGCTCCTTGGCGGTCCAGTGAGTGGGGGCGGCTGCTCCGGAGACGTGCCCGCTCGTGCCACCACTTGAGCTCCTCGGAGACGGCTGCCTTGCTGAGTGCCCTGCCCGCAGGGCTGTCCTTGAGCGAGGGAGTGCGCACGATGCGGCTGTGCGAGGGCACCAGCCGCTGGTAGCGCAGGGGCGCACCCTCCTCGTCGTAGGCTGCTCGGCACAGCTCCCACTCGCCGGGTGGCAGGTGGCCCTCGGCCACCATCACATAGCGCCCCGTTGGGAAGTATCCAGCGGGCAGCAGAAGTTTAGGGTAGTGAGTGGCCAGCTCTCTGCCACAGGCTGGGCCCCAGGCGCCACGATGGCGAGGTGGCTCCGGAGGACAGAGGGGACGCAGAAAGGAGATGTCTGGGCTGCTGCTCCCCGGCGAGGTGGGGTGGGAGATGCTGGAGACATCAGAGCCGCTGTCTTCAGAGCAAGAGCGGTAGGCAGGGTGTGGCAGCGGGGGCTTGCTGGGTGTGAAGCAGGAGTCCGGCACGGTCACCGTGTAATGGGTGGGACGGCGGCGCGGAAAGGCGCTGCGACCGCGGCCCTCCGCGCCCGTTCGGAAGGAGTCCACTCTGAAGAAGAAAGCCGGAGCATTGCGTTGGGGACGAGTCACACTGGAGTGATGAGTTACGAATTTGGAGGCCAGTGCTCCATCCCAAAGCCAGCACTCTGGTCAGACCTCCCCAGGCTTGTAACGCATTCCCTCCCTTCACGCTCTACTGCGCCTGCTCCATTCCTTCTAGCCTTTTCTGCATCAGGACAAACTGATTCCCACAAGTGCTGTCCTGAACCACAAAATCCGGGTCGCGAGTCCCTCGCATAAACCAGGTGAACACTACCATCCTGTGGACCTTCGGTCTTTTTTGGGGGTTTTGTAATTCCTAATACAGTGTAAATGCCATACTCTGACGGACAGGGAATGTGGCTCAGAGGGAAGAATACTTGCTTAGCGTGCATGAAATACTAGGTTCAATCCCCAGGCCTGCAAAAAGAATTTGTACACGTCCTATACATCTGTGATTTTCAAAGGTATTTTGGTTTCTGAGCGATTCAGGTCACAGATTCACAGACTGGAAGGGCCAACATTCTGTGATATACTTGTCACATTTTTCAGCCAGCTAGGGCACACTGTGGTAGTGTTTCATTCAGACCCTGTTTGGTTAGACGTAGTCGAGCATTTAGCTTAATAAATGTGGAAAGTGGGCTGGAGAGATGGCTCAGAGGTTGAGAGCACTGACTGCTCTTCCAGAGGTCCCGATTTCAATTCCCAGCAACCACACGGTGGCTCACAACCATCTACAAAGAGGTCTGGTGCCATATTCTGACATGAAGGCAGAACACTATATACAGAATAAATTAAATCTTTTTTTAAAATGTGAAAAGCTTTCATGTGTTCCAAAGGGCAGATACATGCAGTACAGGATCACAGAGGGCTAAAACCTAACTCCTCCTCTGTTTACATACTGGGTATGGGGCTTGGTTGCCTTTTAAAAATCTTGTGCAAAGACATTGTTTATAATGTTTATAAATTGGTGATAGGTACCTCACTTACTGAAACTATTACCAGGTAGTGGGGGCTTGAAAAAAAAATGTACAGTTGACTTTCATTATTTGCCAATTTTCTACTTGCTAAAATTGATCTGCTAATTCTGAAGTCAATATGCATAGCGTCTTTTTTTGTGATGGTTAATCTTATCAACCTGACAGGGTCTAGAATCACCTACAAGACAAACCTCTGGATACATCTGTGAGGGAGTTTCTTCTATACTGGGTTAGTTGAAATGAGAAGGTGGCACCTGTCCGTGGGCTAGAGTCCTGGGCCGAATTAAAAGGACTGAGAGTTGCTGAGCATCTCTCACATTCCTTTAATGCAGCACTGGTAAGCATCACTTGTGGGGCCATTTTAAATATAAAGAAGTCAGGCGTGGCGCCTTCCAGCACTCGGGAGCCAGAAGCAGGAGGATCTCTAAATTCAAGGCCAACCTGGTCTACAAAGCGAGTTCCAGGGCAGCCAGGTTTGTTACACAGAGAAACCCTGTCTTGAAAATCCAAAAGAATGAAAGGAAGGAAGGCAGGGAGGGAGGAAGGGAGGGAGGAAGGGAGGGAGGGAGGAAGAGAGGGAGGGAGGGAGGGAGGAAGAGAGGGAGGGAGGGGGGAGGGAGGGACAGAGTGAGCTGGGAACTGGCGTTCATCTCTCTCTGCCTCCTGATGGCAGATACGCTGTGATGGCCACTGGCCTTCCTGCCTCCCCTACACAACTACACAATGGGCAGCATCTCAAACTGTGACCCAACGTGAGACCTCCTTCCTTGAGCTGCTTTTTTGTCAAGCGTTTTGTCCCAGCATTGGAGGAGAAAAGTAACTAACACGTATCCCTGGGCGTTTGGTGCGGAAAAGAATTCGGGTTTGCTTCTAGCGCCCATCTCCAGGAGAGGCTGGCTGTGGTGCGGTAGCACAGAGGCACAGCAGCAAGGAGGCTGAGGCAGGTGAACTCCAGGCCAGGCTAGACAAGCAGCCATAACAAAATAGCTGGGACATTTCGAAAGCTTCTCCGCCACTCGTGAAGCCCCAGGCCCCTTCCCCAGCTCTGCCCACGCTGAAACAGAGCTAAATTGACGTCCGTGTGCTGTTATCTTATTCCATCCTTTGGACCCGGGGAGGGGGAATTGACATTTTTTGTTTGCTTCTTTTGAGGGTCTCTCACTGTAGTCCTGGCTGTCCCGGAACTCGCTCTGTAGACCGTGCTGGCCTGGAACTCACAGAGCTCCTCCGGCCTCTGCCTCCTAAGTGATGGGCGGCACCACATCTGGCCTCTTGATATTTAAAATGGCCCCGCAAGTGAGGCAAGACGGCTAGGCTAACTTCATCCAGGGTAAGTTGCAGTGTCATTTGGCATGAGTTCAGCATTAATGAAGCCACAGGCATATTGAGAGTGCCCTTAAATATAAACCATCCTTCAACAGAAACTCATGTTCAACAAGGAGACATATGTATGTATATATCTCAGTTAATGAGCAACACCATCACCAGAACTTGTATTCCCCTAAGGGACAGTAGTTCTCAGTCTATCTAACACTGGGACCTTTAAACACAATTCCCCATGCTGTGGTGACCCTTCCCCCCAACCATAAAACTACTTCCATTGGTACTTGAGAACTGTAATTTCGCTCCTGTTATGAACTGCAATGTAAATATGTGTTTTCAGATGGCCTTAGGAGTCCATTAGGGGTGGTGACCCACAGGTTGAAAACCACTGCTGTAGGAGAGCGTGTGTTTACAGCCGTGTTGTATGTAGACCACAACTACCGTGAATAACGAGAACCAACTGGAAAAGAGAAGCAGGCATGGTCAGTGACCAATAACAAACCAGAATCTGCCAGCGCGAGAAAACAGGGCAAGGTTGGAAAAGCTGCGTCAAGGAAAGCAGCTTCCTTTGTGGATGAAGTGCTCTGGGCTCTGTTGAGGAGCAGCAGCCTCTACCCCTCCAGACAGGCACCCCAGACAGGGATGCAAAGGAACACCAGGGCGCCTGAGCCGTACCCACACAGCTTGGGATGGAAATGGGCGCCTTCTTACCTCAGGGACTGCGACTGGCCCCTTCTGCCCTGCATCTCAGGGGTAGCCGGAGCACTGGTGCGGCCCTGCCGCTGGCTAGGAACATTCCGGATGGGGACGGCGTGGTAGGAGGTGGCAGGATCCAGCAGCCACAGGCTAGAGGCGCTGGGCTGATCCTGAGGCGTGGTGGCCGGGCTGCTGTAAAGGGATGAGAGATGAGTCAGTGACATCAATATCTTTATTTGGAATGGCGGTTCTCAACCTTCCTAATGCCTAGACCCTTTAATACAGTTCCTCATGCTGTGGGCCCCCCTACAACCATGAAATTATTTCCTTTGCAACTTTATAACTGTGATTTTGCTACTGTTATGAACTGTGACTTAAATATCTGTGTTTTCTGATGGTCTTAGGCAACCCCCCCCTCCGTGAAAGGGTCATTCACCACCCAAGGGTGGGGACCCACAGGTTGAGAACCATTGGTTTAAAGGCTCAAGAGGTGGGTGGCCCCAGTAGAAATGGTGTACAGAGTCAGCACTCCAAAGGCTCGCGCCTCTGGCACCACACAAATAAGGAGAGTGACCACCTGCACATTTCCCCATCCCCAGCTGGGGCCAGCCCCGCACTTTGTGAGCCTGACCTGGACTCGCTACTGAGTTCAGAAGACTTCCTGGGCTTCTCATAGGGGTGGTCCAGGCTGGTCTCCTTCCACGGACTGTTTTGGATAGGGGCGCGTTCCAGGCCGCCAGACTCAGGCCCTGTTGGCTGTAGGCCCTCAAGGCTCTGGGGTGGGAGAGGCCGCGAAGGTGGTGCCTGTGGCGCCGCCGCCGGGGACTCTGGGGGAGGTTTTGGTGCTTTGGAATCTTCTGCAGGGGTAGAAAAGGCAGAGGCTGGGGAAAACCGGCTCAGCAAGAACCTCCACAGTCCCGCCTAGCTCTCTCCCCTCAATGTCTTGACCTACTGCTCCAGGCCAGAGCCCCAATCCCAGATAAGAGAAGCTGTTTTCTTCTGTGGGGGGGGGGCTCCTCCCTCCCCCTCCCTCCCTCCCCCTCCCTCCCTCCCCCTCCCTCCCTCCCCCTCCCTCCCAGCCCCCTTTAAATTTTACACCTGCTTCCTTGCTGACTCACTCTTCCCCACTTTCTAGCTTTTGCTCCTGTCTGAAGGTAGCTGGCTTCTTGTTCCTGCGTCACCTAGGTGCCCTGTTTCCTTATTGGCCTGGGCACACCCTGGGTGTGTCCACTTTGACCCTCCATACTCTCAGTCATCCTAAACAAGGTTTGTACTTCCTCTCCATGCTACCGTCTCTTCGACCGACCACGGCAATGGTTTTGAGTGGACCATTCATTGGCTCTAACTGGCTCTGGAACACAGCCTTAGGGAAGCTGAGACGCCACGGTTAAAGAGCCAGGCTAGCGATTGAAAGGGGAGCCCAGCACATCCCCCACCCTCAACGGGCCACGGGCCTGGACACACAGGAACTGACATCACACCCAAGACAGACCCTGGGCTGGGACCCCTGCCTTCATCAGCGCCCTAACCCTTGCAGTCCCACTGGGAGTCCTTTCTAGCGAACCCTGCAAATCCCCACGGGATTGTGTCCCCAAACTGCCCATCTCACCTTCCTCCAGGAGTAGCCCATCAGACAGGGAGCTGTCATCAGAGGCACTGAGCTCTGGGGAGGAAGACAAGTGAGACAATGAGCCCAGAGTTAAGCAGAACAATCCCTCTGCCAGGACAGCAGCTCAGTTCCCCCGGGGAATACCCACGACCCGATAAAACATGTATCCGGAACTCATTACTTAGAGGTTAAAAACAAAGGTTCACAGTCAGAGGCTGGGGACAGGGAAGGTGATTTTAACCCTGCTCTGTCCTGAACCACGCAACCTTGAGTAAGCCATCTCAAGGCTCTGGACCATGGACTTCCCCTTGGCCAACAAGAGCAGGACTTCCTAGTAATAATCAGGGAAAAACCGAGAGCCATTTTAGAAGGCTCTGGGATGAAGAGCACTTTGCCAGGCATCTACAATCTTCAAACATCGCAAATGTAACGCCACACCAGAGTCTCAAACGTAAGAATTCCTGCAGTTGGGGTAGGGGGCGCTGTGGGGACTACGAGACCAACTTCCGTCAGGGTGCGGCCAGCTGGCCCTAAGAGTGGTCTGTTAGTGTTGTGCAAGCCGCCTGGGGGAAACGGCGCATGGTGGACCCATGTGGAACAAGAGCACGTGTCACTCAGGAAACTGGAGGGGACCTTACTTTCTCTCCTGTCCCTGAGCCAGGTGCAGTGCCCTGGGCTTTGTGGCTAACCCCGAGTGACCCAGACAGAACCAAGAAATCATTTCCAACTGTTCCAGAATGAAGACGAGGAAACATTAACGATGGCCAATATTTCTACTGTGCCAGTACTTTCCTGACTATGCTGCAAACACGAATTCATGTAAAATCCACAGCAACTAAGATAGACACTATCAGCTCCAGGTAACTGAGGAAACCAGTCTTGGCCCAGTAAGGAGGTTTGGGCCAAAAAGGCTGCAAACGAAGTGTACACACCTGGCCAGTCTGACTAGAGCCTGTGCTCTAAGTAAGCCACGCCCCTTGATGAGCTTTCCTGTCAGTCAGCACAGAAAGTTCTACAGAGTTCTACGAAGAGTTAGTTTTGATAAGGGACTATACAATCCACAAAGTCTAAAATAGTTGCTACCCAGATGATTATGGGGGAAATTGCCAACCTCTGATCCGTAACTAAAACCAAACATCAACTTTACTATAGCAATTCTTACCGTCTGCGGCTACGCGGCTAGGCTGCCGAGTAGCCAGCCAAGGCTTTACATGGCTAAGAGCTGACCTTTGCTTTGGGGCTCGGTGAAGAGACATCCTCCTCCTCTTGTTGAATTCTGGTCCTCTGTCTTGTGTCTTTAACAAAACACTTTGAGAACAAAGTGTTTTAAGTTTTGCAACTGTCAAGTTGAAGAAGTTACCCAAGTGCCACTCTCCTACCCACTGCACTAGGGCAATGTGGGTTCGAATCGTAGGCTTGGGGCAGGATGCATCATTCCCCATCACCTCTAAGTCCTCATGTAAACAAGGCGGTCAGCTTTGTGGGCCCAAAGGTAGAATGCTATGAGAAGCCTGGAGACATATTGGTTTTGCTGGGAGGATAAGCTCCAGACATAAGTGGTCCCTGAGATGCTCACTATCTCCGCCCGGTCCCAACTAGGTCCTGGTTCACCTATCTACCGTGGCTGTCCCCCAACAGACACGGCAGAATACCCCAGGCAGAGCCGTAACTAGGAAACCATACTTACAAAGCTACACAGCACAGCATTTTTACCATTGTGGGTCCCCATAGATGGGGCTGCTCAAGACGGACACCGCCAATCAACAAATGCAGACTGAGCGCCCATCACGTTAGCAGTTCAGGGGGTGGTTCTTTGGCTCCCTCCTAGTAAATCAGCTCAAACCCTGACCTCCCCTTGCCACCTGCAGAGAAGTGACTAATTACCCTCATCTGGCAAATTACTTTCTCAAATGAATAACGCTTGTGTGCAAAGGAGCAGGGTGGGTTTTCATTTTGATTTTTTTTTTTTTTTTTTTTTTTTTTTTTGGTTTGTTTGCTTGTTTTCCCTTTTTAGTTGAAAACACCCTCTAGCCTCAAACTAATTACTAATCTCTCTCTACTTCCTCCTTCCCAGGTGGGCACAAAACAGGAATGACTAGTTCAGAGCTCCCAAGTGAGGACACCAGAACCCAGAACCTCAGGCCCTTCTGGAGGGCAGGGTCTGTGCTGGAGCCAAGCAAGTCGCTCGCTGTGCCAGCTGGTTCCTCCGCACACCTGTCACACCTCTGTCTTCTCTGGGCGAAAGGCCCTGAGAACCCACAGCCCCTTGCCTCCTACACAGGGTTAAGCCAGAGCATGTCCTGGCGGGCTTCTCCACTTCCAGCAAGGAGTGTCATCAGCCTCACGGCAGCAGTAGTGACATTCCCCCCAAAGCCCCACTCGGAGCAGAAGCTCCTAGCGATGGCAGCAGGTATGGGCAAAGGAGCTCCCAAAGAGTGTGTGCTGGACAGGGACCAGAGGAGCTGAGGCCAGCCGGGACAGGACACAGCTCATCATTAATGGCTCCTTCAGGAAAGAGGCGCCCTTGGGGATCACGATGCCTCGGTCAGCAGCTCTTTCCCATACCCAGGGCCTGTGGGGAATGGAAGGCAGACAGAGGATGCCTTTTTCCTTAGAACCTTGGGGAGCGAGAGTGAGGTGTCCTACACTGGGGCCAGAGTCTGCGCATGAGGCCCTGGGTCAGTCCCAGGCTCTTATGGGTTTCCCGGTCAGCCATGCCACGGAAGGACACATTGTTCTTTGCCATCTGCTCCAGATTTCCAAGGGTGACCAAGGCTGGTCTGTTCACACGCTTCTTAGTCTGAACTAAGTCACAGGCTCTGAAAGCAACGCCTGCCTGAGGCATGGATCATGCGCACCAGGAAGGACCTGCAGGCTTCTCTTGTGTGTCCAGCCAGGGACAAAAACAGCTGGGCAAGAACCCAGCTGCTGTGCGCGGATGGGCGCATGGGCACGAGGGAGGCTATTGCTCCCGGGGCTGAGCCTGAAGCTCTGATTCAAGGCTACAATGAACATCAGCTGGTCCCTAGCACTACCTCCTTGAGACGAGGCCGGGGCCAGGGCAAGAGACTTCTGGGGGCAGGGCTGAGCGGGAGTACACGTCCTGACCTGACAAGCCAGATCTGGGTCAGGGCGAAGGAAAACAGTCCCACCTCGGGGCTCAAAAGCTCACCAGACTGGACACACTGAAGTCATTTGGCTGGCCCTGGCTCTGAGGTGCCTGCCCCACAGCCTCAGCTCTGGGTCAGGGCTCGGGCACTAAGCTACAAGCACAATCCGGCAAAGCAGAGATGCGAAAGCCAGCAACCCTGACTGTGACAGCTGCACGCACTGAAAGGCCTGTGAGGGCACAACTGGATTTCAGCCTCAACACCCACGAGTAGGCGGCCCGGAGCCCATCAGTGACCGGCTTACCCATAGCAGCAGCCAATCCCCGACTGGAGCTAGAAGCCAGAGCGTCACCGCAGAACCTTTGGTTCACTGCACTTTACCCTGAAGATAATACTCCAGGCTGGATAAACCCTTGGGTTAGGATCAAGCAGAGAAAACACCTCCTCTCTATAAAGTCTTATAAAAGTGGGGTACTACGCCGGAGATGCAGAAGGTGGAAATGGGATGGAGAAGATCTCCCAGGGTGCAGGTGCTTTGGTGGGATACATTGTGCCGACCCAGGAGGGAGTACCCCGATGGTACTAACGTGAACCATGAACACAGGCAATCAGCATGCGGCAAAGTACAGGGGGCGGAGCTTCGCGAGGCCTGCACCGCTCTGGCTCAGGACGTGGGCTCACCTCTGCCCATGCTGCTGGGGACAGTGACGGGAGGGGGCTCGCTCTTCCGCCGCCGATCGCCCAGGCAGCGCTCAAGCTCCCTCAGCTTGTTTTCCTCCTGCAGCGCTGCATGCTTCCGCTGCCTGCGCGCCTGTCTGCTGAGGTTCTCCTCCGCGCACAACCTGCGAGCCGCCTCGGTGATCTGAAGCTGCAGGGCCAGCTGGCGCTCGAGGCTGCTCAGGGGGTCCTGAGACGGGGGTTGGGAGTGAGGGCCAAGAAGAGTCAGTCCTTGGCGCTTGGGGAACGGAGGACTCCAAGGCGCTCTGACCCGGTGGCGTGGCGAGCTGGCAGCGGTGTCCGCGGACACACAGCAAAGGGAGGGCGCAAAGGTAGCCTGAGAGTCCCACCCCAGCTACCTGCCGTGCAGGGCTGGGAGAGGACTTAAGTGGGGCAATTTCCTCCCTCGACCCCAAAGAACCAAGCACATCAATGCATGAGAATCTCTCCGAGGGGAAGGCCACCTGCGGCCAGGGCCACCCACCTCCTTCCACCTAGGCTGAGAAAGAGCAGGCCTCATGCGACCCCAACCTCCCTGGCCGCTGCTTCTCTGTGGTGGTTAGTGGTATTCTTAATCCTCTGCCCGCTAGGGCCAAGCCCAGTGTTGTCCCTCGAGCTCCCAGCTCTCGAGCTGCTGACTGGACAGGCTTACTCAGAGCCATCTGGGCTACCCACGAGGACAAGCCCCGGATTAACACAGTCAGCGCCCACACTGGATGGTGGGCATTGGCCAGGGCACCCGGCTGCGTCCGGAGCTGGCTTCTGGGGATGAGGCGCAGTGACGATCACCCCTGGTACTCCTCACCTCTCTGTGCAGGGCCCACTCATCCAGCTTGTACGCTGCTCCAATCCTGCGCCGGACCTTGGGCGCTTTCTCGCCTGGCTTAAGGGGATACTCTGCAGGCAAAGTACCAGTCAGCTCCTGCGGGGAGGGGGGGGCAGAGTCAAGGCAGGACCCTCTCCGCTTGCCCAACCATTTAAAACTGGTCCTACGCTGCCTGGGCCTGTGGGATCAGCGGGATACTTGAGCTCCCGCGCACCTCACCCCCTCAAGCCACAGTTGTCTTCTTATTCCCGTCCCTGAAGCTCACACGCTGCTCCCTGCCTTTTGCCTTCCCGTTCCCTCTGGCCTCTTCCTCCTGAGGACTACCCTGACCCAAGGTACAATTATGAAGTGCACTTCCAGCTCGATGGCCCCTCTTCCACCCCTGGCCTCTTCTAGCACCTGGACCCCGGCCAGGTCTAATTTCCCTCTACCCAGTGTCCAGGTCAAACCCACACGAGGGAGACTCTAGGTCCAGACCTCAATCTGATTTCCGATCTCCTTAAAAATGTGGCTTTCCCCCTGGCCTAGATATCCCAAAAAATATAGCTCCAGGGCTCCTCGGGGTGAACCCCGAGTCTGTAGGGGCAGGGGCTCCAGGGGCCTCACCGCCTCCCTCAGGCAGAGTCTGCGCAGTTCCTCCAAGCAGGCCTCCAGCCTGGCTTCCAGGGACCTCTGCTGATTGCGCACAGCACTGGTCAGCTCCTTCATCGGTGAAACAGGGCTGTCTGGACCTGCGGGAAGACAATGGGCATTTGCTCAGAACCCTGAAGCAAGGCATCCCTGGGACACTGCTGGCCACCTCCGGGAGGGTACACACCCCTACAGCCTCATGCTTGCCCACAAATTACAGGCTAGTTGCTAAGGTCTGTGTCACGACCACAAAACATCATGTCTCCTGGCTGCCCAAAGGTTGGTAACATTATAGAGCAAAGGGAGAGAGCTGTCTGTCCTACCAGGTGACCTGTGTGGGGGAGGGACTCACGGTCAGAACTGTGTCTTCCCCCTCCTCTCTCTCCTGTCTCAAAGCCAGGCCAGACTAGACCCACGGGCTCAGGCTTAGAAGAGACACAGGACATTAACACACTAGCTAGATAAGATTTTCAGCTTCTCAGTAATCGCTGCAGCTAAAGTTGGACACAGCAGATCTCCACTCCAGATAGGACAGAAACGCCTGCCTGGTGCCTTCCAGCAAGGAAAACCGCGGTTCCTTGAGGTGCCAGAGACCTTCCAGTCCCCCCACTTCCCCAACAGAAGCCTCTCTCTCCCAACCCTTTGGGAGTCTTTCGCTTGACTGGCCTAGCCCAGGGCCTAGCGACTCAGTCTGGAGTCAGGGGCCAGGGCAGGGGAATTTCCTGGGCCACTCACCAGACTGCAGGATGATGCCACTGTCAGTATCACTGACCTCATCCTTACTCTCCATGATGAATTTCTGGGGGGAGGGGGCACAGAGGAAGAAGGGGCTGTGCTGGTCCCAGCCTGGCCCAGGACGTGTAGGCTGCCTGGAGCTTTCCCAGCTTTGAAGAGAAAATAACAACACAAGCATTCTATGAAGCCTGCTGCGGTTCAATGCTTAGGGTAGGGGAATGGAAGTGAGGATTGGGTTTCTGGAATGATCTGGGGTGAGAGATTTTCTGAGGGTACAGCCTCGCCCCCCCCACACACTAGGTCTGAACGGGTGGCTGGCTGTTCAAGAACAGGAAAAGGAACAGAGAGACGATGTAAAGGCGGAGGACGGGACAGGGTGGCAAAGGCAGGACATGACGAGATGTCTTCGTGAGGTATAGCCATCCTCACCCTGACAGCACAGGAGGCGTGAGGCATGGCCCGCTGTCTCACTGGCTAAAAGCATTGCAAGAAATGGCCGGGCAGTGAGCACAAAGCCAAGGCCGGTCTGGGGCCTGAGGACCAGGGGGCCTTGCTGCCTGGACCTGGTCATTCACTGGAAAGTCAAGGAAGCAACTCCATGACAGAGAATTGTCCTAAATCGAGAGCCACCAGTGTACCTAAGAGACTTCCCACGCAGGAGTTAATGGGCAGACTATATACCCCTCAGCTAGGAGGGAGGGGGTCTATTGGGCTGCTCTGTACCCCTCAGCTAGGAGGGAGGGGTCTATTGAGTTGCTCTTTAACCAACAGCTAGGAGGGTGTGGTCTTTGGATTTCTGGGAGCTGATGGAGGCAAGAGCAGACTGGAAGTTACGGAGGATGGAAAGGAAAACACCAGCTTCTCTGTCTCCCTATGCCCGCACGGCACTCTGGTGGTGTAGGTGCAGCCCAGCACACCACCCACCCAAACACCTGTGACCACCCCTTATCTCTCTCCCAAACCCACACCCTCAGTGGGATCCCAGCTGGCCAGGGCTGGCAGCTGTTGGCTAGAGCAGGGGAGGGGTGGGTGGGGCCCAGGCCACCAGCCACCTCCTCACTGAGTCAGCCCATTGAGCAAGAGTCCAAAAGTCCTTCAGAGTTTCTGTCTGGAACTTATCCTGCTGCCTCCACAGAGCACACAGGCTGCAGGGGTGTGGTGGGGAGGGGAAGGAAGGGGGGGCTTCGTCCCTGCAGAGCAGTGTGGTGCTCTTTGGGAGAGCTGGCTGCTAAGCAAAGCGCAGAGAGGAGGGGGCGCTACTGTCAGAACAGGCTCCCCAGGCCTGCTGTAAGGAGAACTATAATAGGCTGTGTCAACAGCACAGCTTATCGTTGATGCACGGAGATCAGCCATGGCTAAGACCAAAGCCTGGAAATCAACCTGTACTTTGCACCCTGGGATTTCAATCTCCCAAGCAAGTCTGGAGAATGAAGGCAAGAATAAAAGCAATAAAAGTCGATGTGCTACCTTTACAAACACACCAAAAGGACTGGCCAGGTACCGCCTGGGACTGCCCGGAAGTTAGGATGAGTGTCAGTTCATAATGGCCATCTGTCTCAAATCCTTACCCTTTCTAGCCCAGAGAAGCTGGCGGCTGGGCCTCCCCCCCCACCTCGGGGCATCCCCCCCCCCAGAAGAGGCCAAGCTCATCTTCATCTAGGAAGCAGGACCAAGACTAGCAGGGTTGGCAGCTGGCACCTGGAGCTTTGTGCTTTTGGACCGAGGGAGGGGGGTAAGTGGGAGGGGAAGCCATCAATTAATTAGTCACACTGGCTAATTAATTATTAACCACTAAGAAGGTGCTTTGAAAGGTTGAAACAACTCAAGCCCAGCCTCTCAGGGGGGCGCAGGCTGCTACACACAAGAGGGGCGGTCGTTGGAAGACTAAGGGATTTCTTAGGATGGCTTCTCCTTCAACTTTTCTCTCCTCAAGGCTCTGGCATTTACGGTGGGCCCAACAGGAGGCTACGGGCTCCCTTGCTGCTGCACGCAGGGCAAAGTGCACACACAGGTCCAGAGACCTGGAGTATGCGCTCAGTTGTGCAGCTTCCTGAGATAGCAGAGGAGGGTCTCTGGCCTCCAAAGAGCCAATTTTCCTCTCAAGGGCAATGAAAATCAGACATGCCTAAGGCTCCTCCCAGACCCCATGTCTGAATTAGGACCTTGTGGGCAATACCAGCCTGACAATGATGTCCACACCTTCCCCAGAATCCACAGGGGCAGCCCAGACCCAAGCCAGGAGAGCTGGGGTCTAGGTGTGGAAGGTCTGGCTGTAGATAAAGGCAGCTCAGGTAACAGCCCCACCCCCAGCTCAGGAGTCTGTCTGCCCCTGCTGGCCCTCCAGGCAGCCCAGAAGCAGCCCACCTGCTCAAAGCCATCCCAGACAAAGCCAGAGGGAGAAAGAAAGTCTCAGGAGGAGGGAGGAAACTCCAGCATACTTTCTCTCAGGGAGGCCACTGGGGATCCTCAGCATCACAAATGGACCCCCAAAGCCAGGCCCTCTCCGTCCCAGCTCATCTCTGTTAGAAATTAGGCCTCTCACAGAGACCCTCCTCAGTCCCCTGTTACCCTAGAGCCCAGACATAACCTCACGGGTAGGGGAATGATAGCCGCCTCTGGCCAGGGGCTCCTTCCCTTTCCTGGTCTGCACACAGCTCAAACACAGACTGGCCTCACCCCCACACACACACACACACACACACACACACACACACACACACACACACACAGAGCCCATTCTCACCTGCCCCAGAGCTCAGTCTAGATCAGGGGTTTGGGGTGTCTCTCACGCCACCTCGGGGTCTCCCAGGTCACAGGCAGGCCACCTAGAGCTCTTGCTTCCAGCAAGTTCTGCACGCTGATGGCCGCCCCCTGGCTCTCCCTCTCGTCAGGTCCCGCCTGCCTGCTGTCCCTCCCAGGCTGCCGGGCCAGGGGAACCAGGTTACTTGTTACGACTTGAGTCAGAGGGGAGGAGCAGGTGAGCAAGTCCTTCCCTGAACTAATCCGGCTGCTGGCAGTTGCCGGCAGGCAGCTCCTAGGCCTCTGCACTTCCGGGCCGAGGGGAGCAGGGGAAAGGGGCTCCCCATGAAAGGGAACCAAAAGGTGACAGTCATGTTTCCATAGCCACAAGGAACCCTAATACAGTGTGCTGAGCTATGAGATGCTTCAGAGTCCTTCTGTCCATCTCCTTCCCTTCTACCTCACTTTCTCTTTCTAGAAATTCAGGAATGTTAAGCCCCCCCCCAAAAAAGAGTAAAAAATTTGCTGTCCTTAGGAAGCATCATCCATAAATCTACACACACACACACACACACACACTGGATCACTGCTCTCCCTGTACACAGGTGACTGAAGCGTCGGTTTTCCAAGATTAGGATTTAAAAGCCTCAGGCTGAGCTGCGGGTTGTGTGGCAGGCACTTGTAGCAACTTGCAGGCCCCAACTGCCTGTGATCTGAGGCAGGGGGATCACATGAGCCTGTAGACTCAGGGCTAGCCTGGGCAACAAAGCAAGGCACTGTATTTAAGAAGAAGAAGGAAGAGGAGGAGGAGGCGACAGCTGTGAATGAGTACGTGTAAGGTTTTGGTAGAGTACAAGTCAGAGGTCCCCCATTTAAAAACCAGCACCTAAAAAGGAAATGAAACCAAGTGGACAACAAAATCAGGAGGGATTGCTATTACAGAGACTCTAGGGTGCTGGAGATGGAGGGCCAAGCTGGCTCCTTTTCATTACAGCACCATCAGGAGCATCGCATTCCCATCTTGTAATCGGCGTCCACCCCCAGCAATGCTCTGCAGGACCCTGAGCTGAACAGTCTAGTCACTCCTCAGGAGAGCTACAGTGACTTCCAACCCTTAGCCCGCTCTCCAAACGCAAGGCACTTGTTCCCTGCAAAAAGGCAGCTTCCTCTGACCCACAAGCACATGAAAACTTGCTTAGAATACAAGAGCTGGGGCTGACCGTTGCCTCTTCCCAGAGGCTAAAGATTGATTCACTGCAGACAGGTCTGCATCTCTCTCGAGCCTCTGCCTCTTCCCACCTCTGGGACTCAGGTCCTAAGTTGCTTCCTTATTCTCAACCTCTCAGGTGCCGGTCTTCACAACCCCATTCCTTCTATATACAAACCCCCTCGAATATCTTCACATTCCTGTACACACCCTCTTTCCAAACAATGCTAGCTCAGGAGTCCTGCAGGCTGACCACCTCCTCCTCTCCCTAAGCAGAGGCCGAGGGGCCCTCACAGGGGACAGACCCTCCCCACTGTGGGGAGCATGCTCTCTGAACCTCCCAAAGAACCCACAAGCCTTCCCACCCCACCCCCAATCCTCCACAACACTGCTGCCCCTTCCCATCCCCCAACAGCTTTACAAGCTCGCTCTCCCAGTGTCTTTCAGGGGTTGACTCTGGGCTTGAGCTGTCTTGACCTGACCCATCCACCACCACCACCCAGCTACAATTAGGGAGAGTGGTAGAGTTTCTGGAATCAGCTCAGCTCAGTTTTGTTTTTTGTTTTGTGTTTTTTTGTTTGTTTTAATGTATAAAATAAAGAGACCAGTTATGTAGCCCAATTCTGCTGAAGTGCGTGCAGTTCTGAAACCACTTTAAAACGCCACAACTTGTACACTTCATCGTTAACATTAAACAGGACACACAGCACACGGGTCGTTTCAAGCAACCCATGAATGAAGCTATTTACATGTAACCGGTGGGATAGGAAACCGACCTCACGGGAGAGCCACAGGTACTGATGCTGCCCCTACAGCCTGAGGTGTAAGGTTTGGACCCAATTAAGAACTGTGGCCTCAGGTAACACCATCTGAATTCAAGGACAAAAATCAAAATTGGGCTAAGGCCTGTACACACACACCAGGATATAAATTCCCTAAACAGTCTTCCAGGAAAAGCCTCCAGGCCTTCACTAATGATTCTCACTGCTTGAAACAAGCTTTTCAAGAACGGACTTGAGCAGAAGAAGCCAGGACACTGAAACACAAACTCAAACCCCCTCAAGCAGAACATAAGCCCCCCCCAAACCCCCACGCCTCCCAGAAATATGTATCCTGCAAAGAGGCAAGCCCAGCAACCAACCAGCATTTTGCTTACTCTTCAGTCCCACTATTCAGGGAGAACCAACCGTCTTCACCAACAGCTCTCAGCCTCCTTGCAGGTAGCTGTGCCAGTGGAGCTTTTTAGGAGCTCCTTCCTTCCTTCCTTCCTTCCTTCCTTCCTTCCTTCCTTCCTTCCTTCCTTCCTTTTTCAGAAACCCCCTGCAGTAGTAAGACTCCTATTGGAAACGGGTAGCAGGCCCCTGCTCAGTAATGGACCTACAGACCAACCTGCGTGCATTGACCCTTAATGTGTAAATACTCCCAATCCACACTCAGCATTCGCCAGGCTTGGAATGGGAGGGGGCAACACCAAGGGAATAATAGGTGGGCACTCCAGAGGTGGCTTGGAACTTGGAACTCAGCGCCCGACTCTAGGAACCCTGCGGGAGCTTGTGATCCCGAGTTCCAGAGCAGCAAGAGAGACCACCGACTGGCGAGGAAGTGAGGTTTCCTGGCGTAGCACTAGAAGGCAGCTCTCCCCGGGCCCTCCTCTTCCAAACTCTCCCACAGACCTGAAACCAACCGTACTCCACTCCCCCTCCTCCCTCTCCCCCCCCCCCGACCCTCCACCCCCGCCGCCCCGAAGTTCCTTCTTCAGATTCCTGTGATTGATATGCTAGGAGTCAAAGTTTTTAAAACGACACCTTCATCCCAACCATCTATCTCCACGTCCCCAACAGCGCCCAGTAAAGTACAGGCATCTGCATTCCCACAACTTTACTTAATGAATTAACAAATCAATGGCCAGCCTTGGGAGCTCACAGCCGGGAAAGGACTCTGGGCGAGAGGGATGGAAGACCATCCCCCCTCATTACTATTTTCTCTTTTCTTTCTCCTCCCTGGACACTGGGAAAGGTGTTCACCCCAACTAAGCCCGGAGGGGGGAAGAGAACTCGGGCTGGCCGGAGATGCACCCTGAAATCAAACCTCTAGGCTCTCCGTAAAAAGCCCCTTTGTCCTGTCCCCCCCCCCCGCCCCAGCCCCTCCCCCACGGCGCCCTCCCCTTGCAGGCCGGCCTGGGACTTGGTCTCCTTTTGTTTGCCTGCTTTCTGGCTTCCCGGAACCTGGCCAGGAGATCCACCGGCATGGGGGAGAGGGTCGAAGGAGAAAGGCTGAGCCGTTGGAAACAGCTTTGGGGTGGGAATTCTGGAATTCTCGATCTCTGGGTCAAATTACCCCAGTCCCCTGCAAGACCCACTCCACTGGGGATGAAGACCGGGGTTCAGGGGCTCGATCTCCCCCAGTTCCCCCGCGTCCCGTTCACTGAGTTTCCGCCTTACCTGTCCCAGCGAGCTCCGGCGCCCCGCGCCTGCCCCGGCGCCCCCCGCGCCCTCCGCGCAGCTTCAGGACCAGTTGGTCCCGCCCATCTTCCCTCTCCCCGTGGATCTCCCGGGCCTCCCCTCCCCGGAGGTATTTCATTTAACTTCGGCATTTGCAGCATCCCAAATGTTAAAGATCCCAAGACATCTGTCCCCTGGGGCATACCAAAGGCCCAGCGGAAGGAGGGGAAGATGCTAGAAGGGACTCGAGATTCTGATCCCAGGACTCGGGGCGGGGCGTCACGATGGGATGGGACAGTGCCAGCCCGAGTGTGCGTCCTGCGGGGGCAACAGCGAGGGGTGACGCTGCCCCCTGCCTCCCGCGTTCGGGCGGCCGCGTGGCGGGACACCCCTGGCTGGGGCCGCTTTCCGAAATCCGGGCGGGACGAGGCTTGACTAGAGGTCTTAGGGCCGCCTTTCATCCCCTCGCTCTGGCCCGGCTGGGGGCAGTTTTCATTCCAGAGACCCCGGCGTGGAGGAATGAAAAGAGACAGCGTGCCCTTCCCCCTCCCCCTCCCCGCCGATCCCTGCTTGAGGCCCCGACGGCGGCTCATCGAACCGGGGTCGCCTCTTTAGGGGTGGCGGGCAGAACGCGCCCGCTGCAAGGCACACACCCCTGGGCAGCGCCTCCTGCTGCTAGCTGCGAGCCCGCCAAATCATCCTTTCATTCACTCGAGGCTTGCGCTTTCCTCTCTTCGTAGGTTTTGTTTACATCTGTGCAGCCCTTTGCCGGGACCGAGTAGGGTGGTTGTTTAAGTTCAGACTCCAGCACGCAGAGGGTTGTTCAGACTAGATCAAGCAACTGTGATTCTGACGAACAAGAGTAGAGAAGGCCAACGCAGGCCGAGGGTCCCCAAAGCCTGCTCAGAGGAGTGTGCTAAGGGAGGCGTTGACAGGCAGGCTGTTACAAGAAATATTGGGCAGAGGAACACAGCTGGTCCTAGGAGCCCTAGGCAATTTAGGATAAGGGTCAGGGAAGAGGAGTGAGGATGCATGCGACAGGCAGGGACCCATCCTGGAGCAGAGCAGTTCTGAGCGGTTTGTCTAGAAAGCTCACCCAAAGCCATAGTGGATTATCTGTAGTCAGATCTATGTTCATCGTTTAGAACCCGCGCTTTTTCTTAATGAGTAGATGCCATTTCCCCCTAATGAATGCGTGAGCTAAGCTGACTGAAGAAAATCCAAGAGAAACCACAAGTCAGGGTACTGCAGGGAAACCCAACTAGGAAAGGGTGGGGCGGGTAGTGTGGCTGTCGTGAGGATGTGAACGCTGACAAGTGCCGAACCCACAGGGCGTGGCTACCACGATGGACTTCACCCTCAAACTGTGAGCCAACAAACCCTTAAGTAGCTTTTCGCATTAACAAGAAAAGCAACCACCGTGCAGCTACTCCCAGAAGAGGGTGTTTTATGAAACACAGATCTATGACCACAGCCCTGGCGCCGGATGTGCTCACCGATCCCTTTTCCCTGGATGAGAAGTAGACTCTTCTAAAGGTTCCAACTCTGGGCTTATTTAGAAAACGCCAGCGCAGAGATGGAAGTCTTTGAGGGTCACGGAAGTGATGAGGTAGATAGACTGAGAATGGGAAGGAAAATGCTGTGTGTCCTAGGTACATCACGGCATCTCCTGCTTTGATCGATTCTGATACCCAGTGTGTCTAGGAAGCAGGATCCTTCGGTCCACAAGAGACCTCACTGCCTAGGGCAGTGAGGATGAGGGTCTCTGACGTGCCAGCCTTCCCTAAGCCTTTAGATTCTGCTTAAGAAAATGGATATTTTTCCCCTGCCTATGTACTGTAGTTTGGAAAACCCCCCAAAGTTCATGTGTTGCAAAGCTAGTATCCCAGTTTATAAGTTGATGGCTTTGGAGCTGGAGTCTTGGGTAGTAATCCTGATTAAATCAGGATTAGGACATTAAGGCAGAGTTTAGGTGTGGTGATCGCTGGTTTTGAAGGCTGAAGAGTCCTAGATAGCCTGACTGCTCTGTCTCACAGTGTGATGCCCTTATCACACCAGAACAAAAGCAGAAGGCCCTTGCCAGACATCAGCACTGTGCCCAGCCTCTAGAAATAACCCTGATTTTTAAGGTGTTTTTGTTGTTGTTGTTGATGCTGTTGTTTGTATTGTTTTGTTTTTTACATGGTCTCATAATATAGCCCTGGCTGGCATAGAATTTACTATGTAGACAGTCTGACTCTCAATTTACAGAGATCTGTCTCTGCCTCCCAAGGGATTAAAGTCGTGCATCACCATACCCCAAAGAACAGGGTTATTTTGTTTGTTTGTTTTTGTTTTTTGTTTAGTTGGTTGGGGTTTTGGTTGTTGTTGTTGTGTTTTTGGTTTTTGGTTTTGTTTTTCGAGACAGGGTTTCCCTGTATTGTTTTGGAGCCTGTGCTGGAACTCGCTCTGTAGACCAGGCTGGCCTCGAACTCACAGAGATCAGCCTGCCTCTGCCTCCCAAGTGCTGGGATTGAAGGCATGCTCCACCAACACCTGAAGGACTGTTTTTTGTTTTGTTTTGTTTTTAATAATTACTCAGTCTCAGATATTTGGGTATAGCAGCCAAAAATAGCCTAAGACGGTTATGTTAGTTGCTCTTCTCAATACGGGGGGCAAAAACACCTGGCAGATGAAATTTATGGAAAGGAGGGTATCCTTGGGCTCACAGTCTGATTACAGTCTATTGTAGTAGGAAAGGCATGGCGGCAGGATATTTCACCCACAGTGATGAAGCCTGCACTAGCCGATACTCAGCTCCCCTTTTCCACCCTCGTGGATGGCATGGTGCCATCCACACTTCTGGTAAGGCTCCCCACCACTGTTAGCCTAATACAGAAATCTGCGGGGGTGGGGGAGGTCTGTTTCCATGGCGACCTTAACCTCATCATTGACAACTGGGATTACCCCTCACTGTGGTCTACCTTGCCAGCCTGAGCTTCTAGGGCAGCAGTTGCTGTGGCTACAACTATTTGCATTTGGCAGATGAGGAACCAGAAGCACCCAAATAAGTGGATTTAGAGTGTGAAGGCGCCTCTGTGGCCACAGCTCTCTTTGAGCAACTGTAGATGCCAAAGGGACTGAATGGTTAAAGAGCAAAGTATGTCAGGTGTAAGAATTCCTGTCCTCAAACATCGTGCCATTTTGTTTAAGGTCCGGAAACTTATTCTTAGCTTTGGTTTGAATCTGGGAAGGGAGATGAGATAAACCCAAAAGAGGGTCGGGGCACAGCACGACGAATTGTAAAATGCAGGTTGTTGGGCTGGAGAGATGACTCAGAACTTAAGGGCACCGGCTGCTCTTCCAGAGGACCCGGGTTCAATTCCCAGCACCCACAAGACAGCTCAGACCTTTCTGTAACTCCAGTTTCAGGAGACCTGACACCTTCACACAGACATGCTTGCAGGCAAAACATGAACAAACGCACAAGAAATAAAAACAAATAAATGATAACTGGTCAATGGTGGTGTGCACACCCTTAATGCTGCAGTTGGGATGCAGAGACAGGGGATCTCTGTGAATTCGAGGCCAGCCTGGTCTACTAAGCAAGTTCTAGGACAGGCTCCAGAGAGATACAGAGAAACCCTATCTTGAAAGAAAAAATAAAAAAGAAGAAAGGAAATACAGGTTGTGTTAAAGGGTTGTCACTACAAATGTCATCACAAGAAAAGCATCCGTGTTAAAAATAAAATCTGGAAATACAATGTTTTTTGTTAAAAAAATGCTGGACATATTTAATAATTTTGCTAAAAACTCAGGCAGTTGCTGGGTGTTTGTTGGTGGCGCATGCCTTTAGTCCCAGCAGTTTGGAGACAGAGGCAGGCAGATCCCTGAGTTCCAGGCCATCCTGGCCTGCAGAACAAGTTCCAGGACACAGAGAAATCCTGTCTCAAAAACCAAACAAACAAAATAACCCTCACGCGGTTGGATAAATGTATATCCCTTAGACCGTGTCCCTCGCAGCAGAGGCCTCGGGAGACTGGGCTGGACCCTTGAGCATGCGCAAAAGTTGCAAAAAGCCTGGGCTGGAGAAGCATGAATTGCGGCAGCCGAAACCCAAGCCTCGAGCAGCTGGAGGCTGATGGGAGCTATAAATCGGGAGAGCCAGCAAAACTCAGTTCATTTTATCTTCCTTCCGAGTTGGCCGAAGAGGCAAAGGCCCTCTTCTAGCAGATGCACGTTCTAGAAGACCAGAAACGCACTGCTTGTCCACAGGGAAGAAGCAAATAGAACAAGATCTCACAGCCCTCTGAAAGCTGCTTAGGAGCTGGACACGTTGTCTATGCCCCAAGTATGGGGAAAAGAAGGCCATAGTTATCCACCCGGACACTGTCCTATCAATGTCTTTGCAAGCAGCTTTCTGGAAACCCCAGAATGACTGGGCCAAGGCCTGCTTCCTCTCCTGACCGCAAGCTGGGGCAGGTGCCCGCAGTTACTGCCTGGAGAACTCTGCAACTATGTCTAGAACTCTTGATGTCCAGGCTGGGCTCCCGGAGGGTGGGTAGCTCCCTGAACTGCACAGGACCGACTTAGGGGGGGCCCAGTCAGGGGCTTCCCTCGGCTGCCATAGGAAAGTGAACGGAACCTGGACCCAGGATAGAGTCTAGAGAGCACAGAAGACAAGACAGGCCAAGCCATGGAGTCATACCCCAGACTTGCACGACACAGGCCACTCCCCCAGGACACACCAGCACTCGCTGGTCATCTGTTCTGCTCTAGGTTTTAGATTTTTCAGACTTCTCTCCAGAGCTCTTTCTTCTTGTTCATGTCCTTCATCTTTTTCTGTTCTCCCTCCCTCTCCAGCCCTAGTGTCCCTGCCCTCCGTGCTTCTGGAGGCCACAGACAGCTCTCCTCAGGGCCCCGTGTGGATCGCTGATCACTAATATGCTCCCTTCTGTCCCTCCTTAAGCCCATTTGCCCATGTGAGACCGTTACAGGGTAATTGCCACTAGTCCTGGTCACAACTGGTGTGGATTGGAGTTCTTCTGTGCGGTAGGGAGAGAGGGCTGAGAGGCTCCCTCCGCCTGGGACGCTTCCTCTCTAACTATGGCCATGCTTGGATCACTTCTCTTTCGATGAAGCCCAAGCTCCCACCTAACTTCCAGCCCCTTGAGGACCACCTGCCACCAAGCCCTACGCTCTTACCATTTCTGGAGCGTAAGGAAGATCGGAAATTTTAAGGTATGAGTGGATTGTGGGTTTTTTGGTTTTGTTTTTGGTGTTTTTTGTTGTTGTCGTGTTTTCTCTTTTAAGATAAATTTAAGTACAGCGATGGAGAGAGATGTTAGTCTGGGGCTGTTGGGGCTGCATCCAAGACAGAACACCCACACCTCAAGGATGCTCGGCTCTGAAAAACCTTCCTGGTTGCTCGGGAAAGCCTTGCTTGAAGTCAGTGCGGTGAGACAGAATTCTTCTCCAGGCCAGGGGCAAACCTAGAGCCTTAGGTCCTA